GCCGCGGGTCGTGGAAGGGGATCGTGTCGAGGAGGCGGTAGACGTCGGCTTTTGCGGCGAGATTAGTTGGCTGGTGTCGTGGTGGTGGTGGGCATGGGTGGGTGTAGGCAGAGCAAAACTCACAATACTTGCGATACAAGCCCGGCGCAACCAACGGGCCCGCAACCGCCGCCGCGGACGAAGCCTTGGTGGCTCCTCCGCGCAGGATCTTCCATAGCCCGGCAAAGACGCCGCTGCTGGTGCCCCCGCCCGCGTTGCCGTGCGTCGTGTCCAGCGTCTTGGCCCCGTCCCAGCCGTCGGCGCGCGTCACGATGTACCCCGCGCGCTTCAGGCCCGCGTACACGATGTAGCGCTCCAGCGTCAGCTTGCCGCCGAGCTGGGGCTCGAGGCCGATGAAGGCCGCGTAGGCGCCTTGCAGACTCATGGGGAGGCCGTCTTTTGCGTCCACATGCTCTTCGTCATCTCCACTTTCACCTCCGTCCTCGTCGCCGTCCCCAGCAGGCCACCTTATGTCCAGCGACCCGCGCTCGAGCAGATACAGCGCCTCCTCGGGCAGCAGCCACATGCGGCCGCCGACAACCCTGCCCATGGTGCGGAACACCTGCCCCTTCACACTGTCCACCCACGCCATGTTCGCGCCCGCGTCGTACGTCGCGCGGATGTGGTTCTTGGGGTTGTGGACGCGCGGGCAGGAGATGGCGGCGTGCATGGCGGCGCGCGACGAGGCCAGCGCGCTGGACTGCAGGGCCGTCGCGTGCGGCTCGAAGTCCTTTTCGCCGCGGCGCGGGAGCTTGGTGGTGCCGTTTTCGGCGGTGCTGTGGGTGGGTGGGGCGTGTTAGTGGTGGTGGTGGTGTTGTTGTTGCCGGGGAGGAGGTGGGGGTGCGTACGATAGCGCGCTCAGGAAGCGGAAGTCCTGCGTCTCGTCGCTGAGGTCGACGTCGTGCGCGGCGCTGCTGCTGGCTGCTGTGGGCAGCTGCATGGCGTCGTCGAGGTCGGCCATGGTGGGCGGGGGTGGGCGGGGTTGGTAGATTGGGGTTTGCGCATGCGCGCGCGTTGGGTGCTTGTTGCTTGCTTTTGCTTTTGCTTTTGCTCGTCGTCGCGGCGGCGGCGGTGGTGGTGGTGGTGGTGCTGATACATAGCTGGAGCCCGCTAGAAAGTTGCGGCGGCGGCGGCGCGCGTCCCGCATTCGCGGCGCTCGGACCGCCCGTCTTTTCCGCCAGGCCGTCTGTCTTTTCATGGAAGGGACCCCCCACGGGGAAGCGGACGCGGCGCCGGGGGTGGGGGTATCACGGCTTGCTCCCTTTTCCTGCCACCGTGGACGCAACGGGTGGGTGTAGATAGCTAAATCCAGGGAGTCATGATTGCTGCTTCTTACGCTGCCACTGTGTGCGTACGAACGAGAGGCTGAGGTGCAGAGAGGGAGAGAAAGAGGAATGAATATACACGCTTTCACTCCTCTGGGCTAGTTGATACGAGACCGAGACAAGAAAGCCTCACCAAAGCACCACACGCCGCGCACCGCACAGCAACAAGACCAAGTCAAGAAAACACCTATATCCCCCTCTACCTATTTTCCCTAACCCCCCTCGCCACACCCTCAACTCCCTCCCTAACCCGCGGACTAAAGTGCAGCCGCAACAACTCGCCCTCCCAAACCGTGCACGCAAACGGATTACTTCTCTCCAAATCGCCCGCCAACGGGTCCCAGACGCCATCGCCCCTGCGCTCATCGGCATCCCACAGCGCGCCGACGCGGCGGGCATGCGTCTTGGCCAGCTGCGCCAGCAGCGCCGTCAGCGCCGCCGCCGACTTCTCCGGCAACTGCAGCGCCAGCGTGTGCAGCTGTTTCACAAAAGCCGCGAGGCGCACCGGCGGCGTCGTGCGCGGGGAGAGGGTGCTGGCGAGCGAGCGCAGCAGCAGCACCGCCGTTGTTGTGGCGTTGACTTTGTTTTCGGCTGTGCTTGGTTGCGCGGCGGCGGGCGTCGAGGGGTCCGGCAGGTGCAGCGACGTCGCGCTGAGCTCGATGTCCGGGTTCAGCGCGATCGGGTAGAGTGTGCGGTAGAGGTGCGCGATGAAGAAGCTGAGGTCCAAGTGCAGTGCTGAGGCCGCTTTGGACGCGTCTTGGCCCTGCAGCAGCGCAAACGCCGTGATGACGCAGAGCAGCGACTCGCGGGTGGCGTTGCGGACGGGCTTGTCGGCTTCGTCTGCGTCGTCATCTGCGTCTTCGTCGTCGGCATCCGAGTCGTCGGCCGCGGCCTCGGCTTCCCGGATCAGGTCTTTCAGCGCCTCCAGAATGTCGCCGAAGAAGTCCTGATTGATAAGGTGCGCGTAGCGGGCTAGGCCCTCGAGCACCGCGCCCATGAGCGCGGGCGTGCGCGCCTTCAGGATGCGGAAATACGTGACGAAGACGAGCTTGAGCGTCTCGGCCTGCATGCGGTCGCGCTCTTCGTGGGAGACGGCGGCGTCGGCCTCCTTCATCTCGTTCTCAATGACTTTGTGCTCCTTGAGCAGCTTGCGCTGCTTCTTGGTGCGAAACTCCTTCTTCTCGCGGGGCTTTTTGCCCTTGGGGCCCTCGGCGGCGCCGCCCGGCGTGTCGACCCGGTCGAACGACGCCTTGCCCGCAAACTCCGACAGCAGCCGTAGGTGCAGGAACGTGTTCAGCACCGACTCGTGCACGTGGTACTGCCGCCCCTTGAACATCTTGGTGAGCATCGTGACCGCATCGAGCGAGGCGTGCCCGTCCTCGTCGGTCTCAAACAACGTCTCCAGCGTCTCGCGGCACTTGACAAAGTCGGCATCGACGCTACGCCCGCTCAGCTTGTCCACCAGAATCTTCAGCACCTCGCCGCGGAAGTTGAAGTGCGGCACCGCCGTCAGCAGGTTGCACGCGCAGCTGATGGCGACGGTCGCAAGGCCGCGGGCCGCCTCGCTCGCGCCGCCTTTGCTGCCCTTGGCGCTGGCCGCCAGGTCCTTGACGTACTCCTGGTAGCCGTGCACGAGGCTCTGCTCGTAGTTGCGCAGCTGGCGCACGTCCTTGGACAGTTTCTGCTTCAGCTCGTCCTCGGACACGGGCCGGATGCGGTAGCCGGGGATGATGTCCTTGTAGACGGTCAGCTGCGTGGCCAACGCCAGCTTCTTGACCGTGACGTTGTCCGAGCCTGCCAGCGTGGCCAGCTGCCTCAGCACGCCGGCATGCTCCTCGGGGTCTTCGTTTATCAGGCTGGCCAGGCGCGCCAGCTCTTCCTTGGCCTGGAGGATTTGTTGCCGCGCGGGCACCTTGGGCGCGGGGGGCGGGGCCTCGTCTTCATCGTCGTCGTCGCTGCTCGTGCCCAGGAAGCTGTCCTCGTCCTCGTCGCCGCTGGCCTCGGGCTCTGCTTCCACTACCGGTGCGACCCATCCCTCTGCTGTCTTGATGGGCAGCCGTCCCGTCTCTTTCCTCTTGTCGAGCGTGCGCGGCCGCGTCTCATAGTCCTGCTCTGCGTCCCACTTTGCGCTAGTACGGGAAAAAGCGGCGGCGGGCTGGTCGTCGGGCGGGCTGAGGCGCCTGCGTTTGGCGGCGGGTACGCGGGCCATGGTAAGTGTGGTGGAGTTGGTATGCTCAGCAGTCGCGCGTCCAAAAAAATTGCGGGCTGCATCGGCGAAGGCGCCGTCCAAGCGCCGACCAAAAAGTTCAACACCAAAAGGTCCGCGGCATCGCAACCACCACCTCCACCTCCACCCACCGCAAGCATGCGCCCGCTCACCGACACCGAGACGCAGGCGCTCTTCGCCAAGCTGGCCAACTACACGGGGCGCTCGCTGAACCACCTGATCGCCAGCGGCAGCGAGGACCGCCACGTCTTCCGGGTGCAGAACTCGCGCGTCTACTACGTGCGCGAGTCGATAGCGAACCTGGCCACGTCGATCGCGCGGCCCAACCTCCTCTCGCTCGGCACCTGCCTGGGCAAGTTCACCAAGACGGGCAAGTTCCGCCTGCACGTCACGGCGCTGGACGTGGTTGCGCCCCACGCCCGCTACAAGGTCTGGGTCAAGCCCAACGGCGAGATGCCCTACCTGTACGGCGGCAACGTGCTCAAGGCCCATGTGGGGCGCTGGAGCGACGATTGCCCCGAGCATCAGGGTGTCGTCGTGTATGCCATGGACGACACGCCCATGGTACGTTTTGCTTTTTCCCCTTCACGGTTTCCTGTCCACTCCGACCGATTGACTAACTGCCTATTCGCAGGGTTTTGGCGTCACCGCCCGCTCCACCGCCGAGGCCCGCCGCCTCGACCCCACCGGCATCGCAACCTTCCGCCAAGCAGACATCGGCGAGTACCTGCGCGAGGAAGACACTTTGTTCGCGACCTGAGCGGAGAGCGAGCGAGAGAGCGAGAGCAACACCAACCCAGCAGCCCCAACCCAACCATCTCCGCCCCAGCGCTGCCATGCAATCCACTCGTCGAGATACCACCACCACACACCTACGTCCTCAGCACCACTGCAGTGGTACGGAATCGGAAAAAACGGCGGAAAACAGAAAAAGAAGCAGGGCGTTCCAGGAGCTCATTACGGCGCAATTGATCATTTGTTCGGGAGGTGTGGTTGGCGGGGCTTTTGTATAGTGACGAAGAAAGAGGGAGAGTGAGAGGGGAACCGAAAAAAAAAAAAGCAATCTCAATTCCGCAGTGCTTGGTTAGGCCCGCCAGCCACTGCTCAAATCCACGCCTCGTACTACTCCTCGTGCAATGTGCAATTCCGGTTTTCCTGCTCCCTGTTTGTCTCTAATCCTTCCCTTCCCTTTCCTATGTGTCCTATCCTACAAACACGCGTATACAGCTGGACAGATAGCTACGGTAAGTCACTCAGTGCCGTCTTAGAGACGTGGTCAATCATAACGTGCTAGAGGCTGTACTGATACACTGCTCCACACCACCTCCCCTTCCCCCCAAACATAACCACCGATCTAGGGCCAAAGTGTGGTATAAGTAAATAGGTAGACCGGCGAGCAGTGGGAAAAACAAGCAAACCAGCAAGCAATCACATACATCAATCTCTGCCATAAGTTCTCCCCCCTACACGTGCATTTGCACTTACTTCTGCCGCTTCGCCGTTGTCTCGCTACACTACACTGCACCACACAGCACAAGCCACTCCCCCTTCCTTCCCTCTCTCCGACCTTCCCTCATGCTGACATAAAATGCCCAACCACTAACCTCGACACCCCCCTCCACTGCCAAACCCAAACAAAAACAAAGCCAAAACCAATGCACCCGCCTCTTCTCTGCTTTCACCACACAGAAAACAATCTTAAACTACACCCCACACCCCACACCCCACACAGCTCTCATCCATGCATCTCACACCGCAACCCTCACAAGTGGCAGCAGAAGCAGAAGCAGAAGCGCCATCAACACCACCAAAACAAAAGCGCAAAAGCACAAAAGCGCAGAGACAGCGGAAGCGGATTTGAGGTTGAGAATGACCAGGGGGCCGGGGCCTGGGGCAGGGGGGGTGGGGCATAGCTCGTCCGCTTCCGCTTCCGCTTCCGCCTCCGCTTCCGCCGCCACCTCAAAAAAGCGAGGCGCGCCTCGAGCCGAGCGAGCAGCAGCAGCCCCGTCCTCGCATCGGTGTGCGCGCCGCCGCCGCCGCCGCCGCCGCCGCCGCCGCCTCGCGACGGGGGACGGGTGACGGGTGACGGGTGATGCTCCTGCCCCGATTGCGCGCTCCTCCTCGTCCTCCTCCGCGGAGCCGCGTCGCTTGAGCGGCTTGTCTGCCCGACGCGCCCTACTCCCTCTCCCCTCACCCCCGCTATGTGCTTATTGCGTTGCGCAGCTGGTCCGCTGCTGCGGCTCCGGCTATGTACTGGGTGTCTTGCCTATAGCCTTGGCCTCGACCTGCTGCTCGCTCCGTCCCGCTGCTGCTGCTGCTCCGTTTTGTGCTGCTTTGTGGCAGCGAACTAGCCACATGTTTGGCGTCGCGTGCTTGCGGCTTCTAGCTAAGCAGCTGCTGTCGGGCCGGACATCTTGCTTGCACCGTTTTGGATGCGTGAGGTGGAGTGATCGGTGAAGACGGGCGACAGCTTGGCGGCCGATAGCGAGGCGTGCTGAGATTGTTATGTCTTTTTGGGGCATGCTGCCCATCTGGCAGCGGAGCAGGAAGGAAACCCAGGGAACCAAAAATCCAAGGCGCAGGATCCTGTGAACTGAAACTGGGAGAGAACGACGGGGACCCAGGGGTGCCTTACGTCGCGAATACCGACTTCGTCCCATGCACACACAGCATCAGGACCGAGGGAAATGCCATACACACCTTGTGCGGAATGTCACCGCGCTCCAACAACACCAACGGGCCAACCACCCCAGTCTCCACACCCTACTCCACCCCAGGCATTTTGGCTCGTCTCGAGGCGCGGCGCGGTTTACGTGGCAGTCATGGCCCAGACCACACCAGACGAGCAGGCTACGCCCCCCTGTCGACGACTCGCGCAAAAGCCAGGCAAGTACCATGCACGCCGCAACCCGGCGTGGCGCCTTGTGCGACAGCGGCCACCCCCCCCCCCCCCCATGCACTCACATGCACATATGTGACGTAGCACAACGGCTACCTAGACGGGAGGGGGAAGGCGCGCGAGATGCAGCGGAGCTATCGCCGTCTTTGTGTGCCGCGTGCGGGAGAGGCCGACGGCAACGATGGCGCACACGTCGCGGGTGCGAACTGCGAACGGGCCGCCATAATTGCGGTCGATGATGGGGTCTATGTCCTGCAGAGCTCGACTAGGTAGGTCCTTAGGGAGCTTGGCGGCTTGGGGTTGGATGCCGCGCCGCATTGTCTTCTTCCCCACGCCGCCGTCTCAAGTGAGCGCTGCGGATGCACATCTGCCGGCGCCGCGGAAGGTGTAATCCGGTACACGCCAATACGGTGCGGCCCCACCTTGAAGAGACACGCTGATCGATCGTCCTCAGGATAGATCCCGGAGATGAAGATATCCGAGACCATTGCAGGGACGTCGTGAGCGAGTGGGGCGATGTAGAGGCCGCAATGCCCTAACGGCCTGCACGCCATCGGGTCGTGCTGTCGACAAACGCAGCTGATCATCCTCACCGTCAGCAAAGCCATGCCGACCTGCACTTTGTGTGGCAAACATGGTCGGTTATCGTCAGACTTGGCGTATCAATAGAACCCACGAGACCTGTGGCAAAGCGTTGATGAATCCCATCGTGACTCGATAGACTCTACTAATGTTGATCCGTGCTCTTTCCAAGCCTATATCACCGGGAGCAAAAGGCCTAGCCGACTATGCATCCGCATCCTGGCATGGCGACTCGGTTCCGGTAGCGGTCTGCACTGGTAATCATTGGTTTCTTCATCATCGTCGGGTCGAGTATTGCGGTCCACATTGCGACTAATGTAGCTCGTGTCGTACCTGCAAGGAAGGTTTTGAATGACAAAATGCAGTAAGATCATCGGCCGCCTATCCCTAGCAACCCTGGGAGCGCCGGTCATTGCTCCTTCAGGGTCGTAGAATTGATTCGAGCTAGGCTATGCGTAAACTGCATGGACGGCGATTCCGTAACGAGTCAAATGCCGGCCCAGATCAAACGAGATCTGCGAAAACTGTAGGATGTGACCGACCAAGTGTTGAGCTGGAGTGGACCGGCGAGGAATTGTGGGGAGGTGATAAGACCGAATAGCCCGTGTCGCACTGCAGCATTCAGCCACGCAGACCGAGAGGCGCGGACTGATTTTAACTTTTTCAAACGTTGGACTGGGGCGAGGCCAACATGCAGCCACCCGAGAAACTTCTGCGTGATGCAAGCGTCCTGTCTATGCGAGACGAGTGAAACGAAATGTGCACCATAGAGAGGGAAAACGACGCCATTGGCAAACCCACGCCCTGGTAAGACAACATGCCTAAGTGACGGAAAGTATATTGACACAAGAGAAGCAGGTAGATGATGTGCAGTTGACGTTGTCTACCAACAGATAGTGAGAAAAGAAAATCGACTTCGGGTTGGACACCTGAATAATTGCCTGAAATGCTACAAACCAAGAACGCCATCGCGATGCTCTTGCACGCGCATTACTGCTCTCGGAATAAGAGCCCGCAACGGCACGCTCAGTATATGCCTTGCGTACGGTACTGGAAGGTGTCGTATCTGCACGCGTCGTCAGCTTGGCTTGTTTTCACAACACGGTTAGGTGGGTTCACATACAGCCTTGTGTAGTAGCTCCCTACGCTCTTGTTCACGAGATCCTCCACAAACAAGGACGCCTCTTCCTTGCTCAGCTGCAGCATGAAACGGGCCCGCAAAGCGGCCACCGCTTGCTGCATGCCAGCAGCGAAGCACGGCATCTGACTTGCCTTTCCCATCATTTCGACCAGCATAACGATGCGCTCAGCATCCTTCCTCAGCGCCTGGAAAGCTTGCTGGCACAAGTTCACATAGAGCCTGTACTGGGGCGAGCCTATGCCTCCAAGGACGTCGACGTACTCCTGCGTCAATTTAAATGGCGCAGCCTCAAACCCCATGCTGCCAGGACTGTTAGACAGCATAAAGCCGAAATCGATGTGAACGATGTGACCAATGTTGTCGATGAGAATGTTACCGTTATGCCGGTCCTTGAGTTGTAGCACATAGGAAATGATGCTGTAGGCGGCCAGAGAGCGGGCGAATGCATCAACAGAGGTAGCATACGTCTCGCTATCCGGCTCACCGAAAGTACGCACAAAGTGATCCCGCAGGGTCGCGATACGTTTTCGGGGGTTAGTTCCTGCCGCAATGCTAGCGAGGGTCAGGCTGCGCTTCAAAGAATGGAGCGAGACACCATTGGTGATGGTCTCGATGAGACCGGACGACTCGCCCGTAACAAGAATGCGCATCTGCTTCACCCACACAGGAACCTCTGCCTCTTTCCAGATCTTGGAGCAAACTTGGATCAGCTGGCAAGCAAAGGCCTCCTGACGCAAATCGGAACCCGTCTTGACAATCACAGAAAGAAGATCCCAGTTCCTCATCCAGCCATACGGCGAAGACCGCCGAATGCGTTCCTTCTTTGCAGCCCAGTCTTCTCCAAATGTTGCAGCACTGGGGTCGTCGCGGTCTCCCTTGCGCTGAACACCACCCGTCTTTTGGTCGTTTTCCATGCGGGCCGCTCCGACACTGGTGTTCAGTGTAGGGTCCGCGGCCGCATTAGGATCATCAAGCTCATCCGGCTCACCAGTCAGGACTTCAGATTTAGGTTCAGCCATGATGCTGTCGAACGTCGGCGCATTGTTGATCTCGTCCGTGTAAAAACTTTGCTCCTCCAGATTTTGCATGCTGGCAATGATCTTTGTCTTAATGGCCGTCACTTCCGCTTTTGGCCGCTTCGACCCGCTGTTTTCGAGCTGCGCGAGCATTTGTGCTGCCGTACGCATATGGGTTGCCAGGGCTGAAAAATCGGGTTGATCGGGGCCTTGCGTCCTGCTGGAAACGGGAAGGGTCATCTTCCGAGGCATAGGGCTGTTGGTTCTGCTCCTCTCAGTGTCTGAGGTCCTCGGCGTAGATATCGTTGCGATCGAGGACATGGTGTTGGCGCCACTCGATGACCGTGGGGCGACGGTTTTACTGCTGTTGAAGGCATTACCAGTCAACGTGGCGCTCGCCAAACCACTGGCAATCTCCTCTTCCGAAGGTCCCTGGAGCAATGCCGGGCTTGCTAAATCACCATTGGCGGGCTCGAAGACACTGTCGACGCCTGGATCAGGGGGTTTGTCCGGAATGATGACTTGCCTCGATGCATCTGAAAGGTCAAACAAACGTCTCTTGTTGGTCCCTTTTTCGGCCAGGAGTTTGGCGAGTAAAACCTGGTTTGGTTCCGTATCCGGGTTGAAATCGAAATCCTCCCGCAGAACCTCCACCATGAGAAGATACGGAACACGCTCCGCACTGTTGAGACTGGTTGCTTCCGCAGGATTCAACCGAACGATCCGATGGTGTTTGCTACGCGCCGCAACTCCCTCTTCCAGCGTCGCAGGACAAATTAGCGGTATGTCCACTTCTGCCGGGAGGTCCTGCGCTATGAGCGCCAATTCAGCGCGCAGTGCGCTCAGTCGTGCAGGCTTGGGTACGATAACTAGGCGATTTGAAATGTCCTCCAGCGCACTAAGGAACTGGGTTTCGCTACGGAAGTAGTTTGACCGTAAAATCCGTACCTTCTGTGCTCTGGTCAATGTACTGGGGCTTATCGGTCTAGGGTTATGAGAATGACGGCGCTGCACGTGTTCTGTGGGCCGCGGTGCTAGGCCCGCAGTCGCTGGAGGCTGGGGAATTGGGGACATGCTCTGAGACCGGAAGTCGGGAAGTGAAGAAGAGCTCATGTTCGTCATTGCTAGTAGCGAGGGCCTCGGTCCCGTGGACACGGCCCGAGGGGCCGTAATCACAGGCCTTGGAGGCGTGCGCTGCTTTTCTGGAGGTGGTTTGGCGCGTGCGATCGGGGATTCTGGGGAATAGGGCTGGTCCCCCGACGATGCCGCCTGCTTGGGCTTTTGCCTTTTATGCCGCGTGCCATCGCCGGCTACCGTATGACTTCGCGTCAGCTTCTGGGCGTCTGGCTGGGGATTGTCCGAAATTGTCTCTGGGACGTATCGTGGCTTGCGCGCTTGGGCTACAGCGAGAGGCCCGGCATGTCTGGGGAGGAAGGGCGCGGCAACGCTAGACAGGATGAGGCTCGAGAGTACGGTGACGGGTAACACGTTATCCTTGACCTTCTCTTTTGCCGGGGGTTCCGACGCGCCGAAGACAATCCTCTGAACCCTGTTGTATATGCGGCGGCAAGTCTTGAAGGCGTTGGACTGGGGGTTGCCGAAAAGGTCGTGGAGGTAGGTTTGGAACAGCCAGAAAGTCTACAGGGGCGCGGGATCAGCGGCAGACGCGAGTGGCAAGAGCGGAGGCTTACGAGCAGAGCGCCATTGACCGACTCCTCGCAGAGATCGATGATAAACTCCTCTAGTGCCATAGACTCATTGTCGACGCTGATGAGAAGGTGGCACAACTGCGGGAGGAAGAACTCGATCTCCTCGTACTCGAAGGTCCGCAGCTTGTTGCAGAGGACATAGTGGATGCCAACATGATCCGCATATCGCCTTTCCGCCTCGCAATGGACATATTAGCATCTTCCGCGTCGACAAATCTGGGGTGAGGCATGCGGGGGGGCCAAGTGGAGCGTGGAGGGAGCACACACGACAGGTAGGCGACGGAGAGTGACGGATCGTTGTTGAAGTGATCCGACTCGATGAAGCGCTCCAGTAGATTCCAACTCATCTGGAACAACTCATCGGAAGTGTGTACGAAGGAATGGACGGGCGGCAGATAGCATTGCGGATGGAGCTTGACGTCCAGCGGGCCTTGGCGTTTCGCGTTTCGGGGAGATTATTACCAGGGATCACACAACCAACAACACCGACCGCACAACTGCCGATGACATGACCTCGACCACCATCTGGCCTGCAGCAGGGAGCGCGTGGCGGTCGACCGGCGATAAAGAAGAGACAGCCTCGAGCTCTGCTTGCTGCAAAAAATCCGCCCTAGGCCCGACCCGGCTGACACGTCGCATTCGCAAAAGAAAATACATCCATCAGCGTCATCGCCCTCTCGAACCACCTCGACCTCATCTCCTGCACCCGTCCATGTCTCACCCCCCGTAATCCGTATTGCCGCCTGCAAAATGCTCTTCACGATCCCTGGGCACACAGCGTGGTCGCGCCCCACATCCCGCTCACCCGACCTGGCATCAAGGCTATTGAGAGCTGGCATTCCAGCCTCACGCATCGACGCTTACATGAAGACCCTGGCCATCTTTCCTGACATTCCTCGTCAGCCGTGCTTTTTCCAATTCTCCTATCTTCGTCTTCCCTTTTCCTTTTGGACGAAGCCAGGAGCCGACCACAGTGTGCTTCAGATATGACAAAATCGCGCAGCTCTTCCGAAGCAGGTCAGTGGTGAATAAAGCAGTCGCTAGCGTAAAAGACGTCGTGTCCACTTGAAAGGTGACGCGAGGGCGAAAGGGCGACAAAGAGGCTCGGCTTGGATCCTATCCGCGTCAGCGAAGTCCAAAAAAAATATATGGCCAAACGAGGCCCTATGATACTTTCGCCTCGTCCCTGCGACCTTGGATATTCTATGGGGTTGATCACAGATATGCAAAAGTGGAAAGAGGAAGAACACCACCAGCACTGCAGACTGTTATCGCGCACCTGGAACAGGCGGTGGGAAGAACCGAGTTGCGAGAGGAGCAGTATCATTGGGACTCGTAACTACATGATCGAGCGCGTTGAACTAATTAAGAAAGGCCAGGCTACGTGGACTGCTCAAGGCCATAACACCAGAGGAAGGTCATGATAAACGATACGCCAGAAACCCCGGCATTCCAAGATAAGCCCTTGGCCTGCATGAAGATAGGCTATAGACGATTTTCCGCCTTCAGGGACCTCTGCTGACCTACCTAACTACCACGAAGAATGCATGGAATAGTATATCACGTGAGGGCACTCTCAATCCCAGCAAGCAGCGATGCATGCTGTGACATCTTCGAAGGGCCCGGTGGCTAGAAATTCATGTGCAATGACGGCTGAATCACGTGCAGGTGGGACGCCGGGGCTAGACTGTTCTGCGTTGCAACGGAACGCAAGTCTTCCCACGCTCCTCGCATATGCAGCCTATATGTATGTACATCCTCAGCATGCGTTGACGGCCCGTGTGAACGCATCCATGCAGCATGCTAATACCATGTATGTCGCTGGCCGCGCATCTTTGCACCGTGCAGGCGACCTACAGCGTTCCCACCGCGATGGCTCCAGGACAAGGGTCTTGACTCGGTTTGGTACTGACCAGTACAGCATGGATGACAGCCGCGTAGCCGTGCTGCCTTTACGTGGTAACTCGATCGCGGAGAAGAATGTGGGGCCTCTTTCAAGGACCCCCCCCCCCAGCCGCACCATCTTCAGCGGAATCTTAGAGGCGTTCCCCGTCAGCCATCAAACACGCCTCAATATCGCTCTTCAGCAATCGAGCAGTCGCACAGCCGTAGGCTGCATGTCTACCAAAGCCGAAATTTGAAGGATGGTCCCGCTGACTATGCTCTGATACGAGGACTTTCTTTTTCAATTCGCGCGCGTCTGCTAGACCCGCTTCATCACTCTCAGACGGGCCCATGTATGCAGATTCCACGTAGCCAGTTTACTTGCGGCTTGAAGATCCCGCTCATTTCTGCTCTCGAAACTGCCGGGTCCATGCAGCGATATCTGCCGCTCTGTTTCCTGGCTTCGCTTCTACCAAGGCTCGCAATGCACGGCCTCTGGACCTTTTTATATGGTGCGACCTCAAAGTCCGCTGGGACAAGGCACTAGATATGCTAATAATCAACGCCACCAGTTGCAACTGCTGCTGCATCTTAAACTCCCGGGTATTTGATTGTTTCCCTTATGGCATGACACTGGCGTCTGAACTAACCCATGGCCCGCCGTGCTGTGCAAGGAGCTGAAGCGGTGAAGGAAGCACCGTTGTCCCAGATACTGGCTCCCCAGCAGCAGGCCTCAGGATGCTGCAGCTAGCCGGCGGCAGTGCTTGCCGCTCACATATGGACTCGCTCCCCTGATGACATCATGAACGGCCAAAAGTGACAGGGGAATGGTAGAGTCGCTGTCGTCTGAGCCAAACGTTCAGGTAGGTAACGCATTCGCCCTCATCCAGCGTATAATCACACATAAAACCCGTCTGGTGGGAGGTAGATGTATTCTGTACTACGGAAGCACACGGTAGAGTTCAGGCATGAAGCTGGATGCGATGTCTCTAACCATGGCGCCCAATTATGCGCCAGAGGCGCCCGGGCTCCCAACTTCCTCAGATCTGATGCAGCGGACCGTTGCACGCTGGATGTGATGCCGTTGTTGTGTGAAGCATCGAAGTGGCGGTGGCTCCTGTCAGCGCTCAGCCATGCCGCGACCCCTTCCACGCTACCATCCTCGCTCTTACAGCAGGCTTCTTGCAGTCTCACTAGCATCTCAGCCGCAGGTACCTGGAGTTTGGGCCGTTTCCAGCCATGGCTACACGAAAAGCTCATCTAGGCGGGCGGGCCATGCAACACCCAACGAAGTGAATCCTTCTGCGCAGCATTGTCGTCGGAAACGGATGCATTTTCCTCACAGTGGCTGATACCCTGCTCTCTCATATTCTGCCGATCACGCTATGGGCACCCGCCAACGCAGCTTACCTGCTTCACAGACCGCTATTTTCTCGACGTATCATCTTGCCTCGAAGCCCCCAGGCCCCGCCGCGGCTTACATTGCCTGAAGACATGGCGTGGAGCTAGCAAGCGGAATGATCTACGCGCTTACCAGATTAGATTAGATTAAAGCGGGCGCAAGGCTGTATGATCTGAGCTGTCCGCTTCGATTTCTTCACAAAAAGCACGGTGATTCCAACCAGGTGCCTGGCCAGGGAAAGTAATTTTTGGCAAGGGCAAGGGTAGAGGTGGGGGGGTAGGGAAGAGACATCCGATGCACCATTTCTTGCAGATATCCGGAGCCTTTTGCGCGAGTCTTCTTTTTTCAACAAATCACCCTTGGGCGGTTACACAGAAGGACAAGGCCGTTCGAATAGATCAATGCTCTGATAACTCATGCGGATGTGGTACGTAGGTATTTTAAAGCTGAGCCGTTGGACCCTGAGCCAGCCTGCCACCATTCAATCTTCCATCCTCCTCTCTCCATCTTCTTCAAGCTTCCGAGTTTACCACACACGCACACACACACATACAAATAGCCCGCTGAAGATTGCCAACCCTTGTTTTAGTTCGTCACACACACTCAACTGCTGATTCTGACTCGTCATGACTGCCATACGGGACATTCTCAACGACACACAGCCGTTCCCGGCCAACCCAGCCCGAGGGAGTAGTAGGTATTCGAGTGGATACCGCACGCCAACGACATCTTCGGCAGCCATGAGCACTTCAGTCTCCAGCACGCCGACGCCAGGGCGGGACTATCGTCGTCTGGAGAGAATGTCTCTCGATTTCATGGCCCCGGGCAGCTGCCCAACGCAGCAACGGACAGGCAGTCACAGCTACCCAGTCGAACAGGCCCACAGGCCCCACTCTTCGTCGTCCGAGCGAAGCATGGTCACCCGTCGGGACAGCAGCCAATACAGAGCACAGTATGCAGCCTATCCCGCAGGCACCGCTCAGCCCTGGACCTCAGTGAACGGGGCCCATGCTCGACCTAGCACCATGCCAAGCTATGACAGACGGTACAACAGCACCTGCACATCCCCCACCACGCCTTCGGGCATCATTCGCGATGACCCCCCGGACCACAGCTCCGACGCTGACTCGCCCTCTCGCGGCGGGAACACGTCGCCGTCAGTAGCCGAGCCGGAGCGCCGCGAGCCACGTCTTGCATACGGCGAGGAGGAGCGTGCCTTCATCATGGTGTGCGCGGTGCTGCGCAACATGACGTGGAAGGAGATCGAGACGGCCTTCCGCCAGCGTTTCCCAGCAGGTCAGAAGCGCCGCCATTCCGAGCCAGGCCTGTGGCCCACCTATCCCGAGCAGGAGCGCACGTTTGGGGGTCTCACTTGCGCTTACTATCGCATTCGCGAGGCTTGGGGCATCGCCAAGGTTCGCGGCGTCCCGGACGAAATGAAACCCGAGGTTAGAAACGTCGTGAGCGAGATGATCAGGAGCATGACACAGTTCCCGGATCTACAGCAGTGGGTCTAACCGTGAGGGGTTAACGTGCTAAATTGTCCTTGCCTTTGAACCGTCTGCCTGTTGGTGGCGTCTTCTTGAGTTCTTCTTCATCAGTGTTCGAGCGAGCGCCTGGGCTTTTCTTTTTTGTTTTTTTTTCCTCTTAGCGGGAGTTATTTGTCTTAACTACGTTTATGTCTTACGAGCCGTGAGCCTCTCGAGTCTGGCAAACTCAAAATCTAAAAAGAGCATTAATTAGAAACCTCATCAGACACGAAATCTTGTCTCTGCCCGTTTTTTTCTCGATCAGCCCCCGCTAGGGGAGAAACTGAAGACCAAGAAAACGCACCTTTCCTTGTCCCATCTCGCTCTTTTTTCGCTTCATGGGCCTCGTTTTTCTGGCCTTCGCCAAATTTCGTACTGAGTTGACGTCTGCTTTCTATTTTCTTCAGGCACCAGATCTCCTGTGAAGAATGATTAGCTTTTTAAGCATCGATTTAGCCTGACTATTTGATCCGCACGCAATTAAGCTTCGTCCCTGCCACGTTCGGATCTGCCGTGGCCTGTCAGGCCCTAAGCTCTTAGTGCCGGGCGGCATTCAGGATAGTCCAACGCTCTTGCTTGAAGGAACCAAGCATCCGGACATTCCTCCGGGCGTTCCCCCCCTGGCACGAGGAGCCTCCCAGAATACGAGACGCAGCTCACGACCGGCGGCTAAGACAGCTTGGCCTTGCACAAGCGAGTAAGACAGTGCCCCCCCCCCCCCCCCCCCCAAACGCGGCGGTGGCTTCCCATTCCGGCGGCCTCAATCGCCTCACTATTCGCTGATCCGCCATGTACGGGGGCTGTCCCTGTGCCGGCAGAGCGGCTGATTCGAGCATCATGGACGGGCCCGGCAGCGGGTGGAGCTGTCAGGCGTTCTATCCGCGCCCGCCTCGTCATCCAGGATGTCATTTCTCCCCTGGAAGCATGTCAGCGCAGGTGTTGGCTGCCAGGTTGCTTCTTTTTGGATCAATCAACCAGAGGTGAGACAGCCCAGTACCTGCATCCGCATGGCCCGCGATGCACTACATATGAACTGACTGTCTAGCAGGAAATGAATGCCATTGTGTCCGGTTTCAGTTTCAGAGCCACCAACCATCTCACTAGCAGCTTGACAGGAGGCCGCACCAGCAGGGCACCCAATGGGATCCGAGCTATCCGCGATAGAAAATTGCCTAGGGCCCAAGCTACGGGGGCACGTTGTTAGTCGCGGGCTCAGCAGTGGTGAACTAGCAGCAACGGCGCCACACTGGGAGGGTGTCGCAAACCGGCATAGTCTCAGTTACAACAATGCTATAAAGCTGGCTTGATTTCTCCCTCATATTCCATCGTCAAAGTCAGACTCCTTCGCCGGGCCGGGCCCAGCTCTCGTACTTTCAACCGGAGGCGCCTCCGAACACTGACACAAAAGGCGCCACGGCTTGTGGGGCCAGCAAAGATGACAGTACTCCGCATCGCGCTGCTGTGGCATTCGCATCGGACAAGCGCAGCAGCAGCAGCAGCAGCAGCTCCTCGGCGTCACAGAGTCGACGACGAGAGGAAAGGGACACACAAGGAGAGAGAAAGGGAAGATGTCGACGCGCAGCCACGGTGGTACATACTCGGCAATCATGGGAGACCAAGGGGAGAGAGGGCGAGTGCAACGGCATAAGCTCCGCATGCGCGACACGTTTGCGGGAAGCGCCCGGGACGGGCTGGCGAGTGGCGGCGGTCGCGCCCAGAACAGATCTACAGCGTTGTACGACGGCCGATCCGCAGGAGGGTCAGCTCGACCTCGCTATCGGTTGCCGTTGCATCTGCCTCGCCCTCGCCCTCGAGGCGTGAGATTCCACTTCCGCGCGGGCCAACCTCACCCCTCTACCTAAGTACCTACCCCCTAGTTACCCAACTACCTACAATACAGTCAGTCCTCCTAGATAGGCCTGCCCGACTGGTCTATGTTGCATTGCGTCACCACCTGCCCTGGATCATGGGCGCACGGCAGTCAAGCACCCCGCGCTTACACACTCTCTCACAGAGTCACAGCAGAAGCTAGCCTGATCGCCAAAGCGGCACCCAGCCAGCTGTTGTCAAGGGAAGCACTAGATGATGCACGCCAGTCCCAAGACGGTAGCGCCAATTTACGACCGGTGGATACGTCGTGAGAGGGGAGTAGCAGCAGCAGCAGCAGCAGCAGCACAGCCAGGACTGTCCAGTTACTACCGCCTTCACTTCCTCCGAGCTCCACTCTCCTAGCTCCAGACTTTGCTGGCATCCTGGGAAAAGAAATCCCGGTAGATCCGCCGCAGTAACGACAATCGACAAAAATCGGAACTTGCGCACCATTATCTCCAGAAAAAATTAAAAATAAAAGCAAAAAAACAAAAAAGAACAGCAAAGCAAAAGGCACTTTCTCGACGACGACGACGACGACGACGACGACGACGACAACAACAACAACCCAGCTAGCTAGCTTCTCCTTTCCTTGCTTGCGACCTCCACCCACCGCGCTGGATCCCGCATGTTGGAGCTTGTGCTCGCCGGCTGCTCTGTTTGGCTGTATGCAGGGAGTATGTGGCCCGGATGCTGCTCCACCGAATGGGAGAGCCCAACGCTCGTCTCGACTGCCTGCCTGTCCTCTTTGCCCTAGCTAGCCCGCTCACCCTCCGTTTAGCCGCCAACGGAATCTGCCCAGCCCCAGCATTCCGGGTCCGATCCTCTGGTTCCCACCCCCTCCCTCCTCCTCCGGCTTGGGGGCCAACCCCTCCAGCAAGGGATATGCTCCTCCTCCTCCTCCTTCGTCGTGCTTGTGAAAAGTTCTGCCTTTGCTGCCTGCCCTGCCTGTCTGCTCTCGCCTTCTGTTGCGCCGAAGCTTGAGCTCAGCCGTTGCTGGGCTGTCGCTGTTGTGGCGACCTGCCCTTTTCCTTCCTCTCTCCTTATGATCTCGCATCGTTCACATGGTCGGGGCCCCCGAGATATGCCAGCTGTATGCATGCAAATGTGATTTTCTCATACGGTGTCCATTTTCAAATCCGATAGGCACTGTTTCGGGCATGGTTGAGCGAATGTGGCCACTGCATTGCCCCACCAGTGTGCACTGGCTTGCGCATCGCCGTATCGCCGTGTTGAAAAGTAACAAGGTCCACGGGGCCGCTTTAACTCTGTCTGGAAACGTTCCCGCTGTCCTGACTTCGCTGCTTGCATAAAGGATTCTGAGCATCTTTGCCCAACCACCCTGAACCACTTTGCACCTTGTTATGCTGGTTTTAATATTAGGGGACTCTTTCCTCTTCTCGCAAGACGCAATTCGCTGTCTGCGTTGCTCCTTTCCATATCAAGGGGGTCCTCCCCAGTCCTTCAAGCTCGCAAACACATTTATGCAACATTGTTGATCGTTTATGATCGCCCCAGTGTCGTTATGCAGCCGGAGAAGCCGATTTTCGATTGTAGGCGCAAGCTTCTTTCCAAATTATGCCGGCCAGAGTTTCCCGTTCAGTACTCATCGTCGTCGCTATCCTCTTTGCTCTTGTCCCCTTTCATCCACGCCGGCTTTCCACTCCCCCACGGTCTCCTCAGATCGTTGAACTCATCTTCGTCACTGAGTCCATACTCTTCATCATCACTGGCGCCGACACGATAGTTGTATGCGCCTTGATCGTACTCGTCGTCACTAGCCACTTCCTCCTCCGGATACTCATTTCCGTAGAAATCTTCCGCATTCTCATCCTCTTCGTCCTCAAAATCAAAGTCACTGCCCTGATCACCGACATCCTCGAGATACTCTTCCCACAATGGCTGGTCCTCTTCCGAGATAATAAGCAGGCCAATGTTAGGAGGAAGAGTGTCGCTCTTCAACGGATCTATCAGAGTATCCGACGGGCCGTCATATCGGATATACGTGTCATAGACATACTCGCCGTCTTCAATATCTGAGTTCTCCATGTCAACATCTCGTTGGCTAGAGTCGGGCTTCTGCCCCTCAGGGTGACGATCGCGGTAGCGAGCAATTTGTGGAGTTCTGGGTTGGAACTTGAGCTTTGGGGGTGTGGCAGGCATTTGCGGTTGGTAACGCGGTTTGACAACAGATTTTTCCGACTCCTCCACTTCCTGGGCAAACTCCTGCATTTGACGAAGCAAGTTCTGATCGACGTCGTTCTGTGAAGGGGCTGTGCCTTTCTGGCCTTGAGCTGTTGCGTCAGACACACCATCGCGACCAAGAGTGTTTTTGGCATTGTCTTTGTTGCCCTCAGCTCTCGACGTCCAGCGCCCTTTGCTTGAGCTCGCTTTCGTCAAAGGTCTTTTGGGCTGCCGTTGCTCAGGCATGTCCATGTCAACATCACCATCATGGCTCGCGGTTTGGTTCGCGAGGTAATTTGCAAGGGCTGGCGGGACTCCGTCTTTCCTCGCCTTGAGTGGCTGCAACTTCGTCTCGACGAGAGTAGCGACATTCTTTCGCTTTTGAACGCCACCCGGCGGACCGGAGTAGGAGCCTCTAGAGAGGTGGAAGCGTCTCGTGGGACGCGGCGTCAGGACCTTCCGATCACTGAGACGTGGACTGGAAGGCCGGGAGGAAGTGGATAATGCAGGGGAAGCAGTCGCTGACGTGTCAACATCTTTGGACTCGTGGACACGCTTGAATATCGAGGTAAGAGTGGTTGCTGCTGTAGGCTCGGTCAAGCGACGCTTGTTCGGATCATCTTGGGTGCGGATATGCAACGTTTCGACAGGTTCGTCTTGTCTCTTGCGCTTGATGCGCACTGTCTGTGGTAGTTGGGACATTACTGGCCTCCAGCTCCTACGAAGATCCGTCTGCGATGAGTGCCGTCAGCCATCCATCGGGCGGCGTTCAGGAAAAAAAAAAAAAAAAAAAAAAAAAAAGTAAAGAGAGAAGAAACAAAAGTGTTAAGGACGCTTGAAAATTTGTCGCCGCGGTTGGCGGCGAGCATGTACGGATCCGTACCATATCGGGAAATGGCATGGTGGCGGCTATCATGGGATGCATGACAGAAATGAGCTGGGGGTTGGAGCCCCACGTATGCGTGAAAGAGAGAGCAATGCACTTACTATCAAGATGCTAAGGCCAAGGGTGTGCGGCGTGGAGAGTGCTCCACTACTATGAGCAAGCTGCGCGGTTGCTAACAAAGAATGCCCGTCGTCGTCGTCGGAAGAAGTCTCGAACCGGATAAACCCCGGTCCGTGGGAGTAGCCGGCGGCGGATGAACTCGCTTCTCGGCAACCTCGTTGTGATCACCGAATTTTGTCATCCGACCAATCGCTGCCTTTCCGACCACGGCACCGAGCAATGTTCTGGGGATGGCTTGGGGTAGAAAGATGAAGCCACTTCTCAGCTCCGAAAAATCCTCGTGCCATAGCCTGAGCCCCTTCTCACGGAAGCTTCTTTCACTCCTCATCCGCTCTTGCCTTGACGTGCTTCATCCGCAACCCGGCAGCCCGGGTACCATCTGCCTGCCGCGGGATACTACGTACGTAAAGCCGGGGCCCTGCCGCGAGGCTCATCGTTTCATTTGCTATCGAATCGATGATCTTTTCTCCTCTCAACTCCTGGACTCAACCGATCCTACTCCATCGAGTTCGTCCCACGGCCACGACAAGATATTGCCACGCGATTGCTCTTCCAAGTCGTCTGGCGTTTCAAATATCGCGGTACCGACCGCCGGAAAATCCCGTTTCTCATATGTCCCTGTCTGCAGCCGTGAACAGTTGCCCTTTACTCGATGCCGTAGAGTGTAAACCATAACCTACCTTGGCTGTAGAAAACGCGTTGATCAGCTTCAATTTCCCCTGCCTTGCTTGGATTACATCACCTTTGCCAAGGTTATATCAATTCGCGTCGTTGGGCATCATTGGAAGAGCTTGGGTCCGATAAGCCTGCAACCACCGAACACCCGTCCCCCCAAATCCGAAACGTAGTCAACTTGCGCCACTAGCAGACGTACATACTAAAACCATATTTGCACTCTCCCAAAGCAATAGGAAAATAATTACGGCTTACGGCCTTTGGGTTGCATCTCTAGCGCTTGGCTGTTGGGATGTGATGTGTTCTCAAGCTAGATCGATCAGCTACAGCTCGGATATATGAGACATCCCGTCGACGTAAACGGCTTCTTGTCCGACAAGACATCTGCAACCCAAACAGTAGCAGTTGTCAGTCGCAGCTGACCTGATGATGCGCGGAAAACATGCGCGGTGGATTGAGATTCTCCAATCAAAAAGGGCGATCGTGTGGTAACCTCCCGTGATGGAAAGATAGAACACCTCAACATCTCAGATCCAACGTTATTCCCGTCCTGAAATAACGCCTTAGCAAATTACATATGACTATCAATCCATCACATCACGAGGACCCTCTCGGCACTTTTTATCCGTCTCCAGCCCTGCACATGGGCCTCTGTGTGCAAGGATTGCATCCACAAAGGGTAACATCTTTAGACACCTTCGGAAAGCATCAATACTCGTCGAGGTCACAAGACATAAGCAAAGTACATTCTACGTAGCGGTAGCATGTTCTAAGGATACACAAGAGACGGGGGAAAGGGTAGGGTTCCACTAATCAGCCGTCGGCAGAAAATGCCGCTAGTTCCTTTGAGGCACTGTTGTTGGGGTTGACGCGTATTGTTCTAGATTGTTATCAGATTCTTAAAGTTGATGCCTGATACAGGGCATATGGACGCTGTTGGAAATTCTTCCGCGGAGTCTGTGCCCCTAGTCGTGACTGGGCCGAGGCAGAGAAGTCGTCGGTTGATCGAATTGATCAGCGCTCATCAACGCGCGGCATTTCGTATCAATCAAATGCGCTCAGATGGTATACTGACTTGCATATGTTCTGTTGCGGCCCTGCGATTATTGTAATGCTAGAGTTTCATTTTAGAGCAAGAATGCGGTAACTACGGTTTTTGAAAAGGTGGAGAACCACTGTGGCTGAGCATCCTTTTTCAGCACTTACCTAGTAACCGTTGGCTGTGACAAATTAGTATCATAACGACTCTTTGGCTATGTTGTACAAGGGTCCTCATTGATCTCTGCGGTCGCCCACCCTGTCAGTCTTGAACAGTGCGGTAGGAAAATAGAGGGAGAAAGAGGTGTGCACTGTTCAGAAAAGCCGTGCGTTGACAGGGTGGGCGGCCGCAGAGTTCAAGAGGGACCCTTGTAATAGGGGCATTGACCAGACATTTACAAGTGTTCCGGCCGAGAGATGTCCTTAGCCGGACTTATTTACTGCTGATTTAGTCGGTTTACTCAACTTAAAGCTCGCGGAGAAGGGCATCGCTCCTTAGTCGGGCGCCGGGTCATGGAAGGATTCAGTGATCGGCCTGTAGTGCGATGATCAGGGTCGAGATTCGCGGCCATGGTACGATTACTTGGGAAGTAGTAAAAGCGTTATTTGGGGAATTTTGCTAGTGAAAGTTTCGCCTGGTCTGAGCTTACAGGTGATGGTCACAGCAACGGAAATGTTCTCACGACAGGCTGGACGTACGATGATTTGAAAGACGGAGTTGCAGTAGCGGTATGTGCTTACAATTGCCGGAGGAGATCAACTCTGGATCATACGATTGTAAGTGGTGGTCGTAGCCCTTGGCAAGTTACACGTAAGATTTTGCTTCTTCTCCCACGACTGCTGAGGCTTTCACTTGCCCAATTATGGTCCAGAGAGGAAGCCTGAAATCTCGTTCCAAGCTTGTTATTCTGAATTTTTTGGGTCATCATGCCGTTCGTTATAAGGGCTCGGCGGAAACTTGTATCTCATTCTGCATGGTTGGCGGCTACATGCAAGATTTGTTCCTGTTACCCGAGAGACTTTGATCGGTTAGTCCAGCGACAACAATCTACACAACTAGTATTTGGATTTACGTCTGGATGCTCAATTGACTGGACTGCAGTAGGTGCGCGATGAACATCCGTCACGACAAGCTGTACTGACCGAATTTGTACCTGTACCTCTCAGCCTCTTCAACCTTCGCGACACGCCTCAGCGAGCATGCCATGAACTAGGCCTCTTCCAACACCATGAAACAAGACAGTCTGGACCAATGAGGGGGAGCAAACCACGCCAGCAGCGGACACTGTCGTGCAACGGTCGTCAGGCTTCGAGACGCTAGCCAGCTGGCGCGCACACAGGGGGTTCTGCCACTACAACAATCATCGACGTTGACAAATATCGCGGTAGTTGTCGCGGTATTTTGACAGGCTTTCTCCTGGGAAGGCGTAGTGGATGCTCGGTTGCCCACTTGAACCACGGTTCCTTCCCGTCGTTCAATACTTGGCTCCCGCCCTCACATAACGGAAGGGTCTCCGCATCTCCTGATGAATTCTGCCATCTCCCGAAAATTACGTTTGGATTCGTACTCGAGTACTGCTTGTTCCGACGGAAGTTGATCCCGCGTTTTGTACATGGAAGTACAAGGGCGAGTCGTAGGCCCTGGATTGATTCGGCGATGGGTAAGTGAGCCCAGAGTAGAGACACAAACCCATCGACACAGAACTGATCGAGGCGATACTCGTACGTCGGTAATTCTTCCTTGAAACAGCTCGAGCTGACAGCTCTTAAATCCAGTCCACTGTCCTTCGATGCAAGAAGCTGTTTTCGCCTTGCAGCGATCCAAGTTCCATCTCGACTCGCCACCAAACCCCTACTGCAGTTGGGTTCGTCACATCGCGAAGTCGAGACGTCTGTCGCGCAGCTGGGTCCATGCTGGAATCCGGGAATCTTTGTCGCATGAGTCCAAACAAGTCGTTTAGAGGATTGAACACCGATAGCTTATCGTGGCAATGAGCTGCTGCGGGCTCGCGTAGCCGCGCGGCGGACGATCTTTTACAGGATGACTGACGGGCACAAATTGGAGGATACTTGCCGACAAAGGCGTAGGCAGAGGAGCGCCTTTTGTACCCAAGCATAACCGATGGCCGCGCTTCAAGGCCTCCGATCGGGGTTCGCCGCCAAGACGACTGAAGAGCTATTTCCGATGAGGCAAGTCACGACTAATAAAAACGACCTCGAAATTCCCTGACTGGGCACAGCGCGAAGCACTACAAAAGTCAGAAACATAGCGCTTGGAGCCAAAGTCGATCAGCAATTGACAGCTATAGGCGTACAGTCACATTTCTATCGTCAGGACAGCATCCGGTTGGTCCTCTGTTGGCGATGCGACTTCACGGTGGCGCACCGGTTAAGAACGCCGGCTTCCCGTTTACCTACCCTATGGGGTAATCACGACTACAATTTCAGAACTTCGCCTTCTGGACGTTAGACGTCGGAGGAAACCCCCGAGGGTAGACTACTCCACCAGATCAGACCCTTCGCCAATAAGGACACAATCGCCCGCATCCGCTTCACCGATGACCGACTCGGCGTCGACAGCCTGAATCTCGGAGTATCTCCGAGCCCTCGGATAGCCAGCCGGTCGCACTGCCGTGCAGATCTGGGGAATGTCGGGGATCGCCCAGCACGCCGGGAACAGATCGAGATACGAGCGGACAGGGACGAGGGAAGCTGCTGCCTGCTCTGGCACACGTCGCACCAAGGTCCACTGAACTACCTAGCAGGTGGGGGAGATCGCCAACGGCCGCGTTAGGCGAAGAGAATGAATCGGGAACAATGGACGTCGGGGGTGGAATACCGCGGTGGATTGTTTGCTGCCGGCAGTGGGCTGTATGGCTTGAAAAATATCAGAGGACCAACGCCAGGACTGCTCCCTGGTCTGGCTCCGGGCTTCGTTGAGCCAGGCCCAGGCGGCTGGTCTCCCATCCTGGCCCGCACGCGTCGTTGCGTGAGGTGGACGCGAGCGATGAGGCACAGCTACTAGCCTCACTGGCCAGATGTGGCTCAGTAGCGTTGCTCGATCAACGAGATTCGACGAGTCTTGAAGTCGGCGCAAACTCACTGTCATTTCGTCTTCTAGAATCTGCATTCGCCGCGGCAGAGGATGGAAAAGAGAACAATCATGACCCGCGCGGACGTGGCAGGGGCTTTGCCCAACAGCGAAGACGCGCCAAGGATGTCTCCACAGCCACTCAATTGATAATAACACAACCCATGGCCCAGCACAACTCGGCTTCGGAGCAGGCTATAAGAGCAAGATTGGAAGTAGGCCCAAGATGCCACTTCAATGCGGTCTGAAGAAGCTTCTCCGCGTGGCTTGCCGTGGAGGGTCATGCGGAGCCCATCGGCAACCCCACACGCAAAGCTCCGATCCTTTAGGCGTAAGCAAACCTAGTAAGCAACTCCCAATCTGGCAGGAAGAAGGCCGCCTGAGCGCGCCAACCCCACGCGGGAGAAATTTGTGCCGTTGGCAGCCAGCGTACCAGCGCCACGCCAAGCAATCATTACCACCGTTTCCGCAAACGGCCCTACAAATTTGGTGATGACGCATCATAACCGTGGTTACAACAGCGGAGTAATGCTGGCATGCACGCGCGACTGCACATGGAGGCGGCATCCTTCGGCTTGGCGATAGAGCCGGAAAAGATCAAGTGTCAACCCTAGAACAGCTTCATGTCGGGTTACGGACGGCACGAAAAGGCCCTGGCGGATCGCGCTTGTTGGACGCACGCGTGAAGTAGCCGACTAAGTCGGCGCGGTTTGAGTGATGAGATTGGTGAAAAAGCCTCCCAGACGTGTGTATGACGCGAGATCTTTTGGGCACCTCACGTAAGTTGCAACTACACGTAACTAAAGATAGAGCCCTAGCAGGAAAACGTTTGCCGCTCGGCTTCATTCTGCTCCTATTCGCAGAATTCCGTTTGGTGTGCACCCGGACCCTGAGGTAGGTAGACAAGTTCCCGTCCCCCCCCGATTACTATTGCAAAGCCCATTGCTTCAACCAATTAACTTAACTACAACTTCGCTTTCGTCTTGGGTTTCGAGAGACGGTACTGCTGATGAATGTGGTGAGCGATAGAGACCTCTGCGGTTCTCTGAGTTGTGCCCCTGAAAGGATTTTCCAAGCACTTCCTCACTAAACTCGACACCCAGAGTCGCTTACCCCCTCTCACCACCATCCAGAAATCCATCGAAAGAACCTTAGATCTAAATCTGAACTTATCCCGAAGTACGATGGTCGTTGCCACGCTACGTCCCTTTCCCCTCACCGACCCCGCCGGATCTCGTCTCCATTCCATGGACGACCTCGAGACCGACCGCACCTCAACGCACACCCCACGAAATTCGCCACCCATAAAAGTCTCGTAGCCGCGTCTTACCACGAGAACAAAACCTCTGTCCACCTCGTCCCTTGACGTTTACACAACAGCATCAGGCTTACGCGCCACGTCCCTACATCCTTGGCTCGAACTACAATCAACCCTTTTTCGCCATCCCAACACGCACTCACATTCTCTCTCTCACGACAAGACAATTTGAGGAGCTTGAGACAGCAAAGATGCGACAAATGACCATGCACGCCTTTACAACCATGTACTGCCCCAGACGTGGACACAAGTGAGCGAACAGGACAAAGATACCAGATCATCAGATCTTTGATTCAGTCGACGGGTGTACAACAAACAAGGCCGAGCACCAGCAGGGCTAGGCCGTAGACTGCTGGCTTGTCACGCCATTAACGTGTTGGCGGATAGCCCTCGACGAGGCTGGCTGGCTGGGCAATGCCATTTAAAAGAAAAGCTTTATTTAATCAGCCAATAACAACGAATTTTTACAATTGGACTACTCAATTGCAATGTTCAGAAACCCAAGAGTAGCTAAAACCTCGTAAGTACCAGGCATGTAGCTGTCTTGACGCCATTGAGACTGAGGTTGAACTCGATGAGCCATGAACCACCCACGACGCATTACTATCCACGCAAACTTCAAAGCAAAACACACAAAGAAGCAAGCAAGCAAACAAGCAGGCTACATCGGCACGCCTCGCGCCTCATACTATCTTCCCCTCTCGATCTCACTCGCGCGCAATACCGAGCATATACAGCGGACCGCTCTCTCAAACACTTAAATCACCACCGACCAGGGCTAGCTAGCTCTATAACCGCTCTAATACACCCGCCAGCTCCACACCAACAACCAAACCCCGACCCCAGCCGTCTAATACACATACACACACATACGGCGTAAATACCACGCTCGCGAAACAAAACACTCACACGCGCATGCGCGCACGCACGCCTGCCCCGCCCCCACCCCCGCCCCATCACATCTCGTCTCGTCTCGTCTCGTCTCGTCTCGCGGTCTCGGCTCGCCATCGCATATAGTGTGCCTAACTATTGTAGACCCACTACCCACAACCCGCTTGCCCGCTTGCTGCTCCGATACGACGTAGTACGTACGACGTACGTAGTAGTGCGTCCAACCCACTTCTCTCCCCTCCTCCCTCCTAGATCCTAGGTCTAAGGTCCGGGTCCTACGGCCGTAACCCACTCACCCACCTACCTACCCACCTACAGGCAGGCTACGGGGCGCCGGTATTGTACCTTTGTTCCTACGTTCGTAGGGAGGTATGTCCCTAACTTGTTTGGTTGGTTGTTAGGTATTGTAGGTATTGCAGCACACGCCGGGGACCGAAACAGCTTTCTGCCCGCTGGTCGTGTGTATCAGGGCATGTATGTATGTGGTAGGTAGTACGTAGGCACCGACATGCGCCAACAACGAACGAACGATTCAATCACGACGAGGACGGCCACCCTTCCCCTAGGTAGGTAGGTACCTAGGTAGGTATTACGAGGCAGGTCCCAGCCATTCCCGGCCTGCCCTTGGGCCGATCCCAATCCCAATCCTTCGCCCTCTCCCCCCTTCGCGCCCCACGCCGTCACAAAAACGCCCAGAGTCCGACGCCCGGCAAACGGCTGCCGGCGGCTATGCTATAGGCACTAGGCAGGGACGATATGGAGCCGCGAGCGGGCGGGCGGGGCCGCTACTGGCTAGCCAGGTAGGTGGATAGATGGATGGGCAGCTGACAGATGAGACGGCGTGGCGAGGCTGCCGGCTGCCCTGCCGAAGGTAGGTATCTACCTGTTATCTAGCTAGGCAAGCCGGCGAGGCCCGCGGAAGTGGTATGTATTGTAGTACAAGGGTCCCTCTTGAACTCTGCGGCCGCCCACCCTGTCAACGCACGGCTTTTCTGAACAGTGCACACCTCTTTCTCCCTCTATTTTCCCACCGCACTGTTCAAGACTGACAGGGTGGGCGACCGCAGAGATCAAGGAGGACCCTTGTACAATAGGAGCCCGGTGGCATGTGGTATAAGTGGGAGCTCGCGTGCGTCCACCCGCCCGTCTTCGCCCGGTTCGGCGCGATTCGGCGCGGCACGGCGCGGCGTCCCGACAGCTCGGGAGCTCGGCTAAAGGGTAATGTTTCATGCTGAGGCGCCCCCGTCACGAGTACGCTGGACGCTGGGCCTCGGTCGGGACCGCTGTGCGCTTTACCGAGCACGCCGAGCTAGTTGTCCGTGCGCCCAACTGCCTGCCTGACTGCCGCCTAGTGCTTGTGTTCGCTCGCACTCCCTTCCCTTCACGCCGCCGTCCGTCCGCCAGCCAGTCGACTAGCCAGCTCACAGCGCCCATGACACGACGAAGCTGAGCAGGCTCCCCGCCGTCAAGCCCGACACAAGACACAAGCCCATAAACCCGCCCGCGGCCTCGCGCTCGTCCTCACCCACATACTCGACCGCGCCCATCATGCACGTGCTGCCGACGAAGCCGTTGCTGAGGCCAAACAGCAGCTGCACAAGCACGAGGTACACGGCGTCGGAGGCGAGGACAGCGCCGCGGCCCTTGACGTTGCAGAGGAGGTAGAGGGGGAGGAAGACGATGCGGGCGGCGGCGAGGGCGAAGACGGCGCGCGGGTGGCTCGTGAGCGACAGCGCTGGCACCGCCGGCAGGATGCGCCCGAGCAGGTCGCCGGCGTTCCAGAAGAGGAAGGCGAGTGGGATGAAGGCGTCGGGCTGGAGGAGGCGCGGCGTGTCGGCCGTCCCGCTGCGCACTGATTGGATCTCTTGCGTGAAGATGGGGTAGATCATCGTTACGGCGAAGGTGAGGAACACGGCCGTTGCGAGCCAGAAGAGCTTGCGCAGCAGTGTGAGTAGCGGCACCGGCGCGCGCGGCACGGACCCCGACAGCAGGCTGTGCTGCGAGTTTTGCAGGTCGTCGACGCTGCCGGCCGAGGTTTTGTGCAGCGGGTGTGCGCGGTACCGGAACAGGAGGAGTAGATAGGCGGCCAGCGCGCTGAGGGAGATGAGTGTCGCGAGTATGAAGTAGCGGAACGCGTCATTGGGCTCCTCGCGGGCCACTTCGTCTTCGTTGGCTGGTAGGTCGAGAGCCGACACGATCTGGAAGATGCAGGGTAGCACGCCCGCGAGGCCCTGGCCTGTCATGATGGCTTGCGTGTACTCTTCCCGCCCGAAGCCCGTCACGTACGCGAAGACGCCGTTTTGGCACAGCGCAGTGCCGAAGCTGGCGGCACCCACCATGAGCATCATGAAGACAAAGTACGCGCCCGCAGACACGGAGAGGAAGTGCTTTGTGGAGATGGCGAGAAGGCTGAAAGTGACAACGAGCACGCCTAGAGAGGCTATGATGCGCTTCGGATAGTTCGCGCGGGCCTGCATCTCAGCGAGAACAAGCATGGCGCCCAAGTTCACGACCGTCGAAATGGTGAGCTCGGCCGACTGGAAGTTGTGCAAGATGGTCTCGTTGGAGGAGAAGCGGTGCTGGAAGTACGGCCCAGCTGCGAGGAACATGTTCCTGTCCGGCGTGTCAGCAAAGATGTTTGCGCATCGTGCGAAGCACCGAGAGCTCCCTACCAGGCCCATAGCATGGCAACGCCGAGCAGGAAGAAGACAATGTAATCAAACCACACAAAGGGCGGCTTGTCCATTCCCTCCTCTTGCTCCGTCTGCTCGTCATCCTCCCTGAACCTGTCGCCCCTCTCCAAAGGCTCATAGGGCTGTTGCTGTTGTCCCTGCAACAGCTCCCGTATCCTGTCCATCGTGCCTTGTGTGATAGCACCCTGCTCTTCCAAGACCTATGTTCCTCGTGTGGGGATGCGGGGGTTCGGGGCGCTCGGACGGGGGATATATGAGAAGGCGTCGAGGGGATCGTAAGTGCGCTCGTCCAGGACAGACGCTACCGTGGTAACGAGGGGTTCATAAATCGGCGGCGGATGGTCGATGGCGACAAACTGAAGTGGTTGCGGAGAGTGTGGGGATGCGATCAGATGGGTGGCCCATGTGGATAGGTCATAGGCCCGCCAAGCCGGGGTTAAGGAGACCCTTCGGCGCCGTGGGCGAGAGCCAGGGCGGGAGCAGAGCCACCAACTGTCACAAGAGCATCTGCATCTGGAAACCAGAATTGCCCAAAAGGCCATGATCACCAGGGGACATGCGGCGCAATCAGATCCTTAACATTGGTCCCGTCATGTTGACACTGTATTCAACTACGTGCCTGTACGCCAACTTTGTACATATAATTCCTGATACAACAATGAACAATTTCCAAGCCCGCGTTATTTCCTCGCGAATCCCGCGTGCGTGTCTATACCAAACGCTCCAAACGCCTGCGGTCTCCTGTGGATCCGCCCAAGCCTTTGCGGCCGGTCTAACCATCTATCATCTATGTAGCCGTGATAGCTTCGACGCTTAATAAGACGCCGGCCTCCTCAGCGGGTGAGCCTCGGTGTTGAACACAAACTGGTCCAAGCTGATCAACTCGGGCTCGCTGAAGATGAGGTAGTAGTACTTGAGTGTCTCGGCCATCCAGAAGCTCTCGCACGAATCCACCTTGAGGACCTCCTCGGGGTCGTTGACGTTGTTGATAGCGGCGTTGCTAATCTCCGTGCGCGTCGCCCTCTCTACCGCCTTGAACATCTTCCACGCCTTTTCTTGGTACATGCGGTCGCCCGTGATACGGTACATGATGAAAACGCTCTCGATGGCTTCAGGCCGCAGCAGGTACCGCTTGTCACGTACGTCGGTGAAGCCGTAGGGCAGGTTGTGGCGTTCGATAACGCTGAGCGCGTCTTCGGCGGTGCTTTTACCGGTGTATTGGCGCACACCTTCGATCCAGCGCTCCTCGGACCATAAGCAGTCCGTGGGGTCGGTGCAGGGGACAGCATGGAAGATCTCCGGCATGATGCCCGTCGGCATCGACTCGTAGGCCCAAATACAGCCGTCAGTGAGTTGGCGCGCAAGCTTCACTTCGTCGGGGCGGTCGAAAATCTTGGCCGCAATGCCAACCATACCGCCCACGAAACAGCCGAGATGCTGGCCCTCAGGGTCCAGCTTGATTTCGTTCGCTGCGTTGTTCGAAATCGTGCCAGAAATCAGAATGTCCTTGTTATCCTTGTTCAGGGGACGCCAGAACATGTATTTCTTGGCAGCCTCGATGGAGCCCTCGTACATGTAGCGGTATTGGTCCATGACTCCACCAAGCAAGAGGTACTGCTTAGGGAAGTATTCGTAAAGGGAATCGCTCATACCACCAAACGTGAATCTCCTGTCATCCGTAAAGGTGCCCTTTCTCGGGTTGACAATAATGGGCCAAAGGCCGGGAATCTTCGTGTCGTTCTGCTGCGCCTCGAATTCATCCGCAATACGCTGGACTGCGTCGTAATATTTCGGGTCACCGGTGAGCTGGGAGAGGCGAGTAAACTCAAGGGACAGAGACCCGACTTCCGCGGAGACGGCTTGAGAAGAGGGTCGCTGCTCCTCATGATCGGCTCCTTTCCTCCAGTTCCAGTGCGAAACGGGCATGCGGTTAGGCGTGTCGAATGCACGGTAGAGCATTTCGCCAAGCTCGAGCGCCTTCTCCTTCAGTATGGGGTATTTTCCGCCGCTGAGGTCGTTGGCGGAGAGAAGACCTCCCAGGTAACGGATCGTAGTCTCAAAGATGTTCAGCGAGATCATGTCGGTCGTAGTAAAATCAATCTTCTTTAGCCCCTTGCAAGCAATTTCAAACTCTTCATGCAAACCCATGATCCAAAGCGTGTCTAGAGCGTCAACCAACGAAGCACCCCAACCACCAAAGGTGTTTTTGTAGTTGCCAGAGAGAGGCGTGAGCTCGTCCTGCAGCCACGCATACGTCTTGTAACTATGCCACGAGCGCAGGAAACTCGCCTTGACAGCCTGCTGCCTCGCCTCCCTCTGACTTTGTTGCTCGAGTGTTTCTTCCAAAAAGCCGTCATACTGAATCTTAGGGATGCTGGTGGCCTTCGCTGCCGGCAGCGAGGTAAAGGTGCTTAGAGGATAGCGTTCCGGGACGTCTTTCCATTGGACGGGCTTTTGGAGGTTCCTGTCGGCATAGGAACGCAAGGGTACGGGGCTTATAGGCTCGTTTGAGTGGAGGTTGAGGAGGTGGAAGAAGGCCACGACCGTGAAGAAGGCGACTGCCAGTGAAAAGGACCTGCGAATGAGAGGCATATTGACTGTTTTGCAGGTGCAATAAGTCTAGGAAGGAGAGGGGGGCATGGAAGGAGATTGAGCTGGATCAGGGTAGACGTCTAGCTAGTGTCTTGCCTTGGAACGATGCGGGGAGCTCCTTCCGGCTGGCCGTGAAAAAGAGCGACGAAAGAGGAGAGCGGCAAAGATGAAGGGTTTCGTAAAGGGGGATGGGAGAAAGGAGAGGCATGCGACGGCTGACAGCGAATAATACGAGCGCGGCGCATTGGAATCCTGGACGGTTTGGATGGGGACCCTTTTGTGCATCGACAAAGATAGTAACGAATGGCGTCACATGCAGCAGCGGCACGCGCAGCATAGGTACGGAGTAGTGCAACACCAAGCCGGCTGCCGGCAAATTCCCATACTTTGCAGCCGCCGCAATTGGCCTCGCTCTAAGCCTTCTTTTTTCCTGTCCTTCGCCGCGCGCAGCAGCTTCACCGTTGTCGTCGTCGGTGAGCAGGTGCTGATGACGCTCATGTTTCAGCGGTGACGATCTGCTCACGATCCAGGCGCCTCTCCGCACTTTTGCTCGCGCCGGTGGGTCTCGCAATCTTGCAAGCGGGCAATCCCTTCGCCATGGCTGTCACCGGGTACGCGTCAAAGCCCATCCTAGGTTTCGCCCACTGACTCTGTCTTGTCGTCGCGCAGCATCTACCTCGTCCAAGGCCAGGGCGCGCCCTCGCTGCCCGTCCTCAGCGACCGCCTGGCCCGCGCCTTCGACCCTCTCCCCGCCGGCCCCTGGGTCCTCCAGCACCGCCTGTTCCGCGCGAACCCCGCGCCCGCGTCCGCCCTGGACACGGCGCCGCCGCGCCTCCAGCACCTCGTGGCCCTGTCGCACCACGCCGGCCGCGCCTTTGCCCTCGTCGACTGCGACGACGATGCCACCGTCGCCATGCCCCTCCACCACATGGAGCCATATGCCCAGCTGCTGTCCGCAAAGTTCGGCGCCCTCTGGCACTACCGCACCGGCAACCACGTCACCAATGGCGCTGCCTACGCCGTCGATGGCTGCGTTGTGCGCGTCGGAGAGCTGCGCGAGAGGGGCGGCCAGCAGGCTTTTCGCGGCCTCATCGTTTCCATACAGACCGTGAAGCAGGAGTCCGGCGAAGGCGTCGAGGGGTCCGAGAGCGTAAAGAAGGACGAAAAAGAGCCTCAGGAGCTCATCCGCGAGCTCTGGCAGAAGCTGGACGTGCGGGACGCCAAACAGTTCATGGTATCCATCGATACGGACGATGTGGATGCCGCGGCCGCGCAGGAAGCCAAACTGTGGTGCGACGTACTCCGCCAGGCAAAATAAAGCGGCTCGTCGAACCCGCGGGCTTCTCTGTGGCCTGGAGGAACGGGCGTGGTTGGGACTGGCCAGTTCGACGTGCAGAATCCCAAAAGGTTATATATGTCTCGGCGGAAATAAGAGCGGTAGAGACATGCTTACCATAGCAGAAACCCCGCCAATGAACACTGCTTGTCCAATCCACATTGCGTAAGCCAATCTCATGACGAAATCGCTCCCGAGTCTCAACTGTGCTCGTTTGGAAACAAATATATTGGACAAATGCACTCGTGCACATCTGTTCTAGCACGCCATTCTGCCCATCTGTTTCACTACTACCCATTAGCACTACTTCATCCCAGCTCCTTTCCATATCTTTCCTTCTGTTCTCAACCCCACCCTCTCTGAACCCCCAAAGCCGCTTCTATTCTACCCCAGGAAAAACAAGGTTAAATCGCAACTTCCAATACCCTCTTTCTCACCTTCTGCCTAGTTAATGCATATACCAAAGACGAAAGCGGCGATTCTACCACACACAACGCCCTAGCACCATACAAAGTCCTCTAATCTTTCATTTCCTCCAGTAACTGCAGTCAAACAAGAATAGAGCCGTCAGCAAAGCATATTACAGCATACCAACTAAAAGGCCACACCCACATTGCTAGAGCCATCGTTAATATGTTTAGCGTAGCGATAGATAATATACGCGGCGTAGACAAGTACTCTGCGCTACAGGCACCGAATTGCAATGCCAGCGTCCATTTCCGACTTAGTCCTCGCTATACCACCGTACTCGGTCTAGCCTAGTATAACAACTAGCTAGCTCGTACGCCATGCTATCCCGCAAGCCATCCGGTAAGCCAGCCGACGCTACTGCTGACTAGGCATTTCCTTCGCTGTCTACTACTCTTAAGGTATAGTAATATACTCGAGCTTTATCTACTATTCCTTTACCTGGTTATTCATATCTCGTGTTGCTTTACTAATAGTAGTATTTCGGTCCTCTTGCTTACTTTGCGCTTTATACTTATTGTTTTTTGCTTGGTGTGCGGTCTTGGTAGCTGTTGGTTATCAGTTATATGTTGGATATATATATGTGGTTTAAATATGTGTTTTAGATAAATAGTTTAGCTGTCTTTTCCTTAGTCGCGCGCGCGAGAGATACTACGGCGGCTTATATACTACGTCTATTATAACGATAGGCGTATAGTATATACTTTTAGTAAGTTTTCATTAGTATCTTTATAGAGATAGTATGTTTATACTATTGCTCTAGAACTATTAAATATAGTAGACAATAGTTATTACTTTAAAGAAAGAACAAACAGAGCCGAAGAAGCGATACGTAGACGAGTATGTAGACGTTTAATAGATGTAACGACTGCCCACCCACCCCCTCTATAACACACACACACACACGAACTAACGAAGCGCTTTACCATCACAACCATCTCACAAGCCACTGCATCAGCCACGGCCATCTCGCTTCGTGTTTGCTATTTACTACCCAGTCCTCCGCTGGCACGCAATGCAATGAAGAAATTCACTTGCGCGCGCGCGCCTATACGTCCTTGCGTGGACATAGATAGGTACCTACTTAGCTGCGGCTGTCTGCTGGGTACCTAGGGAGAGTGGACGTATTTGCATAGATATTTGGTACACGCATACGTAGGTACATACATAGGCAGTGAGCCACTGCCGTTGTTGTTCAGACGCCGAGTCCTTTATAAGCAAGTGTACTTCAAACACGTCCCAGACACATCAGCGAATTGATTGATTGATTGATTGATTGATTGGTTGATTGGTTGATTGCATCATTGGATATCCTAGCCAGCCGACTGTCCTCGGCGTCTTCTATAGCAATAATCTCTCCAGCCCAACAACATCTACTCCTCCAGCAGCGCACTTTCGCGCGCCTCCCATCGCGCCAACAAACCAAACAAAGAAAAAAGAAGCGCAGCAGTGGTATCCCTCCGTAAACGCCGCCCATTTCATCCCTCCATGCAAGAACCCTAAGAGCGCGCAGCCGCGGCCCTCGCCCTACGAAAAAACGCGTTTTGAAGAATAATAAAAGCCTCGATCTGTCGAGGCCGTAGGAAGGTGAAAACAAATAAAAATCCTGGAACTCCTTTTAGGTGGTAGTGGTGGTGGTGCTGGTCACGAACAGCGCAGACTACTCGATATACCAGAACGAGTGCACGGCCGGCAGATGCAGCGACGGCGGCAATGGGGCCGAAAACGCCACGTCCGCGTACGGGTGGTGGTGGTGTGGCGCCGCAGCGACAGCAGACGCAGACGCAGAAGAGGAAGCAGATTCAGGCATGGGGGCCCAACGGAGTCACTTGCGTGCAGCGGCGTCAGGTGCGGAAGCTTCGGTCTGTAGGCAGGAAAAAGAGTCGTAAGTCGTGGGTTCGTGATAACGTGATAGGTAGGTAGGCAGCGAGTGCGAGTGCGAGGGAATAGAGGGGGGTGCGGAAGCGATGCTCGTGCTTCTTCTGCCCCTGCTCGCTTGCTCGCTCACTCGCTCGCGCTCGCCAACGCGCGAAGACCAGACCGAGATTCCGGACGGACATAACGGACGAGACCAGCTGAACCGGACCGGGCTGAGCGAGGACGAACAAAAGAGCGCGAAAGCAGGAGCAGGAGCAAGAGAGCGGGGCGGAACGGAACGGAGCAGGGGTGTGTGCAGTGATGTGTAGGTAGGTGGCGGGGCGGGCTTATTGTACCTCGTAGAGCTCAATGGCCTTCTGCATGTCCTCGAGGGAGTCGCGCGAGCCATATGCCGCCATCAGTGCGGCGTTGCGCTCGTTCTGGGCCAGCGAGCGGGCCTCGGCTTGCGAGAGGCCGGCGGCAGAGCGCGTTGGGCTGTAGCGGCGGTCGAGGTACGAGGTCGCGGCGACGCCTGCTCAGGTGGCGGGGTTAGCGCGGGGATGGTTCGGGGCGGGGCGGAGAGTGAAATGGAGTAAAAGCGAGGGGTTTGGGGTCGCGAGTGGGGCAGTGCGTGGTTGGCAGACACCCGGGGCAATGACGTACCGAAAGCCAAGGCGGCCGTCACCGGCATGAACCATTTGGGCATTTTGCGGGCGGCGGGGCGCAGAGTCGCGTGCATGTGGGCGATGCTGGCGGCGCTGGGGGCGGCGTGGTGCGGAGTAAAGGTCGGGTTGAGGTGGGCTTGGAAGGTTGGGTGCACGCGGGCGGCAGTGGAGAAGGGTCGCGGGGACGGGAGACCGGCCATGGTTGGTTTATGTACGTTGGAGTGATGACGGTGGTTCGATCAAAGTCCAAGAATACTGGATCCCGGAAAAGGGTGGAGAAAGGTTGTGTGTTTTTGTAGGCGATGCGGTTCGCGACAGCCAAGAGCTGGGGTAATGCAGCAATGATGATGCGCTCGGTAGATCGGTCAAAAGGTGTCCGGCCGGGGTTCCAATGGATGCGTGTGGATGGTGGTAGTGAACAGCTAGCTATTGGCAAGACTTGGGGGCTCATGGAATTGATATATATCGCAAAGCAAGTGTCAAACGGTCGACTGATCGGACAGGGATGCAGGCAATCTCGCCTTTAGCGGGCCGTCGCGCATCACGGCGCAATGTGGAGAGGCCACGAATAATTGCCGGGAGCTCTGGCGAGTCGCCGACTTTTGCCGCGTCACAATCGAGTGACACGGGGGGTCTGGTAGTTCGACCGTGGGCTGATCGAGCCCGCCACCGCCCTCGGACTTTCCTCGCCCACACTCCCTGAAACGCTGAGCCTCTCACGCAAACTCACCCATCTCTCCACTATCAAGCTTTTTTTCTCCTTTGCCTCCTCCGGATTGGCTAGGTCCCCATCTCGCATCGACGCTTCCAGAGATCGTTCCCGAAACAGAGCCTCCCACCCTTCCCTGACCATCACCAGACAGCTGCATCTCCAAAAGAAAAAACCTCGTATCTGTTCTACGCGCCCATCTCGCGTCCGCACCTTACCTCGCCGTTGTAAATAGCGCGTCGTGTCTCGCGTCGACTGCAAGCTTGCGCAAGACCGATCGCCCACGCAGCGCCTGGAAGCATCCAACGCACCACGGACGCCTCTCGGACCGATCGCCAGGATCCACCAGGCCGGGCTGGGAGCCTGGGAGCCTGGGACGGGCGGCGGCGGGCGCTCGGGCTCCCGCTCGCGGTGGCGGCCGTGGCCGTCCGTCGGGCTGGAGCGAGTGGGCGAGTGAGTGGGTGGTGGCTTGACCGGTCAAGGCGTGTTTGTGTGTGGGTGAGTTGTTTGGGGTCGGGGAGACGCGGGCGCGTGTCTGGGTGCTAGTGCTGCTGCTGCTGTTGCTGGGTCTGCGTGCGAAGGAGCGGGCCTGTCTGGTGAGCTGAGGCTCAAGGCCTTGCATGCTGCCAAGCACCCATGCATGCACGCTGTCGACCCGACGCGTGCTTGATCGTACTCGCGATCTGTCTCAGGGGAAGGGCCCTGGTCTCGGGAGCGGCTGAGAGAAAAAAAAATTCCGATTTCTCGTTTCCGCGCAAACGGTGGTGTGGTGTTTCCGCGGGAGCAGGCGGCGACTACGTGGCCATGCATCAAATCAATCACTGCCAACGGCCATGGCTCCCAGACAGACGCAAGATAGCAGTGCCGCCGCTTTGTATGGGGGCCGTTGGCAATCGCGCCTTCTGGTTGTAGTGTCCGTGGTGAGACACGCCCGCGCCACTGTCTCCCGTTGCGCCCCGGCGGGTACGCTGCTTACAGTGACGCTTCCCGCTGCCAGGTCTGGTCGCGAGACTTGCGTGATCAGTCGCGCTGCGTCCTTGATTGCTTGCGCTTCTCGCAATGCTGTCGCCGATCTGTGTGAGCAATTGATGCTGCTCGCTCACCACCCTGGCCTCCACTGTCATTCTCCTTCATAGGCTCTCAGCCCTCACCGGACCGCACCGAGTCGTCTCGCGTATCAGGAGCAAGCAAGCTAGCAGGCAGCCTGTCATGCTCACCGACTGCTTGTCGCTCTCCTTTCTCTTTTCCAATCCTTCGTCTCTCTCTCCTCTTTCGTCGTCGAGGACGTCGCCCGTAACATGACGAAGAAATTTCCCACCCACACAGCCTGAGGTACCGACCATCGCGTTCGGGAGCAGTGACGCACTCCGCAGGACTGGAATCCCGCTGTATGGTGGCGCTTGTGCTCAGTGTCTGCCTGCACTGCACGCGGTCAGCCAACTGTATCTACTGTCTGCACAAAGCCAGCACAAAAGATTGGACACGCACAACCCTAAAGCGCTAAACAAGCAACGCAGTACTTACCCCCGTCAACAATCACGCCCAGCACGCCGCTCGCGCCTGTTCGCGTCGTCAACAACAACAATACCACCACCACACACCACACCCATCCCTAACCCTCAAGACACAAAGCCATTAACTAGGTAGCCTACCCAGCCTCAACCGCAGCCCAATCCAAACCAAGCTGTCGAAAACCACGACGACGCAACCGCCATCATCACCGCCACCGCCTTCGTCCTGTCCCGTCCAGTTCAGCGTTTCAGCGTGCAGGCTTCCTTACCGATATGTCGACTCGGCTTCTTGCGGTCGGCGCGGCTGTGTGCTGATCTGTAGTATACTGTGTACCTGCGCTGGTACTTCCACGGCGGATGCGACTTGCGATCGGGATCGGCGGGGTGTGCGCTTGTCGTGATGGCTGGGGTTGGTGTGGTGGTGTCTGGGGCTGAAGTGAAGGCATTTATGCGGCCGAGTGAAGAGACACGGCTCCTACTTAACCTCCCCTCCCCCACAACCTAGTCTCCCTCCCAACAACACCCACCTGACACCTCCCCCAAGCCCCCACTAAAAGCACCACTATAGCACCACCACGTCCACACGTGTGCACTCAGCCCTGTGACTCACTCACCACTCAACGCTGCCCTGCGACGTGATTACCCCTCGTACCCCGCTTCTTTGTCTTAACGCCAACGGCCCACGGCGGGAGATGCTAGATGGTAGACGGTAGGTGGTAGAAACGGTCCGTCCCAGTGACCTGGCTGCTGGGTGCATGATTTGCTTGCGACTTGGGTGCTTGGGTATTTGTTTAGCCCTGGCCCCGCTCTTGTACACGCACGGTGATGTTTGTGCGTCCGAGCGTGTGGTGGGGTGTGACAATGTTTGTATGTGTGTGGACGTACCGATGAGTTTGTTTGGTTTGTTTTGGTGCTTGTGGGGTGTGGCGTTTTGAGGCACTGTTGGTGTTGTGGAACTTCATCTACAGTCATCCGTATTGGACAACACTCTCCTGCACTAACACCCTCTCCCCCCAGGTCAGTTCCAACTCCAACATCACTACAGCAACACTAAAAACCGTGACAACAACAGCACGACGAACGCCCTGGTCAAGTAAGTAAATCTAGCCACATAAAACCGCGCAAACGGACAGAAGCTCGAGTACCTAAAACCAACGCTTATATTTAGCGAGAGCAGGAGCAGCGCTGACGAAGGTTCAGGCGACGCTGCGCGACACCGAAGACGTATTCGGCGATGAGATGAGTGGAATAAACACAGAGCTACTGGACTGGGTCGCGCTGCGGCTGCAGCAGGTGACGGGACATGCGGGCGTGCGCTTTAGCGGCATCGGCATCGGCGTCGTACTGTTAGTGTTCACCACCAAAAACCAAAACAGACGCTCAGCTCGCCTATCTATCGTTAGGTAATACTTAGGGCCATTACCTTAACTTGATGTTCATCATCCCCCTCCCTAGTCTCTTTAATATCTAATCGAATATTTATTAGCTCATAAACACTCGCAGTTAGGCCTTAGTTAAGGTTTCTTCTATAGAGAGTCTATTGTTTCCGCTCCTAACATAGTGCTCTGCGAACCGCGCGTTGAGAGGATGGTACTGCCGTAGTGCGTCAGGGATGGTTGGTGCTTCAATCTGTATGAAAATGGCTAGAAAGGCGGCGGATAATTTCACCACCCTACATGATCGATCTACGCTATTAATGCGCGGTTGTACAACTATACAACTTACTCTATGCGACTGAAGATATGTCTAAATTACTACGGGCGCGTATGTGTAACTTTAAAGCATGAGATGTAAAAGCACGAGATTTAAAGGCACGAGGAGGTAAAAATGGATTGCTTACGTCTGAGAGTTGTGGTGCTAGCTTTGTTTAGTTAGTACTTATATGCTGTCATGGTTGCATGGCTGCTCTCTCATTGTTCTTCGTCCTCTTTGAATGGACAGTGTTGGTCGTGAGATGTTTATCGTCGGCCGCCGATGCCGTCACCACCACCGCGATCGAGCGGTGGCTCGTATCTGTGCCGAATAACGGCGATGGTCAGTATTGCTGTGAGTTGAAGTTGTATTTGATAAAAGCTCGCAATAAAGCCTCTCTTCAAGGCCGTGTCTGACACCTTGAGGCTCTCAAAATCGCCGTCCTGGTCACTGTGCATAACGGGACGTGTACCATTGGTATGTCTACCGCATGTCTTGGAGGTAGTGGGCTTCGCGACCACACAGATGAGATTACCGTAGTTGGGGGTGATGGATTTAGCTGAAAGGGGAGATAGATTTATCTAGTGCCGATGAAATTTAGGCGGGACAGAATATATATTCTACGGTCCCGTATAATTCGCCCACTCTTTCTAGATATTTTGTCCACCCCTCAACTGCATATCGAGTGAAATCTACGATACCTATAGGGTAGTCTTTAGGTACTTGTGATTTGACTATTATGCTAGGGGCAGTAGGCACTATATAACTATATAGAAATAAAAAGATATGAGGTACAATAGTACTTAAATGGATATAACAGTAAGAATATATTCAAACCCTAGAATATGCTACGAGAATATAGAGATATAGAATTATACGAGTACTAAAACATACTATGAGGGCACGAAAGTAAGATACTCGAAGGGTTTAGAGGCACTTATAAAGGGGTAAAGATATAAACTATCTAAGAGTAGAATATATATCATATAGTTTTACGCGGGATAGGCGAAACATCTGAGGGGGTGGTTAAATTATCCAGTGCTATATTCTACAGCGAGATGACTTGGCGCGACTGGTTGTATTGTACAGTGTACTAATAGTAGCGTACTTACTAGCCGTGTTGTACTTATCTTCTTGAAGCTCCTAAGTGCGCTGGTGGCGGGTAAAGCTCTTGGGGTGGTTGATGGTCTTTGACAGTAACTTGTGGACGGAAGTAAAGTGAGTGAGTAGCAGGAGACTTTTCCTAAGTGCGTGATTGGGTAGGTAAACCTCTTTTCGAAAAGGTGGTGTTTCGGACAGCCTCTGGAGAAGTGGATAGCTGAGGAACATCAAGGATCCGCCAGTGCTAATAGCTTCGCAAAAAGCGTATAGTAGGTTGCTGCCGAGGCAAGTGATAGGGCGAGCGCAAAAGGCGATTGCACAGAGAAGAAGAAGAAGAAGTTTAACGGGCCAGAACAATGCATGTGAGCGAGCTACACTGACACTAACACTGACGGCTTAACACGCCAAACAAGAAAAACCATTCACCTTAACATCCCCACGTTCGCCTCCGATACAAAAAGAACAAAAAGCAAAAGAGCAAAACAGGAACCCGCCTCCTCAGGCGTTACCCCTTCTCCAAACTCTAGCTCACTTATCGCAGGACAGCCATATTATTTTGGTGTTTACCCCTTGACCAGGCGCTCGTTACTTAAGTCAGGCGACTGAATCGCTGGCGAGTTCGATGATTAGGTACCGGAGTCCCCATTATACATAGCGCATATTTAGTTAGCACAGCGATCGCACAGTGCTTAATGGGCTTTTTCCACAGCACAACAGTACGAACAAGGCTTTCTCAACGCAACTAACACATTACCATTTTCGAAAGCAAACAACCTCACCGCTTCACTTCCCCCGCCCCCTCCACCACCGGCACACACCCCGCCCTCGCCGCACCCACCCCATCCTCCTTCGCCTTCTCCATCTCGCGCTGATACCGCTCCCCAGCCACAGCCCACCACGCCAACGCCACAAATCCGATCCCGCCCACGCACACACACGTATAGTTCATATTCGCGGCAGTAACAGGCTGATAATAGGGAAACGCAAAAAAGACAATAGCAAAAAGGAGCCACACGACCGCAACCGCATTCACCACGCCGCCCACCCAGCCCCCCATATGGAATTTCCCGGGCGGCATGACACGGCGGCGCTGCAGGGCGTGCGTGAGCAGCGGGATCAAGTACGCGGCGTTATTGATCGTGACGACGGAGCCGAGCAGCGCGTTGAACGCGGTGCTGGAGCCAAGGTAGAGGCAGCCGAGGGCGGCGCAGGCGGCTGTGACGGCCGATTGCGCGGCGAGCGGGACGCCGAAGCGGGGGGAGACGGCGCTGAGATGCGCGGAGAAGGGCAGGCCGGCGTCGCGCGCGAAGGCCCATACCACGCGCCCCGTGCTCAGTTGCGAGCCGATGACGCAGGGGCCGAGGGCGATCCAGAGGAGGAAGACGAGGGCGAAGGCGCCGCCGCGGGTCTGGGTTGCTTGGTGGAAGAGCTCGGCGAGGGGGAGGCCCGTGGGCGTCGTGCTTAGGGCGGAGTAGTCTTGGACGGAGAACATGAGCGCGATGAGGTAGCTGAGGCCGGTGATGAAGGCGATGGTGAGGGTGCAGAGGAGCGCGAGCGGCGCGTTGCGTGATGGGTTGGGCATTTCTTCTGTGATGTGCGTTATCCCGTCTAGCCCGCCGAGGGAGTATAGCGGGTTGACGAGCCCGGTTATGAAGCAGATGGCGTTGTTTTGCCAGCCGGTGTTGTTGACCCACGTCTTGAAGACGAAGGTTGCGTCGTTGTGTGTGGGTGCTGTGGCGGCGACGGTGACGAGGAGAACGAACCAGGCGATTTGGAGGTAGAATACTGAGTATGTTAGCTGAGGCGGCGGAGATTCTGGACTGAAGTATTGCCATACGAGAGAAGCGGTTCATGGCCGGAATGAGTTTGTTGCCAAACATGACGATGCCGGCTGTTACCAGATTGAAGGCTTGATAGACGACGAATGTCATCCACGTCTTGATAACCAAATCGTCATGGTACAGCGCAATGAGCGCCATGAAGTTCTGGGCATACACCAGATTGGTGGACGCCGTAGTGAAGATCCAACCAGCCACACTCCACCAACCCGTGACGAACGACAAAAAGCCAGCATATTTTCGGGGAGCAATAGCAGCAACCCAATGGTACATGCCACCTGACACAGGAAAAGCCGAGACAAGCTCAGCCAAGGAAGCTCCCAAAAACGACTGCAAAACAGCCACAAGAATAAAGCCATAAATAACCGCGCCGGGGCCACCAGCATCGATTTCGGTAATAAGGCTGTCGACCACGTCAGGCCTTCCACTCGTCAGTCCTTGCGTGGAAGAGCTCCACTTACCCCAGACCCAAGCCCGTCCACGAGATCGTCGTCGTCGAGGCCAAGCCGATCAAGCTAAAGACGTCGAAATGCCGTTTAAGCTCCTGCTCGTGGCCCCTACACAGCATCCCTACGTCAGACAGGTGCATTTTGCTAGCAGTTTGTCAGGTTGGTACTTACATCTGCTTCAAGCGCAGCGCATCCGCGTCCCGCTCGTCTTCGGACGAGCTCTTGTCCAACGCTGGCGCCGCCGCAATTGCCGCGGCTTCTTTGTCCTCTGCCATCGTTGGAACCACACAATCCGAGTCTTGCTGTATATTACTCTGCTCTTGCCGTCAAGCCCCCGTGGCTGGGAAGTGTTGCGCCTCGCGACCAAATATCGGAAAATTTCGTATGCCTCAACAGGCCCTTTCCACGACAAACAAACAAACAAACAAACACAACGAACAAGGTAGTTAAGACCAAATAAGTCCAAAAAGTGAGCGCGCGCAACCATTTAAACCACCCACCACTCCGCGGGGCTAAACACCCGTATCCCCTCCCAGCGCGCGACGCGCATGCATGCAAAGCCCCGGGGGTCCAGGGGAGCAGATTACCAAAAGCACTATACCTAAGTGCGGCATGGAGGGGTACGATTGCCCATGTTCGCGTTCGCACGGCTCGCCATCACGAGAGGGCGGCGGCGATCGTGGGGCAAGAGATAAAGCGCGGGCGCGGGAGTGGCCAATCGTCGCCGCGTGCTGTGGGGAGGTGGAGTGGAGGTGGAGGGGTTGCTCGACAGGGATCGTCACTGACTGGCCGGGGTAAGCGTCTTTGGCTGTTCGTCTTACTTTGCTTATATGAAAGTCCTACGGTTCATGGAGTAAAACGGCAGAAAATCCATTTGTGCTTTACCCAACAACAAGCTTCAAAGCAGCAAAAGTGGCGAATGACAATCGCGATAGGGTTGTCGGCTTCACCACTGTTGTGGAGGGTTTGGCGGCTCGGACGTCGTGCCTAACCGAGCCCTACGTCTCTGCATGCAGTAGGAGCTGCCGTAGATGATAAGCTCCGAGGATCAGTTGCCGTGTTTCCTTGCGCTTCGCATGATTTTCAGGGTCGGGTGTTCGATCGTTGCGAGATATAGTCGTTGGATGATCTTGAAGGACTCCTGTGAGTGTGCTGAACTGTCTTGCTGCTGGTAACTTCTGTCACCGTCAAGCGAGATTCGTCGCCGGATGAGATGATGATGCTTGTACGGAGGAGAAATAGAAACCCGGTCAAGATACTTATAGTATACGTGCATCCTAAGACCTTCTTATTCATATCCAGGATTTAGGCTTACAGCTGGACAGGGATGCGATAGGGATTGCTTATGTCCTTCCCTATCTCACTGGAAGGCGAATCCTTCTTTACGATGCCGGATGTTACATCAGAGCAAAAAAGCGTTCACCTGGTCAGAGAATTTCCAACACACGAACAGTTACAACGATGTTTAGACTTACATAAAATTCTTATCATTAGGTATAGTTAGGTAGGCTTGGTCGGTTTCAGATAGCTTCTAAGCGCAGATATATTTATATACTTGGACAAACACGCTAGTATTGATTAACTGACTAGATGGATCTGTCGTGTTCACAACAGAGCTCTTTGTGCAGTTGTAAGCAGATACAATTAGCTATACTGGGCTTTTTCATAACAAACCTCTCGAAAAGGAGCAACATATAGCAACCTACAATCTCACCAAACACCACACCCACCATTACTTCTCCTCTTCCTTCCTCTTCTCATCCAACACCTCAACTCTCTCAACCTTCTCCTTCTCCCCATCCCCCCTCCCATCCCCCACCCTCGCATCCCCGCCATCAAACAATCTCGCAACGGCCTCCAAGCTCGGCCCCTTAGTCTCAATGAACCAGACATAGACGACAACAAACTCAACCGCGATCCACGCAACATAGAACCAGTAGAACTTCCAATTGAACGCCTCGAGCCCGAGGGGGTTAACGTACGTGTTGAACGCGCCGGCCGCACCCGTCAGCAGCCAGAACAGCGCGATGCCCTTGGCGCGCAGCGTGTATGGCAGCACTTCGGTCACGTAGACCATCATCGCGCCGGTCCAGCCCAGGTTGTGCACGCCGCTGTAGAGGTAGATGAATGCGACGGAGGCGTAGGAGGCGGAGTGGGAGCCCGACCAGGTGGGGCCTTTTTCGACGAAGACTAGTGGTGGTGTGTCAGTGATGCGAGTGCAGGGCTAGTTGTGTAAGGACTTACGGCCGGTGCAGATGGTGATGAGCGTGAATACTACCCACATGAGGGCCATGCTCCAGAGCAGGAGTGGACGTCTGCCGACGCGCTCAGGCAGAAATGCAAATGCAATACTGCATGCCAAGCTGAACATCTGGCTAGTAGCCGTGATGAGCGTCTGGTGCAGCTCCGCGGTGATGCCGGCGCTGTTGAGCATACTGTGCAGATAGTAGGACACCAAACCATTTCCGCTCCATTGCTTGCAAATACCGCACCAGATCATGATGAAGCTGCGCCAACGATTACCAGGAGTCCGCCATAATTCCGACCATTTGGTCTGCTTTGCAGCAAGCTCTAGCTCGATGGTAGAGAGCATTTCATGATACTCGTATTGTACGACTTCATCATTCCGGTCACCGTTCGCGTGGTAGTGGGCGAGGATATCGAGAGCTTTGTCTTCCCTGCCTTGAGAGATGAGCCAACGAGGGCTTTCGGGCAAGAAGAAAATGCCAATGGCTTGGAAAATAGATGGTAGCGCCTGGAAGATCGACGGTAGACGCCATGACCTAGGCTCGATTAGACTAATGGGCCTGTCATGCAGGTAAAGGGGCAATACCAAGTTGTGGCCATGTGGAAGCTCCCGAAAGTGATCCAAGATGCAACAATGGAGCCGCTGCTATACTGCGTGTTTGACATCGCTGTAGCAGTAGCACGGTGGCTAGGGTACGCCAGCTCGGCCATCAATACAGGACCAATGGCGCCAACAACGACGCCACCAATTCCCAAGAGGAGGCGACCGGCAATGAACATGCCAGCTAGAAAATTAAGCTTGTGTAAAAAGTTAAAGGCCAAGAGTCTTACCATTGACTGCTCCTGTTACTAGTGCCGTTCCCACTATACAAATAGCAGAACCCATAAACATGGCAGCTCGTCGTCCATATCCGTCGGAGAAGAAGGCGATAAAGAAGACGCCTAAGATATTTCCGATCCAGTAGGACGCGCTTAATATCCCGAGAAGGCTGCCCTTGGGATCATGAAATTCCGCCCTCCACACGGAAAGTTGCTGTATATTATTGATCAAACTCGCGTCGTAGCCCTGGACATACTCGCTCATCAGCGGGATGAAAAGGAGGATGTTCAGTCGGCGCAGCCCGTGATCTTTCCACCACGGCCCCGTCTTGTTGTCTAGCGGCATAGTCGCGGCGATCGCGTCGCGATCCGCATGGGCGTCCAGATGTGCGTGCATGGCGAGCTCGTAAGAACGCTTCTTTCAGTCATACGGGGCTTTTGCGTGACAAACAACCTTTTTATTCGGGCCATGTACGCAGACGTGAAGTGTTAATAGCAAGGTCGCGGTTGCTAAACCCCGCAATGTGCCCAATGCGGTAGGTGGGAATCCGGGGAAGCGTGTGGGGTAGTATTGATTGGCATGAGACAAGCTCGCACTCTTTTGTGCCGAAGGATGCCGTTTTTCCGGGCGATCGTGTGATGCAGCTGGGGCTGCGAGCGTCGGGTCCTTGCCGAGTACGAGTATTTCCATCCACGAAATCCCGGCGCGCCCGTTCTTCCCCGCCACATCCATCATGGCTGACTTCATGCTGCGCCCGAAGACGTATGTGCTCGGCGACGACCCGCAGCGCACACATCGCATCAATGCAAACTCATTCCAGCAGAGCGCGCTACTGACAGTGAACGGCTGGCAGTACGCTGCCTTCTATCAGAGCAAGGAGGCTGCCGACAGCAGCGTCTGTCTCGTGACACTCTCGCGTCGCAAACTTCGCGACAACCCCAACGAACCGGAAAAGGGCTGGGAACACCTCGTATTCGAAGATTATGAGCAGGCCGTCGACGATGGACACAACACCATCTCCATCGGTGTCGCGCGAGGAGATGGCACGCTCCATGTGTCGTTTGACCATCACTGCGACCCGTATGGGTCCCTCTGTTTCCAAAATGGCCTCCCAGCTGATGAATGAGCCAGGCTGAGATACCGCTCATCTGCTTATGGTGTTGCAACCAATCCAGAAAAGCATGCCTGGCAACCTTCTCTTTTCACAGAAACCCTCAACTCGCTCCCGGGCCTCAGCCCATCGCAGCTAACAGAAGGCGTGACTTACCCTAGGTTCGTAAGCATGGACGACGATATGCTTTTCACGTACCGTGTTGGACAGTAAGGGCCCGCTCCTTCCGATGCATCCGATAGTACACTAACGATGGTCAAGGGCCGGCTCAGGATCGGACGTGTTGTACCACTACTCCTCGACCAGCCACGTATACACATTCTTGGGTACACATCTTACCGGCGAAGGGAACTCTCCATACATCAATGGATTGGATTACCGCAACGGCAAGCTTCATGTCTCCTGGACCTACCGCAAATTTGTCGAATTCGAGGGCGCCAATGATCCGAACTCCACTGTCCACAAGGCCCAGGCGGGACCCAATGGCCCAGAAAACAACTACAGCCTGTGCTACATGTACAGCACCGATAAGGGACAGAGTTGGAATACTTCGGATGGAAAGGATATAGCGAATATGAGCAGTGAGCTCAACGAAAAGAAGACGGTGCGACCGAGCACGGAAGGAATCACGGTTTTCGACATACCGATCAACAGCGGAATCCTGAATCAGGAGTCTCAATCTGCTGATGGGCTAGGTGGCTTCCATGTGCTCAATCGAGAGAAGTGGAATGGTGTCGAGACCTGGACCGTATATTCCCGGAGTCCGTCTGGTGAGAGCGAACGACGTTGGCGTCTAAAAGAGCCCTGCTAACTGTTACAAAGGAGCATGGATGCACACACCAATCCAAGGCTTCAAGCCGACAGAAACCGGATCCAGAGGAAGCGTTTGCACCACCGAAAAGGGCAATATCTGGGCGGTTCTCCCAGGGAACACGGACTCCTCTCTTTCGCTCGTCAGGTCGTTGGAATCGGAGGACTACATGATGTTCGAGACGATGTGGAAGGGCGACGGCTTTGATGGAGAGCCTTTGCTTGACCAAATGAGGCTGGAAGAGGAAGGCATTCTCTCCGTCTTCACGAGGACGGACAAGGATGAAGCGGGGCGCCGCAAGGTTGTCGTCATCGACTTTGACCTTAAGGGTCTGTGATGAACTTGGTTACATGGCGAAACAAGAGTAACGGCTTTCTTTTGCAGGTACGCGACAGCTAACTAGTTAGATATGCGTTCAAATTAGTCTGAGTTCACATACAAGTGATTCTAGGAGTGTGATTTCGCTGACATGTCTGCGCACGAGGTGCGAATGGCCTCCCGTAAAACTTGGTAGTCAAAACGATCACGGAGAGTACGCCTTTTGAGGCTTACGCAAGGAGCTTTGCATTATTGCGTATGTGAAAAACATTTCGACTGGACTGGGGAATGCCTACCTACGATAATAATCTGTATCACCGTACATCCTGACGTCGGACGGATCACAGCAGTCAGTGACGTATTGATGATTATCATAGTACGGCGGACGATAATTAACTAAAGCGTTGAACCTCCGAAACTCAAACCCAACTTCTCTTCTGACAGCCGTCGTAAACCTGTCATACTCTTGTTGATTGTTTGAGAAACTGAACATGCTCACGACGAAGCTATCCGTACCTTTTTCTGCCTCGCTGCGGGCTACGGCGAGGCCAATCGCGTGCTCAATCGTTCCCGCGCGCCAGTCCTCCGATGCATCGCGCCGGAGCTTGAGTACTACCACCACCACTAAGAGAGCTCCCAGAAGGCCTGCGGTATCGTCATACAGCGCGCTGAGCACTGCAAACGCCCCCACATTCTTTGCGGCGAGGCTCCTGCCGTCGCAGCAGCTACGACATCTTGCTGCTTCCGGACGTGTAAGTGACATCATTGTTATCCCTTCGTCATTGTGATGGCCAAGCTTCCGCCCCACATAAATGTTCCTTCCCTTTACTACATATCTTCTCCAACACTCTTCCCAATCCTACAGACAACCACTGCACACAACCGCACTCTCAACTTTAGCAACACCACTCTAATTACGAACAGTCCGCAAACATGGCCACCAACAACCCCGATTTCCAGCTCGGTGAGGTCTTCAACGTCAAGGACAAGGTAGCGCTGGTTACTGGCGGCGGTTCGGGCATAGGCTTGATGTCCACGCAAGCTCTCGCCGTCAACGGAGCTAAGGTCTACATCGTCGGTCGCACCAAGGAGAAGCTCGATACTGTCGTCAAGACGCACGGCCAGAACATTGCGGGCGAGATTGTTCCTATTGTCGGCGACGTTACCGACAAGGAAGGTGTGGAGCAGCTTGTCAAGGAGATCGCCTCCCGCGAGAAGCACCTTGACATCCTGATCAACAACGCTGGCATTGCTCCCGGAAAGACCACTCCTGATGGCGAGAACGCTGAGGATCTCAAGAAGAACCTCTTCGGACCCACTAGGTATACATCCTAAACTTCCTGTACCAGCCACACGCTTCTGACACTTTGCAGCCTTGACGAGTGGACTTCAGTCTACGCCACCAACGTCGTCGGTCCTTTCTTCATGTCTACCGCCTTCTTGCCTCTCCTCCAGAAGGCCACGGAGCACCAGCACGGCTACTCGGGTACTATCATCAACATCACCTCGATCAGCGGCATGGTCAAGATCTCGCAGGGACACTTCGCATACAACGCGTCCAAGGGCGCCGCGATTCACTTAAACAAGATGCTCTCTTCTGAGATCGCCAAGGCTGGTCTGAAGATTCGCGTCAACTCGATTGCGCCTGGTGTCTTCCCCTCGGAGATGACGACTCAGGAGAGTGGGGACAACCAGAAGTCTGAGATGCCCAAGGAGCACAAGGAGGGCTTGCCTTCCAGCCGTCCCGGCAACGACAGGGACATGGCAGCCGCCATCCTCTTCGCGGCTAGCTGCCAGTACCTCAACGGCCAGAACTTTGCCGTCGACGGTGGCTACCTGATCCAGGTCGGCCAGTAAGCGTTGCCATATAGCGACGTCTGCTTCTCTATTCCAGCGATATCAGCGAGTGCGTCTGGCGACTGGGTAACGAGTACATGATGATTAGATAACGACAAAAGCGAACCATGCCACATAGAGCATGATGAATTGAAGTAATACCTATTCAACAAAACCTTTTTCTCGTGCTGCAAGTCGTGCAAATACAGCTCATCTACCTCTGGACACTGACTGCTCTTAAGGATTATTCCTCCCACAAACGTTCTGTCATTCACAAGTCTGTCAATGGCAATATTTTTACTGCTTTCAAGGCCTCTGGTGGCGACAAGGTGTTAGTTTTTCCCCATACCTGCTGTTGATAACAAACTTGGCAATTTTAAGTCTTCAGTCTCTACGGGTCGTCTTGAATTTATTAACCTCCTGAAGACGACGAAGGACCTGAAAGCCCTGTGGGGGATGGTTGCTGGTTCTGAGGGGGATTGGTGGTGTTGGTAGACATCATAGACTTGTGATGATTTGTGATAGGTGTTTGTGTTGATGAGCGGTGATATTTGGGGAGAACGGTGGTCGTCGTTGCTAAGTGGGCTTGAAGAGAATAGTGATTCGACTCTGCTACTAGTTAAGTTGCCCCATTTTATGTCCTGTTGCAACTCAATACCGTGGGCATTTTCATTCCGCGCGCTACGGCTCCTGTCTTGAAGAACGAAAGGCAAATGCACTCCACACAACTCCGACCCGGAGTATCAACAGAAAGGAAGGCAAAAAAGCTCGTTTATATTAGTGAACGCGCATCTTCTTCCAAATTACGCGCGGCTCCGAAATGGCGTGATCAGGGGTCTTTTTCCTGGCTCTTCTCTGACCCTCTCTCTTACTTCTCGCGATGAATGAAGACTTGTCCGACGCACTCAAAGAAAAGATGAAAGCTACGACCTTGGAACCCGCGGGGTCGGATTTAGCTCGCGCACGCTAGCATGTCAATGCTCGTGTTTGCGGATCGATCTCGCATCCCCCAGCGGCGGTGACGAAGAGGATACAAGAATGGGGAGCGATGAGGTTAGGAGAGCTATCGGATGAGAGAGACCAACTTGCGGAACACGACCGAGATGATTGTGCGACAACAACTTTTACGGTGGATTTGTACGCGTCGTCCATGAGCGTCGACCGCAAGCGGCGTCCTCTTGGCAGCCCAAGCTTCCCGCTCCGCCGGCAGGGCTGAGACATGCGAGGCGCCTGGAATCAGCGCCGCCGCGACATCCAACGACGCAGAACATGCCACCTGCACTCACCCTCGCATCAGCATCCCCCGGGCATGTCGAGCTCATCCTCAGGTCTTTCCGTTCCTAGCCCGTCGGCTGTGCCGGGCACGACGGACGCGGTGGAGCAGCCCTACGTCGACGACAGCGCTGCCCTCAGCGATGACGACGCCTCCCTCCTGGCCACGGATCCCCTGGGCATCGCGCATGGCGACAGGTGCGCGCGCGCGGAGCCTCTTCTTGTGCGAGCGAGCCGCTAACCCGCGCCTCTGCCAGGCTGTCGTTCAAGCGCAAGCAGAGGCCCTCCAATGGCTTCTCCGTCCCCGGCCTCCTCGGCGGTGCCTCCCGCCGCTCCTCCAACACCCCGCAGCGACCCTCGTCGTCGCGCGCCGGGCACCAGCGCAACCGCAGCGTCGCCTTTGACGGTTCCGATAACGGCCTCCCCCATCTAAACCTCAACGGACACGCGCTCGACGGCTCAGACCCCTCCGGCGTCGATTGGAACATCGAGGGCCCCGGCCGCCGCGTGGGTTACGATGACCTCACGGCCATTGACTGGATATTCGAGTACTCAAAGGAGCGCCAGCGCTTGCGGAAGCTGTACGCGGGCGCACATGGCGTGGTGGGCCAGATACGGCAGATTGCGGACGCGAGCCAGATATGGCTGGTCTTGATCGCGACGGGTCTGGCAAGCGGGCTCATCGCGGCTTTCATTGATGTGGCGAGCGATTGGCTGGGTGACCTAAAAACGGGATATTGTAGTAATGAGGGAGGGGACGGAAAGTTCTACTTGAACAAGATCTTCTGCTGCTGGGGCTTTGACGGTAGGATATTCAGTCGCGATGGGAAGGGAAATGCTGATTATGGGCAGAGTTCGCACAGTGCGCCGACTGGCATTCTTGGAGTAATGCTTTGGGTGCCAAATCCAAAGGAGGTAGCTATTTTTCAGAGTACTTTGTCTTCGTCATTCTGTCGGTGGGTGTTGCTTCCGCGCCAGCCACCCGTCTCTCGCATACTGATCTCTGAAGGTATTCTTTGCTGCATGTGCAAGCATTTTGGTCAAGCATCACGCTATTTACGCGAAACACAGCGGAATTGCTGAGATCAAGACGGTCTTGGGCGGTTTCGTCATTCGGTATTTCATGGGCACATGGACACTGGTGATCAAGTCCTTGGGCCTGGTATGCTTGCTTTCTTGTGCCTTTTCCGCGGACGTATCTAATATGTCATAGTGTCTCGCTGTCGCCTCCGGCCTCTGGCTGGGCAAGGAAGGTCCTTTGGTTCATGTTGCGTGTTGTTGCGCGAACCTTTTCATGAAGCTATTCCCAGTCTTAAATGATAATGAAGGCACGAGTTCTGACCCTAATGCAAAGGACTACCAGCTGACTCTTCTCTCAGCACGAAAACGCGAGGTACTTTCTGCTGCCTCTGCGGCTGGCATCTCAGTAGCTTTTGGGTCTCCCATTGGAGGAGTCTTGTTCAGTCTTGAAGTATGTTTACATGCTGCTCGTTCACGATTCATGTGCTGACTTGATTAGCAATTATCATACTATTTCCCTGATAAGACCATGTGGCAGAGCTTCGTCTGCGCCATGATCGGCGCGGTGTCTCTCCATTCGTTCGATCCCTTCCGGACGAACAAGCTCGTCATGTATCAAGTCACATACCACACGGGCTGGCACGGTTTCGAGCTGATTCCTTTTGCATTCCTCGGCGTGCTGGGCGGTCTCTACGGTGGCCTCTTCATCAAACTCAATATGAAAGTAGCACGGTGGCGCCGCGACCGGCCCTATTTCAAGGGGCCTGTTCGGGAAGTGATTGTGGTTGCTTTCTTATGCGCCATTATCAACTTTCCGATCAAGTTCATGCGTGCGCAAGCATCGGAGCTTCTCTACTTCCTGTTCGCCGAATGTCGCGATATCGCGGATGATTCGCTTGGTCTTTGTAAGTCTGGCAGGGCCAACACAGGTGTTGTCACTCTCTTGGTGATCTCCGCCTTTCTTGGATTCTTCCTGGCCACAATTACGTTTGGTCTACTGCTGCCGACGGGAATTCTCCTCCCGTCAATGGCTATCGGCGCACTCTACGGCCGCGCTGTCGGCCTCTTTGTCCAAGTCATTCAAACCTCACACCCCAAGTTGTACCCCTTTACCTCGTGTGAGCCCGATGTTCCTTGCGTTACACCAGGGACGTACGCGATCATCGGCGCGGCGTCAGCACTTGGCGGGGCGACGCGCATGACAGTCACGATCGTGGTGATCATGTTCGAGCTCACGGGAGCATTAACCTACGTCCTACCCATTATGATCGCCGTTATGATCAGCAAGTGGGTAGGCGACGCGATCTCGGCGCGCGGCATCTACGAGGCCTGGATCAACTTCAACGGGTACCCGTTCCTCGACAACCGCGAGGACAACAACTCGTCGATCCCGGACCTGCCCGCGGCACAGGTGATGACGCGGCTGGACGACCTCGTCGTCATCACGGCAACGGGGCACACGATATCGAGCCTTAAGGCGCTGCTGGCCGCGCACTCGTTCCGCGGCTTCCCCATCATCGACAACCCGCGGCACGCGCTGCTGCTAGGCTACATATCGCGAACGGAGCTCGCGTACGCGCTGTCCAGCGCCCTTTCGCCACCCAAAAACCTCTCCCCCGACGCGGAAGCGCATTTCTCGCACCAGCCGCTGGCGGACCAGACGGCGAGTCTGGACCTCAGGCCGTGGATGGACCAGACGCCCATGACGCTGAATGCGCGCGCCAGCTTGCAGCTTACGATCAGCATGTTCAGCAAGCTGGGGCTGCGCTACGTTGTCTTTGTCGAGAAGGGCTGCTTGCGCGGCTTGCTGACTAAGAAGGACGTCTGGTTCGTGCTTAATGGGGCGGAGGAGGCGGGGGGGCTGCTGGGGGATGAGATGGAGGTGGGTGGCTTGAGGGAGGAGGGGGCAGCCCCTGAGGAGAGGGGCTTGTTGCGTGGGGATGCGGGGAGCGATGATGGCGTTGGGGGACCGGGTTGAAGGCGCCTTTGTGTACGTCTGTTTGTCTGTCTGTCTGTCTGTGGGCGCATTTTCTTGCGGGGCTAGGAGGCTGTAGAGGGGGGTTTTGGTACGTAGGAGGCGGTATAGACTTTTTTTAGTCAAATAGAATTGGTATTCTTGTTTGAGGGGTTGAGACTGCTGTGTGTGTTGGTGCTTATGGGAGTGGTCGTATTGATGGCAGGAGACTGGATGGTATGTCGCTTATGCCATGTTCTTTCTCCTTTTACGTCCCATAGTGATCGTCTAGTCTTTAGAAATAGTCGACTTTTCTAGTGGGTGGATGAACTCATCTACTTTGCTACTTCTCGCATTTCATATCTTCCACGCTCCCTCAGATACGTTCCAACATAGCTGGACAAGCCTAGATAAGGAGGGTAGTTCAATCAGAGTGTTGAAATACCATTTGCTTCACTTCCAATGCTATTAAATGGTTTCAGTATTAACCCAAACGTCCGGGTAACACTGGGGCACCCAGATCGCTTTAAGTTATCCTTTAGCGGTTGTCCGGGTAGTACGTGTGCGCATGTGGTTAAATGCCGATTAGACTGAGAAAAACGAGGATTTGAGGAGGGTTTTCGAGGTTATTGCGCTTATGGGAAGGCTTGCTTGTGAGCGAGCTTAGGGGATAGGGGTGAGGTGCGGGAGAGTAGACATGAAGGAGGTTTTTGGAGGGAGTGTGCTGTGAGGAGCAAATGTAGTGCGTGAGGTTTTAGATGGCCATATTTTCTCGTCAGCCTGTCTCGTTTTCCCTGTATCTCATGCCTGTCACTATAGAGAGACGAGAGAGTTTTATATTGCTTGCTTATGGACCTTGTTTTTGAAAAACGAGACGTTTTGACGGCATATGTCCGGGTTTCTTTTATAAGTTGCAGCTTAGTATCAGGAAGACTAGTGTTGTAAAGAAATAGGCCATACAAATTTGGGACAAGTTCTCAAGGTCCCCCGCGTAAGTTGCTGTTCATGGATCCTTGACGAAACCCATAATTTGCGTATTCGGGAATGTTGTAGGTTTGACTGAGAAAGCGGTCAGCTTGTGAAATTGAATCCGGGATTGCGATACCAACAATGAGGCGGTTTGCTGCGAAGCGTGCTGATCTGATCCATCCAAAGGAGGCAACACGAGCATTGGAGGCTGACGGGGAATGTACTGGACGACATGAGTGGACCACGTGTCGATTGAAGCTTGGAGCTTGAAAGTATGATCCAGGATGTTGAAAACCAGTTGCTTTGAAGTACAGTCATCAGGAAGCCCGAGCACTTCTCGCATCTTCAGAACTTTGTGCACCATGTCGAGGGACAGTGAAGTAGGGAAGAGCTCTGCTTGCTCCTCCAAGAACATTTTGGACGAAACGCTGAAGGCGGCTTTTGTGTAGAACTCCGCCACCTCTTTCGAAGAGACCTTTGTGAAGCGGTATTCAAAAGTGTTTTCGTTGTCGGTTCTTTTGTTGACCAGCGTGGTGGGCATGTAAAAATAGAAGTTAGACGTGATGGGTAGAAAACTCCTCAGCAGACAGTCCCAACACCTTTCGTCGCCGCATGTCGAAATGGCAAATCTGAGATGACTCAAAAGCGTTTCTGCGAGTTCAAAAGCATGTTGATAAGAATCCGGCCCTTGCGATCTCTTGTAAAGCTCTGTGGCGGCATAGATGAGCACTCTTTCATGTCGGATCTTGCTGTATACTGTGGGAAGGTTTAGAATCTTTTTCAGGCTTTCCTGTGCTTGGATTCTGTCCATCGTTATGGTTACAAAAAAAGTGGACAACAGTGAGCTACCGTCCTGCCCCCTTTGTAGAGACAGGTCAGGATTCTCAAATAGCTGACCAATAAGGTCAGGAACGGTCTTGCCTTTAGTAATTTCTTGCCTGCTTTTGCAGTCATGAACAAGAGTTTGAAGGAGTTCTCTGCTAAAGCGTGTTCGAAACCCAAGAAAATCAATCAAGCGTTCAGCCCATTGAGATCCCGGGGTATGGTGAACCAACTCATGCAGAAGAGTCTTTACTCCATTGCCGAGGCATGAGGATTGCTTGAAAGGCATACGTAATTGCAAGTGGTTTCCTCGGACTAGAATCAGAAAGCTCTGGAGATCTTTGTCGTTCAAATACCGCCACCAGGCGCTCTTTGTGAACCACGGCTCGATGAAGGTGTCTGACCAGTTCTGGTTGAAAAGTCCGGAGTTGTGGTATTCATCCCTCGCATATTTGGATAGTAGCATAGTGACGATGCCGCTAATGGTGTCGTGATTGTCTAGTCCATATCTTTGGCATCTCAGGGAAAGTGCCATCTCAAGGGCATTCTTCCCCTCATCGTGACCTTTGCTCACAAGCTTTTTGATGCTGGCTCCGTAGGCAAGAAGCTTTTCCAGTGTCGCAGGGCTCGCTTCAGCCATTACACACACATGGATCGCACTGTAACCAGACGAATCCTCGGCGTTGACTTGTGCCCCGGCTTCCAGCAAAGCATCGAGGCTCTCTAAAGACGATGAAGCGGTTGCCCAATTGAGGAGTCGGTCTCCGACTCGTGCGGAAATATGAGGCATAGAGATTTTTTGGCGGCTTAGGACGGTGGCAGGAATAAGAACATTAACAATGTGCTTATTACTGCCATTGAGTGCTATCTTGATAGCAGTAGCATTATTCTCCCGAATGGAATCCAACAGGTTCGACATGAAGTTTTCAACTTCTTTGGCGTATGCTCCATGGATTTCTTCCGCACTGGTACTTCTTGAGTTGTTCGTATTATCTAAGGTCTCAGGCGGAAGACTGAACGCTGAATTCGAATGTCTCAGGGTACGATGCTTGTGCTTCGGTCTCTTGAATCCCCATTGCTGAATTTTGTTACGATAAGCTCGTTCCCTGAGGAATACTGTCAGATGGGAAACCTTTTCTGACACAAAAGAAGGATAGGTGACAAAAGAAGCACATACGAAGCTTCAAAGCCCCTTTTCTTCAGATTCTGGCTAACTTCAGTAAGTGGTAGGCCGTCGTCCACGTAGTAACGGCGAATATCTTGCTGGACATCATCCCAATCTTTTGTCATATTCATCAAGAACGGTAGTAGATGTTTTGGAGACAAAAGTCGCGGCTTGGGAATGAAGAGAAATTTATTTCCGGGAGATGAAATTCTGATTGACAGGGGCATGACTTTTGCCCTGTCGTATAGCCAAGTAGGCACCGATCTCTGACAAAAGCAAAGTTTGCCAGTGACCTGGTCTCCGAACAGTCGATCGCCATCCCAATTTCTATCCCAGTAGAATAAGCGACTCCAACTTCCAATCACAACCCTTGATCTCGATGCGGCCCGCACCATCCGAGACAATCGGACTGGCTTGGTAGGGCTGTGTACATATGCATATTTTTTGGTCCCGGAAAGTAGTTGCACTCTGCACTGTAGCGTATGCATGTATGCACATGCGCACGAATGGGATTTCTACCCGTAGCATTTGTAGCTCGCTGTGTGCTTTTCTGAGAGATTTTAAGTAAAGCATATAAACAGCGTTTGTATAGTGTGTACAGTGTAATTATATTCGTGGCTTTCCTGCGCTCCGAACCAAAGGATTGCGCAGTACAACAACGCCGATGGCATAAATTAGATCGGCGGTGTAAATGACACTGATTGTTCGAAATGGTTGCTAGCCATGTTTTTTGCATTGTGAAAATGTTTCGTTCCAATTCATTCTTGTAGTGAAAAAGCATCATCCGATTTTTTTCCAACACGCATCGTAATCTTCACGGGAACAGTGAAACAACACTGTGTCAATCTTTTTGAACAGTGCAATTCTATCAAGCTTGAGAATCCTGCACACACCGACAGCATGGTTCCATCCGCGCTTCCCATGCAGGACCGACGGCTCGCATCTCGGATAAGAAACAACACGCCCTTTGGGGAAGCAAGTGGCTTGGACTCGGTAAGTCGGAGCCGACCAGATGATTGGCAAGGCTGGTGTCTCATGCCGGCGCCTATAAAATTCTCTCTTTGCTGTAACTTGAGTCGATATCGTTCTCAGCAAAGTAACCCATCCTTAAGCTGCCAACGCCGACAAGTCTCTAGCTTTCAAACATGCCTTCGATTGCATCCGAACCATCCAAGCTGCACCTAGCTCAGTCAGTCTTCTCGAAACGATGCCGGCTATCAAGAAACCCATTATATAGTTCAGTCACTGACATGTATGATGCTGCATAGGACGAACAACCCAAGCTTCGTTCATCGAAGCAGCAAGAATCACGACATGGATTCGACAAGCGCTTCTCTGAGGGGTGTAACTCCAAAGATCAGAGCCCCCTTAACGGCGGCCAACCTCGCCGCCCATGATGCGAGCGTCCCCGGCGAAACAACTGCAGTTGCTTTCAGCAGCATTGCTGAAGCGGCACGCTCTCTCGGTTTCGAGTTACCATCTGGATACCAGGTTGGACAGCATGGAAAGCAAACGGGAGTGACCCCTATGGAGAGGTGGTTGGAGAGCAGGGACGACCAGTATTGGTTTTCCTTGTCGGACGGTCATCGCCGGGCCTGACCAGAACATACCTGGAATCAAGGTTGTGGTGAAGGCCCATTTCCGTACGGAAATGAGGATCTGAAAACTTGTGAGAGTGAGGACGAAAACTATTTTGGATATTTCATAGCTCTCAGGTTCGCTTCTTGTGGGCACACTGAAAGTTGGTCTAGAATAGAAAAATTTCTATGTCTAAAATCTCCGCTGGTCGCAGAGAGTGATGATGCGCTATAAGGCCAGGACTTTTTGGCCGACGGGGAACTGCGCTTTAACCTCAGCGGAAACATTACCATTTAGCTACCCGGAGTAAGGCAGACAGTAACCTATCGCCTTCCATATTTAAAGGCTGACAACACCAGTCGTATGAGGACTTTCGTTTCGGGAATACTAAGTTTATGATATGACTTTCATCAATAGTAAGGAATTGAATGTGCCATTACTTCTATTGAGTAAAGTATGAAGTTCACTGTTTACCTTAGTGATTGTAACTACACAAATAACTCTTCACAAACAGTCTTCGATAGTAGTATTTCTGGGATAAAATATTTCGATCCTGCTCTTTGTAATATTAAGAGTAGAGTGAAGATGACTGGTTAGTCTCATAGAAGCATATATTATTGCTTTTGGCTTTTATAGAACCGAGGTTTATTTCCAAAATGTGAGCCTTTAGCAGATTGGGAGTGGAACGTGGGGGCGGAGTGTTTTTGCGAACTGTACCCTCTTGGCGCCCAATTCTTGATTTTTACATGGGGTAGGCCTGCCTAAGATGACGATGGCCTGCCCCCCACGTGGCTGAGTGCAAATCTCGGATCGTGTCTCATGTTCGCACGACATTTCAGCTGGGTAGGCAGCATTCCCTCGCAGCGGCCCGCTGGCGCCTACCTTGAGCAGGGGCCTCAAACTGTTGGACAAATGCTGTTCGGGACATGGCTGAATGGTAATTCGCTCGGAATCCTGGACGCGCGGAGTTGTCAGCGCATGTCGCGCCTACGCCTCAGCCGATACCAACACCTGTATATGCCTGCTGACGTCTAGGGCTAATTTGGAAGAGTCATATAGAGCATGGCGCGCCATGTGGTCGCCAAAGAACTCCTTGATCATGCAGGTGCATGGCGCAGCGTGTTTGCCTGTCGTCAGATGGGACTCGGGGGGATCGCGTAGATCTCCGAAGACCGGGGTATGGCATTCTACCATTGTCGATCGGTTTAGTTTTGGTCATGTCCCGGGCATCCGAAGAAAAAACCCTGAAGGTGCCGGTTTCATGGGCTTGTGAGATGCAGCAAGCGAAGGGTTCCTGGCAGGTTGCCAGGGCGACAGGGGATCCCTCCGGCTACGCCACATCAGATCTCGATCGTTAGTTAGGCAACAACCTGGGAAATCGACACGTTTTATGGTGGCGCTTAATGCAACATTTTTGTTGCTGGACAAACCTTGGTAGGCCTGTAAAAAGCATATGCGAAAAATTTGTCTCTGATATGGTATGCCGATGTAGCCGCCATCGCAGGAGGGCGTTGGCTCACTCCATACCTCTCCGGATTCTTTTATGTTGATGATGCGGACGAAGATTCCAACAGCTTGAGTTGGGCTGGGTTTGTACGAGAGAAAGTCATGAATGTCTAAACAAAGTACGGGTTGATTGATCTACCCAAGAATCATTAGCTTAAAAATCCTAAAAATCGCTTTTCATCTCAACTTGTGGACATACTAATACATTATATAACTCAAGGAAACCAAAACATCCGAGGCGCCACAGTGTTTTATATCACTGCCATTACCAACAGCCTAAACAAGACGTCGTCGAATAACCTTGACAATATCCTGCAGGCCCTTCAAACGCTCTTCACCAGATTCACCCAGATACAAAGTAGCGACAGGCCACGCGTGAATCGACCCCTCCTCTTCATACACGTCAACATCCGCACCGGCCTTCTGCAGCAGCGCAATAAGGTCCTTCGTCTCCGGTCCCAGCACCTCTTCGGATCCGAACAAGAAGGACCAGCCTAATCGCGGACTCGCTGCCAGCCAGCGGTCGGGATCTCTGCAGTTACCCGGCGAGACCATGGGATCGTGAGTAGATATCTTGCTGCCGACATACTGGCGTCCGTAGAGATGCAAAGAGTCAGCGTTCAGATAGTCAGAGCGCGTGTTTTGGTTCTTGTCGGATACAATGGTGACCCAAGGTGAGATCATGGTGGCCAGAGCGGGGAGGCGGCCGCGGTGCCGCGGGTGGTCTGCCAGGTACAGCAGCAAGCTAAGAATGAGAGTCGCACCAGCTGAGTCGCCTCCAACAACAAGGCGTGACGGGTCTTCGATGACGGTAAGAACGTGTTCGTAAGCAGCGAACGCTTGCTGGATCTGCGTCGGGTAGACGGCATCCGGAACAAGGGTGTACTCGAGCCCGAAGAGGGCGGGGTTCTTGTAACCCGCTTCTTTGAGGAGAGCAACCCAGGCGAGCAAGAACTCCATGTAGAAGTAGCTGCTGCCCATAGAAAAGCCACCGCCGTGGCAGTAGAAGACGACAATGTCGGGCCTGGTAGTCTCATCCATGGTCACCCATACCCCTTTGAAGTCTTGGCGGTTGACTTCTTGCCAGCGGATGGGAGAACTGATGTACCCGTGACGGAGCATGCGCCATCTAAGGAATGGCAAGGCCACGGGTTTGGAGAAGAATACCCTACCAATTTTGGCCGGAAGCTCAGCGAACGCAAAACGAACGTATCGGATGACAAAGTCTTGAAAAGGAGAAGCTCGCTGGACAAAAGGAGAACGATGCTCAAAGTCTGTGAAATACCGCTCCGCTATGAACTGGCATGGTATATGGGCAGCTGCAAGAAATCAGTATAAATGCATATTCCGGAAGCGGTAGGAGACTTGGTACCTAAGTCCGGCAGGGCGAAGAAGACCCAGCTCGCGAGTTCAAAAAGGCCAACATTGATGATAAGCTGGGGCGCGAGAAAGATTAGAAAGACTATGCAATCTAAATATGAAATTTGACTAAGAATCATTGCGGGGAAGCGACTGAAGTAACATTGATAGGAAAATGAGAGTTTTGTTGGTGTTGAGGAGTTCCTGAGGTCTATGATGATGATAGGCTGCTTGAGCGACGCAGGCTAAATGCACGTAATAACAATAATGCACCGGCTCCCTCCACTAACGAGAGCGAATCCCCTGAACTTGTTAATCAGGATTATGTCGATGACGCAGGGTGCAGGTTTACCACCAATCACGTGTAAAGCGGCGCACGTGACCTGGAAATTTCCGCCTTTCCACCAGAGGTCGGTCCAACCTAGGCTGACATCGTTTGTCACGACGACGAAGAGCTGGTCGCGTGCAACGCCAAATCATTCCTCGTCTTCCGCTATCTTTCACTGCCATCTACTTTGGCCGCCGCATTTCGTCCATTTCTCCAATGTTATAAGCTTCGCCTTTCTACCTAGCGGTTGACATCGCAAATTTCCTACATTTCCACCGTAGGCGAGCGCAACATTGGCAGAGGACACCTAGCCGTCGCTTCTTGCAGTCATGGACCTCGCCAGGTAAGCGCGATCCTGCGCGTCTTTTCTCTTGACGCAAAAGCTCACTCCTTCAACCAGCTCGCTACCCATGGAGGAAATCCCCACCAAGCTCCGATGCGCCAACTGCAACAGGCTGGCTGTCAACGCCTTCGGCCTGCCCTGTTGCGATCAGTCGATATGCGAAAGCTGTAAGCTTTCACTCCGCACGCGCCGCTGCGCCTTACAACAACTAATCTCATCTAGGCCAGTCGTCACTTCCAGAGTCATGCCCGGTCTGCTCGCATAGCCCGGTCTCTAGTGAAGACTGCAAGCCCAAGAAAACTCTGCGCCTCACTATCAAAGCATACCTCAGGTCGGAAGAGAAGAAGAGGGAAAAGGAGCGCGCTGCTAGCATTTCTGGCAGACCCAGCACTCCTGGCACGCCCGCTCCCGCTGGTACACTGGTCGTACAGTCCATCGAGCAACCTCCCGAACAAAACGCGCCCAGCGCAGAGGCGGATGTCAAGCAAGAGCAGTTGAAGCCGGAGGAGCCGTCTGAATCGACAGGCCTCGCGGAGCTCCCGGCAACTGAGGGTCAACCACAAGACCCAGGTTCTGAGTTGGCTGACCAAATGCAAGCCGATGTGGGTAATCTAAGAACTATACAAAACCATGGGACTGACATCAAAAAGGGCGCGACCTTCGCGGAAACCGCAAACGAGGGTGAACCCGCAAACCAGGAATCTACCGCGGAGCCCGGCGCTACTGAGAACTCCACAAGTGATGCTGCGAAGGAGGTTCAGGATGGTCAAGAGCAGACGCAGGATGAAAGTGTCGCAAAAGATCAAGAGCAGGCCGGAGTTATGGGCATGGGGTTGAACGGAACCCAGGCACAGGGCCAAATGTTCGGTAATGGTTTTGGTTTTGATCCAAGCCAGGGCGGTTTCCCTGGCATTGCCTGGAACGGCGGCTTTAATCCTATGATGATGAATGGCATGCCAGACATGCAAAATGGCAACTGGAATAATTTTGGCATGATGGGTGAGTTTACCCACTGACGTGTAAATCTTTTACTGTCCCACTGATACACTGTAGGTATGCCCGGTATGGGTATGGATCCGATGGCCATGTCCCAAGGAATGTTCGGGGGCTTTGGAGGACAGGGCATGGGCATGAACGGGATGAACATGGGTATGGGCTACGGCGGAGGATACGGTGGCGGTTGGCATGGGCAGCAGATGAGTGGTAATGACTTTGGTGGCGCAAATGCTGGCTACTATCCCGGAGGTGGATATAATCAACAATCGCACCAGCAAGGGCGTTTCCCTCAGATGAATCATCATCACCAGCAGCAGCAGTTCCCAAAGAATAATTTCCAGAACCAGAGTCGTTTTCATGGTCCCGGCGCGCACCAGCAACAGCAGAAGGGTTTGGGTCCGGGTCAGCAAGGGAATTTGGATGCTGGCTCGGCCCAAGGCCAGGGGGATGCTGCTGCTCCAAGCCAGTCGCCTGGCCAAACGGAAGACCCGACTGATCCGAACGACGCCGCCAAACCGACATCAGACGCCGGAGACGGCGCATTCGCACAACAGCTTCCGCCAGAGCTCCAGGACAGCCGACCCTCTCAATCTACGTCACCACAACCGGAAGAAGCGACGGACGACCAAGCACCTACGACAGAGCAGACAGAAGCCACCGACAAAGCTCAGCAGAATGGCTCGAATGCCGGACCGGATGCCGAGAATGGCGCCGCCGCTGAGAACGAGCATCAAGGTGAGACTAATGATAACACAGAAAACCAAGAGACACAGGGAGACGGCTCGGTTGAGCAGGCCGAGGTAGGGGTACAGGACACAGAAGACATGCAGCAGCAGCCATTCCCCCCTACCGGCAACTTCCAGACACCGCCAATGGGCCCGTTCGGTACTGCCGATCCGAGTGTCATGGGGATGAATATGGGCATGGGGATGCCGATGGGCATGGATCCCAGCTTCATGGCCATGAACATGGATCCATCGATGGGCTTCATGGGCCAGGCCGGCATGATGCACGACTTTGGGCGGGGCAGAGGTGGGATGCGCGGCGGGTTCGGCCGGGGCGGGTTCGCGGGGTTCCGCGGCGGCTTTGGCGGACGAGGCATGGGCGGGGCGGGATTCGGCGGCGGCGGGGCGTTTGGAGGCGACGTGCAGGTGCTTGCTGGAGGCGGCGAGCCCAAGGGAATGGGCGTCGAGGGCGCACCGACGGGCCCGAAGGCCATGCGCGAGGGCCTGCCGAATACGGGCGCTAGCGGCCGGGTCAGGAGCGCCTTTTCCGGCAGAGGAGGCATGCAACCCCAGCCTGCAATTCCTCGCCCAGACTCGCAACGAGGGTAAGTTGCCTTTCTTTCTACTTTGCATATGCCCCCGCCGCACTTCCTTCTGACCTATTGCAGCAAAACCCCCGACCGCGAGGGCTCACGCGCCCGCTCGCCCGACAAGTCCAGGTCACGTTCACAGTCCAAGTCTCGCTCGCCGTCTCGTCGGCACCGCCACCGCAGCCACCGCCACCGCTCTCGCAGCGCCTCATCCGAGACCGACTCTCGGAGCAAGCGCGATGACAAGCGTCGCTACCGCTCCTCTCGTAAGTATGACGACGAGGAAGAAACGGAAGTTCACGACGACACACGCCAGCGGGCTCATGACAGGGACCGAGCTAGAGAATCGTCCGTCGATTCTAAACATCGCAGCCGTCGTGAGCGGGAGAAGGAAAAGGACCGCCACCGCTCGTCCCGCTCGCACCGTGACCGCAGTCGCGAGCATCGTCGGCACAGACACCGGGACCATGAAGATGGCGACGACGCCAGCGTAGTCAACGGCGGTGACGGCGACGCTGACTCCGAGAACCGCAGGAAGCGCGACAAGTACCGCGACCGCGAACGTGAGCGGGATCGGGACAGGGAGTACTACGACCGGGAGCGGGAGCGGGCCAAGGACAAGGATCGTGAGCGGGACCGCGACCGGGAACGCGACAGAGACAAGGATCGCGAGCGGCGAAAATCACGTCGCGAGCGCTCCGCCTCCCCACACGACCGCGACCACGGCTACTCGGACGACGACCGGCACCACCGCTCATCGCGGCGCCGTCGCGAAAAAGAGCGCGACAAGGAGCGTGACCGCGCAGAGCAACGCTCCTCTCGCAGTGGCAGAGACGAGACCAGCACCCAGGCCGATCAGCAGTCCGAAGACACCGAGTTCAAGATCCAGGGCCGCTCGCGGACGCGTGGCGGCGGCTCCAGCAGCGGCGCCATGCCTCCGCCCACGCAGCCCAAGGGCTCGGAGCCATCCAAGGGTTCTTCGTCCTCGCGGAGCAACCGTGATAAAGAACGCGACAGCGGCGGCGGCAGCGGCAGCCGTCGTGGGTCCGCTGCTAGCGTGGCGTCAAGTACTGCTGCTGCTTCTGCTCCCTCTGCGTCTGTGGACCCGCACACGCTGGAACGCGAGGCACGCAACCGCGAGCGCATGCTCAAGGAGCAGCAGCGGCGCGCGAGTCTGCAGAACCCGGGCTCGGAGAGCGGGAGTGGAGGCAAGAAGCGCGGACACAGTGCTGCGATGCAGGAGGATGAGTTTGGGGCGCCGACGGCTCCGAGCGCGGAGAGGAAGCGCAGGAGGGGCAGTGATGCGGGTGGGGAGAGTGGCGCCAGAGAGGAGAGAAGGAGTAAGGGCCGCAGGGTTAGTTATAAGTACGAGGACGAGGAGAATGACGAGGCGAGGGCGAGGCGGGTGGAGAGTGAGCGCGAGGCGCAGCGGTGGCGGTAGGTGCGTGGTGATGTTGGAGGAGGCGAGTTGGTGGCTTTGAAAAAGGTAGGAGAAAGAAAGAAAGAAGAAAAGCAAAAAGGTGGAGCTGCCTTGTACAGTACTCTCGATTCCGTGCGTGATAGATGGATGGACGGACGTTCGGTCGGTCGGTCGGTCGGTGGGCGGGTTGGCGGATGTATCATTACTTAGGTAGGCGCGCGGAGTCGGAGGTCTCGTCTCTCTTGCTCAAGCTGTACTTGTACTTCGGCTACACTATCACTATCACTAGCCTATCCGCGTTGGAGTACCTAACACAATGTGTCTTACTACACCACGCTATACAGTACAACTCGTCAGCCACACGCGGTCCGGGCTCAGCGCATCTCAGATCCGGAAGAGGCAGCACACTGCCGCATGCGGCTAGCGCTACATGGCAGCGTCCTAAGCTTTGACGCCCTATCACGACCCTACCTCTCATTCCTCTAACCCTCTAACCTCTTACACACAAACACACACGTAGGTACAAACACAAATACAAATACCTATTTGCACAACCCAACCCAACAGCCACACCACACCAGCCCAGCCAGCCCAGCCAGCCCAGCCAGCCCAGCCGCGTGTCACTGTCAGGACGCGCGGGTCTCGGCACTGCCGCACGGACGCCCGCCAAGCCCGGCGGAGCGCCTTGGCTCTCGTGGTGGCACGGAGAGGGACCCACGATGCGCTTCTGCTGCCGGCCCCTGATCCTGATTGATGCGCATGCGCGGCCGGGAATGTGGTCGCTTGGTTGGTCGGTCGGGAACTGGCCCGTTGGCTTGTGTCTCCCTCGCTGTGACTCGCTCGTCGACGATCTCTCTCGCCTCCTTGTCGGAAGACATAATTAGGAGTAACCTACTCCGTGAGGACGCCGCGACTCTTGGCCATTATTTTTTTGTTTCTTTTTTTCGATTTTAGTTCCTTCTCCTCCCAAACGCTGGGAAGGCGAGTGTTTTGTTTGTTAGGCAGGGTAGGTATGCTGTTTAGGATGCCTGCCGCGGCCGTGGTTTTGGGAGCTCTTTTGCCCGCGCCCGCCGTAGCTCAGGCGGGAGGCTATCCTTATACGAACGACGACGATCTCTACACGTTTGTTTCGGTACGGCTGGGCGCCCCCCGCCCGCATGGGATACCTAGATTGTTTTTGGACACGGAAGTACTGACGACAGACGCAGCGGCCGGAGCTCAAGCCCCCGAAGCTCGACGTCGAGATATACGAGCGCGAGGCGCGCAGCCCGGGCTACTTCTTCCTCGCGCCTTACAACCGCACCTTCGAGTGGGACCATGGCGAGCCGACGTGGAAGGCGTGCGTCATGGGGCCGGCCATCTACGACGACGAGGGCGTGCGTGTTTTCTTTCTGTAGTCTCTACCTAGCTCTCTTTTCTCACTCTGCGCAGGAGCTCGTGTGGAGCGGCGCGTGCGACTATGCCAACCGCAATGTCTTCGACTTCCGCCCCACGACCTACGACGGCCGCCCTCACGTGTCGCTGAACGTCGTCCACGGCGACGAGACGCCGCGCGGCGCCGGCCTCATCCTCGACGACTCGTACCGCGTCGCGCGGAACGTGCTGATGAGCGCGGCGCCCGGCGCGCTGAACCAGCACGAATTCAACGTCATCGACGGCGGCAAGACGGCCCTCTTCATCACCGAGGGCTCCGAGACGGTCGACGGCGCCCAGGTCGGCCTCGCCGAGCCGACCCTGGTGCGCTGGAACGCCTTCATCGAGTGGGACCTCACGCAGGAGGGCTCCGTCTTCGAGTGGAATGCCCTCGACTACGTGCCGCTGAACGAGAGCACGTACGGGTGGCCGAAGCCCGTACTGCCGGACGAAACGCCCACGCCTTGGGACTTTCTGCACATGAACTCGGTCGAGAAGTTCCCGGACGGCGACTTCCTCATCTCGGCGCGCTACACCAACAGCATCATGCGCGTCTCGCGCAAGGACGGCAGCGTCCTCTGGCGCCTCGGCGGCAAGGCGTCCGACTTCCAGCTGCTGGACGAGCGGCTGGCTTTCTCGCGGCAGCACGACGCGCGCGTGCACGCGTCAAACAGCACGCACACGCTGGTGTCGCTGCTGGACAACGCGGTGGGGAGTCTCGTCGGGGACGACGAGCCGACGGCCAACGCGTCGGCCGGTCTCTTCGCGCTGCTGCACCACCCCCCCGACCGCTGGGAGGAGTGGACCGCCAGCCTGGCGCGCTTCATCCCCCGCCCGGACGCCAAGTACACGATGCTGCGGGGGTCGCTGCAGACGCTGCCGTTCCCGGAGGGCCGCAAACCGGCGCACCATGACCCGTTCAGCGCCGATGTCCCTGCCCTCGTGTGCTGGAGCTCGCGCGGCTACCAGACCGAATACGATGCCCAGGGCCGCATCGTCGCCGAAGCGCGCTTCCGCTCCCCGCGCCTGGATACGTATCGCGCGTACAAGGGCGCGTGGGCGGGGCAGCCGGGAGAGCCGATCGCGCTGGTTGCGAGAGCGTACAGCGCTGCTGTGCCTGCTGAGCAGAAGAAGAAGCTGGAGCGGGAGCGGGGCCAGCAGGACGGGAAAGAGCAAGGAAAGGGAAACGAAGGTGCAGAGAACGCCGATAATAACGACGGCCACACCGACGACGACGACGACACCACCATCACCCTCGCCCACGTCAGCTGGAACGGCGCCACCGCCGTCCGCGCCTACCGCCTAACAGGCCGCCTCGCCGAGGGCTCCACCTCGCACCCAATCCCTCTCGGCGAGTTCACACGCACCGGCTTCGAAACCGCCATGGCGGTGCGGGCTCGCGTCGACGCCGTGACAGTCGAGGCGCTCGACAGCAGCGGCAGCGTGCTGGGCCGCTCCGCCGAAGTGCGGGTCGACATGAGCGCGCTCGCAGGGGGCAGCAGCGCCGCGCCCAGCAGCGACGCCGGGACCAGCCATGACGACGCCGCATGGGGCAGCAAGACAGAAGTCAGCGCGGGCAAGAGCGGCGCCGTGGGCGGAGTGGGCGTGCTCGCTGTCGCGGCGATGGGGTGCGCGGCGCTGATGCTGGGGGTCGGGGGCTGGGTGGCGTGGGTGCGGTGGTGGCGGCGGAGGAGGGGCCGCGGGGACGCGAGGAGGCGGGGCTGGGCTTATGGGTTGCTTATGGGGGAGGGGGTGGGTGGGGATGGGGAAAGGGGGTACGAAGACGACGACAGCGATGATGATGGCGATGACGACGAAGATGGCGGCAGGGCACGGAGGGGCAGTGCGTGGAGTGGTAGGAGCGGTAGGCGCAGCAGCGCGTGGAGCGTCGGCAGCTTGGGGAGTGGGGTGGGGGGGGACGAAGATGGCGGCAGGGCACGGAGGGGCAGTGCGTGGAGTGGTAGGAGCGGTAGGCGCAGCAGCGCGTGGAGCGTCGGCAGCTTGGGGAGTGGGTTGGGAGGGCTGGGTGGGATGGGCGGCTGGGGCAAGAAAGACAAAGGCAAGGGCAAGGTCGACGTCGACGTCTTGTTTGAAGGCGACGAGGAGCTGGTGGACGAGGTCGAGTTGGGCGGGTTAGCGGGGCTGGGGGGCTTGGATGGTGTTGGTGGTTTGGATGCGGGTGAGGGGTATGGGGGCGGGGAGAGGCGGTGGCGGGACATTTGATATTTGATTTTGTAGCGAGATTTTGGTGGGTGGGATCATGAGGGAGGAGTGGTTCAAGGGGGTGAAAAAGACGAGTCAGTGATGTGTGCACAGTGTATATTTTGTAGGTAGGTAAGGTGGGTGTACTGTGGTTGCATTGTGTCGGCGTTAGATCTAGTTAGTTCCTTGCTTGCTTGAAGGAGCGTTCTCTTTTCTGGTGGGTGGGTCGTATATACCGTACTGTATAAACAGACAGACTGACAGACTGACAGATAAACATATACACTTATAAACATATACTTATATACATACATATTATACATATACACACATCTCACACCAACATCCACACACGCACGCATCTACCTACCTAAGAGCCGCCACCGTGCCTCGCGCTGTAGTGCTATAACAACTTTACCTACCTTTCGACTTACCCTATTTATCTATCTACCTATCCATCTAGATATCTAGATATATATAAGCACTTGATTTAGATCTTTCAGTACCCATCTAGTTTATTTCGGTTAGGGTTTAGAGGCGAGTGCTGATCGCTTGTATAGGCTCTTTTGAAGTATATGAAGAAGAAGAAGACGAAGAAGACGAATACCATTATCTATGGGTATAGATGTGAGACTTATACATATTAAGGGCAGTGATGGATAGATCGTTGATTAAGAAGTTGTGTACGTCGTTTACTGGCTTTTTGTTATTTTTGCTAAGCTCTCCGTGCTCAGGGCTGCTTATTTTCTGCTTGGTTCCTGCCTTTTAGGCTTCACGTCCTGTTAAGCACCTTGGGAAACGCTGCTAGAATTGTAAAAAGTCGTTATCGTCGTGTCATTAGCTGTAATACCTAAAAATTGCAACAACCCGTCTACAGCTGAGTCTGTCAGAAACAATCCTCGCGCCTGCGCCTTCTATGTAGCGCACCATCCCCACTGCTAAGTTCTAAATATACTCCACCTCAGCATTAGCATTAGCACCACCTTCTCCCCTATCATCTGGCACCACCCTCTAGTGGCCGCCCGTAGTCGGCAGCTGTACCCACAAAAGTCAGTCACTGCGCCGCACAGATACAAATCGGAAAGAAGAGCACTCACCCCGCAGTACACCTTGAACGAGTCGTAGATCAGCCACTGGAACGCCGTGAGCGTGCCGATCATGACAATGCGCACAGGCAGCCCGTTCCAGAGGCCTGCGAAGCCAATGTTGCCGTAGATGCGCGTCATGGCCGAGGTCGCGGCCTCGCCAGCCTTGCGGTCGCTGTTGAGCTTTGAGACCATGACGTCTGTGGGTGGGTGTGTTAGCTGTGCACAAGCAATGCTGAGGGGAGAGCACTTCGAGGGTAAAGGACTGAGGGAGGGTTTGAGGAAGGGCGAGGGAGACTTACCAGCCGGGTGCGACACGACAGCGCAGCCGATACCCGCAATATAGCCGCCCAGGAACGAGACGCCTGTCTGCTGCAGTGTGTTGTAGCTCTCCTTGGGCTTGCCGAGCGTCTTGTAAATCTGGGAGACGGCGCTCTCGAACGTCGCGAACTTAACCACTGCGTTACGCGTCAGCACCAGCTCCTTCCCCAAAGCCACCGTCAAGAAGCCACGCTGCGCTACTCACTCGTATACGGGATCTGGCGCCCCCACAACGGATACAACCCCTTGTACAACCCCGCATAGCCCTCATTCTGCACAATTTTGGAGAAGCCCTCTCTGAGATTATGCGCATAAGGCGGCAGCGTGGTCTGCATGCGCACCTTGATCGCCTCCCAAGGACAAAGTGCGAGATCCGCCAGCGCCTCGGCACTCGCGCTCGCGCCCAGATACACCGCTGTCTTGTTCATGTTCGGAAACAGCTTGTCGCCGTACAGGTACTTGAAGACCTCGTAGAAGCCATACTTGCCCGCACCCTGAAAGCTATACCCCACAAACGTCGGCGCCCACCCAAAGAAGACGCCCCGCAAGCCTTCCTTGCTGTAGATCTGCGACCAGGCTGACAGGTTCGAGCTATAGATCTTGGGGTCGACTTGGCGGCGGCATTTTACGAGGTCGAGAGGCGTGACGGACGTGTGGGTAGGGCCGCAGGCTGAGGAAACGTTAGCGCTGTTATTCTTGTTCTTCTTGTTGGTGGTGGTGGTGGTGCTGAGCGATTGGCTTACCGATAACACCGCCCAGCGTGCACGCAGCAAAGTACGTAGGCGTGAAGAGCTCGATCTTGCGGGGCGCGGACACGGCGCCTGGCGCTTTGAGGTCGACCATGTTTGGTGTCGTGTGCGAGAGCGTGGGTGTCGAGGGAGGAAGAGTTGAAGCGTGCGAGCAGGATGAAGAAGCAGCGTCAATTAGTTCGAAAAGAGGGAAGAAGAAAGCAAGGCAGGCGACAGCAGAGCGAGACAAATGTAATTGTTACGTTGTTTGGAGCTCAACAGGTTGCGTAGATATAAGTAAGTGTCAAGCTTTCCGCCCGTTCCGTAGATCGCGGGATGACGTCGTGAGCGATATGTGACGCGCGCGCCGCAGCAGGACAAAGCTCGGTCTGGCCGCCCCGCGACTCGGCGCACAAGCAGCCGCACGACCCGGACATTCGGTTTGGTCACGTCCCCCAAAGACAGCCCAGCACAGCTGCAAATGCCTTTATTCCAGGATAGATTACCCTACAAAAGTCGCAGACTATGCGCACAGCGTCCCAACACCGTCGCGCTTCCCAAAAAAGCCACGCCCAACGTGCCCGCTGTGCCCCTCTGTCGTGTAGTGTGTGTGCCCGCTGCCATCGGGCTAGGAAAAACAGGACACCGGGGGAATATGATAGTGCCGCAACGGCAAGACAAATGAAAGGAAAAAGGACACGTCCAGACATGCTCTGCTGCTCCCCTGTCGCGCCTCGCTTCCACCAACGTTCGTACCATGGAGTGAATCCGTTCGTCAAGTGTGTAAGAGAAAGGAAAGGTGGAAAAAAGCAAATGAAAAACACCGCCGATGAACACGAGAGAGACTGCCCATTTTCCCACGCAACTAACACCTTCGGGAAATGCTTCGCAATTATACCGCCCAGACACCGTTTGAGAGAGAGGAAAGGCTGCGATCCTACACCTGGACATGCGTTCTGTATCGGCTCTGCGCTAGTCTGCTGAATATTTGCGGATTCTAGAAACGCTCGATCAAAGTGCTTGATGTGTGTTAATGCATCAGTGTGACCTCTGGTCACCGCAAAAAGGCCATGTTAGAGAGCCGCATCCGGCATGTTGATGTCGCTCATGTCGTGAGGCTCAATGGCGGCGTGGTTTGCCTGGTTGTACTCTGGCATGCTATACGGACTGCCAGCTCTGTAGTCGTCCAGCTCGTCATCAGGTGGGGAGAAGTTCCAAACCTGCCAAACGGTTAACAACGCAGGCCTAGTCTCTTAGTGCTGCCTAAATGACTTACCTCCATGACTGTCTTCTGACCCCTGCTGGCCATAATCACAGCCTTTTCCTCTTCAAACACCACGCGCCAGACTGCCTCCGCCGGCTGGCTGAGTTCGCGGACCAAAGTTCCTTTGTTCAAATCCCAAACCTTGACGCGACCATCAGAGCCACCGGAAACGATGCGAGTGTCGTCAAACTGCAGACTGGTAACGCTGTTGTCGTGGGCCGCCAGACGATGGATCGGTTGGTACTCGTTCAGCGACCAGACGCGGACGGAGCCATCGGAGCCGCCGGTGACCAAGATATCGCCGCGCATTTGCAGCTGACCGACAAGCGAAGTGTGGCCTTGAAGCAATCCGAGGCAGCGACCATCGTTGGGATCCCAGATCCTGACGCTGGTGTCCAGGCTGCCGGTAGCGATTCTTTTTCCGTCAAAAGCAATGGCGTAGATCTGGCTGAAGTGGCCAGTGAGCGTCCTCAAGCACTTGCCTTCGGAAATGCTCCAAATGCGCGCAGTCGTGTCGTAGCTGCCGGAAACGACCAGATCACCGTGGATCTCCAAGCAGCGGACGCTGGCCTGGTGGCCTACGAGCACGTGCTTGCAGACACCCCTTTCGATGTCCCAAATCCTCAACGTCGTGTCTCTCGAGCCAGAGATTGCCGTTTTGGAATCGGACATCTTCAAGCATCGGACGGTCGAGGTGTGACCCCGGAGGGTGTGGACACTCGCTCTGCGCTCGTGGTTAGACTGTGCGCACTCTGAAAGGGTTCACCAAACTTACCCTGTGGCCATGTTCCAGACCCTGACGTCCCTGTCGCATCCACCGCTAACCAAAATGTCTCCCCAGGGCACCATTGCCCAGACGCCCATGACATGTCCCTGCAATGTCTTCTGGTGCTGTCCTTCGGTATCAAAGACATGGATCTTGGCGTTGTCCAATGCCACGACAATGTTCTTGTCAGTAAGGTGCAGGCTAGTCACGACGCCTTGGTCAGGCGTGATCTGCCTGGAATCCACCCGTCCGCCGGATCGCCATGCCGTCTCCACCATGTAGCGCTGCTTGAAGTGGGACCTGTACGTCATGGCCTTTGGTTTCCGCCTAGATCCTCCTCTCCGGTCAAGGCTTTGGGTCCTGAGATCAGGAGTGCTGCTGGACGAGGCTCCAGCGATGCCCTTGAACTGCTTGCCCGCACTGTAGCGCCAGGCCTGGGAGGACGAGGGCGAGCCGCCAGGCGTCAAGGTGTTTCCGAAGGGCGCTGGTCGGGGCCCGGATTCGTCGGAGAGTCTCCGATATGCGTGCTTCTCACAGAGGGACTTCCATGCCATATCATCACTGACGAGTTCGTGCCATCGCTTGGAGACTTGCGACGAGCGGGCGAGGGTTTGCGGGTCGTCGATGAAGGTGAGGATCTGCAGGCAGCAGCGGAGTCAGCAGGAGGTGCGGTTGGCGGGGCTTGGCTAGGCGAAAGGTACGTACGCGAAGACAGAGCTCATTGGGCAGGCAGGTGAAGGGGTCCTTCTTCAGCCTTGGGCTGACAAAGTCATGTACGAAGCTCAGCTGGTGGCTGTTGCACATGTTTAGCAGTTCCCCTAGCAACCGCTGCTTCTCGCCGTCGTTCATCTCGCTGAACAGGGCCCTGATGTCGCGGACCTGCGTGTCCTCATGCTCGGCGGCAGTGCTCCAGTCGGGAGCGCGCTGGTTCGGGGTCGGGCTGGGGGCTGGGGTGGGCGGCGACGCGGGCGCCGAGGGCAGCAGGTTGTGGGGGATCGAGGCGGACATGGGGCTGGTGGGCGTGTGGATGGGACGAGGCTGCGAGCGCGCCATCATGCCGCGCTTGCGACTGCGGGAAGAGGTAGGGGAGGTGAAGATGGAGGATCCGCTAGCCGACATGCGCTTGGGCGACAGAGCGGCGCCGTCCTCGAGGTGCATGTCGGCGTCGTCAACGTCGGCGTCGACGGGTCTCCGGTAGTCGTCGTCCATGGGGAGGTGGCCGGGCGGGGTTGTGGTGGAGGCGGGAAACTAGTAGAGTCGAGGCTGAGGGAGAGTCAGGGCAGCAACGCCCAGATCGGCATGCGAGCTCGTAGAGAGTCGACTGAACGAGAGAGCGAGAGAGTGCGCAGGTTCGAGAGAGAGCGAGGATTCGTTCGGGACTGGGCGCTAGTGTTTGAGAGTGGTATTATTGTGAGATGGTCAGGAGGCTCCGCAAGCGCTCGGGCAGCGCTCGACTTGGTGGGCGAGAGGCGAGTGCGCGCGTGCACGAAACGCAGGAGACAACGATGCAACGGGAGTGATTGGGGAAATTTGTTCGACTTTTTGCTGACGATCACGACTCCGCTCGCTCAATTCCCACGTCCTTCTCGGAACCATGCCCGTCAGATGCGCCACGCTTATGTCAACGCGACGACACTTCTGATGACAGCCACATGGCTCCTCTAGCGGCCCACCTTCTAGACCCTGCTGAAAACAACCTCCTTCACGTTGGCTGCATGCGCTGAAAAAAAAAAAACACCTTGATTACTCTATCAAATCCTGCCTACCCCTTCTCAGCACGTCCAGACCGCCGTTCCCGGGACCGTGTAGTTGGTGAACTGGTTGTAGATGTTGGCCGTGTAGCCAGGATCCGTATCGTGGAACATGCCGGGGATCTTGCCCGTCGGGCTCGGTGTGCCTGATCCGCCACCCGTGACCTTGACCTGCGCGCACGAGATGTAGAACTGCGGCAGACCACCCGGGTTGTGGATGGCCAGCTGCTGGATCCGCAGCAGGTACTCGCCCGCCGGCACGCACTCTGGGATAGTCACGTTGTACGACGACTCCAGGTCCCACTCGGCCTGGCCGTCCGTGAACTGTAGCTGGCGCGTTAGTCTGCTGCAAATGACGACAAGAGCAAGGAGAAAACATACCGTGGGACCAATGTTCTTGATGTTGAACCACGGCGTGCTGCCGTCGGCCGCCTTAGCATCATCGACCTTGGTCATGTAGAAGGACACGGGGCCCTGGTGGTAGACAGCCTGGTCGGCCGTGAAGGCGACGTTGCTGCCCGCAGCGACGGAGACGGTGTCGGTGCTGGAGCCATCAAGGCCGCCAACATTGCAGCGCAAGTCGTTCGACTCCAGGTCCGTCACGGGCGAGTTGTTGTTCGTGTTCTTGCGGATGTACTGGTAGGCTTCGCCCTTCTCGCCGTTGGCGGTAAGGTACTCGAAGATGTCTGATCGGCGACACAATGTCAGCAAGCAAGCGCGTGCATAGGGTTGGGAGCCGCGGCGACGCGTGGCGGAAGCCAGATCGTCGCCGCAGGAGGATTCAACGCACAGTGACCGTGGGCCACCTGAGCCATGAGGCCGGTGGTCACAATAGCGGCGGCGCTGAAGAACTTCATTTTCGATAGTCTGGATTTCTGCAACGAAGAGCAAGCTGCGAAACGAAACACAACCTCCAAAACAATGTTCCAGCAGCCCTCTTATATACGCCCTCCTGTACCACGCTCAGACTCCGCGAGCTCCCCCCGTGGAAGCCACGCCGGCCCGGCCGCAGCGCATGAAGTCCGCATTCAGTTGCAGGAGTGCAGTGGACCACGGGCGAGACTCGCAAGCGGGAAGCCCGAAACGTGTCGTACGAGGATGAATTGACGCGATTTGGCCTTGCTCGGGGCCGTGAGCCGGGGCGCTGCTCCGTTTGGCCTGTAGGAGTGCCATATAATACATAAGTAGTTGCCACTTAAAGTGCGCTTAAATGAACTCCAAACATCGGGTCCAGCCCGACGACATATTGTATCCGCCCGTCTGCTCACCTATTACCCACCAAACCGCTACCGGCACCAAACTCTCTCCCATACTCGTCCTTTCCCTCCCAGCACGCCAACAAGAACAGCATCAAGCACCCTTATTGTATCCGCATTCCGCACTCATCCGCCCTCCCAGCGTCAAGGCTCAAACCTCAAACCAGGCCCCTCCTCTTGAAACCCGCCCGAGCCAAAAATATCAGATAAATTACCTCCGCCCCACACCGAGCCCAGCGGCGGCCCGGCGCCCGCCGCGCCCCTCCGCGCCGTCGGCCCTAAGCCCCAGCCGCCCGCACGCCGGAGTCCCAGTGGCGCGGTGCGCGTGCCTGTCCTGGTGGGTGGGTATATGTGAGACGCGCGCGTTGGCGCGTTATACCCTATGTATGTCTGGATGAATCCAGTTATAGGATGTCGGTATTAAGCTGCTGGCTTGCCGGCGTGATTGGTTGCATCTGCTTGCTTGCTCGGTTGCTTGCGTGCGAGGTCGGCGACTATGTTCTACTGCTGACATCCACTACGTTTGCATGCGCTGTTCTCGTGCCGTCCTTTGTCTTTCGGCTTTTATTCAACTGGCCAGTTCCATCCCCGCGGAACGTCACGGCGGTAGGTGCAGCATCACTCCAAAGCGTTAGAGCTCTCAAGAGTCAGTCAGGCGAACGAAGAACTTGGCGAACGAAAAACTCGGCGAACGAAGCACGGCGAAAAAAAGAATTATTATCGAGATCGATGGTGATTGACATGTTTAGAAATCGATCGAACGCCCAAATACGTCCGCTATGCCGCTCCCATCCACACAGAATCCACACATGTTACATCTCCCGAGATGCAGGCCCGCGCGAGCCTACCCTCCCACCTCTTCCCGCTCACATCATCCGCCCTATTCAAGCATCTCGAAGCAACATTGCTTCAATAAGCCAATCGCTCGTGCCAGCCGTAGAGCCTACGCCTCAGCATGCCTTGCGCGATCCTGCTGCTACCCTATGGAGGGACGCTGGCCTAGAGGTATCGCGGTCCGTAGGATATTAATGCGACGTCCGAAAGTGTTGAGATCTAAGACCTCGCCTCCTCCAGCTCCAGCTCCAGCATCCTTATCTTCTCGTCCTTGCCAGCATCGCTTTGCTGCGACTTCAACTCCGCGACCTCACCCTTGAGAGAGTCGAGCTCGGCCGTCAGATGAGCGATCTGCGACGTCTGGTTGGTAATGGTCTCGTTCTGGCGTTCCAGCATTTGCTTGATGTCGGTCAAAGTGTCCCTGATACCACTTGCCGCCGACGCCGCAGCGCCCACGGACGGAGAGGGCGTCTCGGACTCGGCAGCCTTGGCGGCGCGCTCCGCGACAACAGCCGGCTCAGGTTCCGTGCTGATCTCGGGGCCCCGCGTCTTCTCCTCCATGCGGGCGGTGACCGAGGGGCGCTCGACAGGCTTAGGGATGTCCTCAAAAGGAGCTTCCTCCTCGCGCTCAGGCTCATCCTTGTCCACAAACTTGTCCGCCATGCTAGCCATCGAGGCCTTGTTGTCGTTCACCGAGGGCGGGGAGCTGCGGGCTGCCGGGGGAGCGGGCTCCGCCGCCGCAGGCTTAGGCACAGGCGCAGGGGCGGGTGCTGCGGCCGCTGGCTTGGGAACAGCGTCGGCGGCAACCTCGACGGGCTCTTTGCCCTCGTACAGGCTCTCAAGAGAGATCTTCGGAGGCAGACCGTCCTTGCCTTCGAAGAATTCAGTGGCCGTCACGGCAGCCTTGAGACCGGTCGTAGGCGGGTAGATGTCGCCTTGGAAGACCTCGGCCCGACGAGGCACAATGAAGGGAATAGGCTCGATACAGGTGTCGCCAACCGTCTTGTAGGCACGGACGACTTCGTTCTCGTGGAGCTGGGTCCCGTTAGCTTGTGTACGCAATCCTGAGCGGGGTCAAAACGCACGTTGATGCCGCGCTTGGGCATAAGCGCGACGCCACGCTGCGGGTCGGTGGACTTGTATTCGGACAAGAACTCAAACTTGTCGTTCTCGTACTCGAAGTAACGGATGTTGCCATCACTTCATAACAGTCAGCTTCTGATCGGATTCGTAATGGGCATTCCCATCTTACCCCTTGCCGGCAAGGTACAAGCACTGCGTGCCATCATCCCAGAACGGCATGCAGATACCCGATATCGAGTCGAGAATCTCAAAGCCGTTCAGCGGCTCCCTTGCAGCCCTTAAGTCCCAGAGACCCAGCTGGCGGTCACTCATCTTAGAGAAACCGGTTGTCGCAATCCTGTCGTTCTCACCCATCCAGACGGCACGCTGGCTCTTCGCGCCGTGGTGGGCAGCGCCCTCGTGCACAGGCTTCTCCTGGCGCACATCCCAAATGCGGAGCTTCTTGTCGCGGCTGGTGGTAACGAGTTGAGAGCCGTTGGCGCTGAAGGACAGCGACTGAACAATGTCGGGGTGCTTAAGCGTCAACTTGGGAGTACCAGCTTCAACATCCCAGAGCTTGATAGTGTAGTCACCAGACGACGAGGCGAGAACGTTCTCGGCGGCAGGACTGAAGAGGACGTGACCGACTTTCCTGCAGACCTGTTAGCCGCATTCCCTGAGGTAAGGGATGAACCACCGACCTCGTGTGTCCCGTCAGCTTGGCGACGGGAGAAACATCAGGAGGCTCCTCAGCGTCGCTGTACAGCGAGAAGTTCTCGGGCACCTTCCAGACGAAGACCTAATAGTACATGAGCATCTGCCGGCTCTTGGTCGTATAATGCTGCCAATTCCGTACCTTGCCATCGTCGGAACCAGAAACGATCACATCGTCGTGGAAAGGGTTCCTGTCGAACGCTCGTCAGACATCAAAGCCGGCGCGATCCTCAAGTTGCGACGCGTACCAATCAGTGTCCAAGACAGCCGCTGTGTGCCCCCGGAACAGCGGGATGATCTCGGGGAGCTTGCCGCGCTCATTGAGGGGAATGACAGCGAAGGCACCGCCACCACCGGCTTCCCAGTTAACGGACAGATATTGAGGGTTGGCCTGTGGCGGACATCAGCTATTGCGGAAGGCAGGGGATATGCGCGCAGGAGAATCGGCGGACCTTGATAATGTTGGAATCCCAGGCATTCTTGGAAATGCGCAAGTTATCGTAGCATTGTTCCTGAGAGAGGCGTATTAGACGTCGGGCTGTGCTGTGGCGCACGGCGGTGGTTGTGTACCTTCTTGGTCGAACGCCCGAAGACGTGACCTGCTACGCGTCAACGACGATTCAAGCGGTGGAAGATAAATGCTTACGGTACTTAGAAGCTCTGACGAAGCGACCCGACATTTGCGCGCGTGCGATCTCGCGGGGAGCGGAGGGGGAGGGGGAGGACTGAAGAGAGAGGACTGGTGGGAGCTGGTTAGTTTACCCCCCGAGTTGCTGCAGCCCGCAGCCCACCCCCGTAATGTCTTGGCATCCGTTCGCCGAAACAAGGGTCTCCCGTCTCGACCGTCGATCACCAATGCCCCCTCAACTTCATCTCATCTCTCACACCACGACTGCCCTCCGCATCCAGTGCCGGCCTTGCTTGCTCGACACGCCGAAACATGGTAGGAACAAATGGCCATCCACCCCTGGTATCGGATAGTCCGGTATAGCATGGACCTATTGTACGAGTGCGTTGTCCTTTCTCCTAGGTACACAGGCTGTGAAAAGCGGGGAATGTCATGATAGCTAGGGCTCTCTGGGGTGGATGCAACAGTTTTGGCTACGTATCGAACGGTGGGTCGAGGCGCATTGTGGGTAGTCGTCGCAACCTCGCGGTAGGTTGCAAGCCCATTCTTGCGCAATCGAAATGAGACGGGTGCAGATTTGGACAGAGATGCCTGCAGTATTGTTGGTTGTAGACCGAAACTGTCACCACCGGAAAGAGATTTGATGACTACAAATCTTCAAGTTACCGCCAGGTCCAATGCATTTATTGACAGACCATTTCAACGAATTACAAACGCATCAGCACATTACGGCTGCGAATCGCTTTTGGGTTCCATACAATCCGAATTTATGAGAAGCAAAAAAGAAGTTATCATCGAATATGGGTCTCGACTTATTGGGGGTGAAAGCACATATTTTGCCTCAATACCAGAACAGAGATGCCTCGCCATGGGACCAGATTTCGTGGAAATATCTCTCCGTACGGCGCCTCTAACAAATAGTTTGATAGCACTTGGCCTTCAAGTCTACCAAATAAGGCTGACGATGGATCTCTACCTCTGCTATGCCACCTTTTCTTTCGGTCAGCCACGATGGTGGCTACTCTGCGGCGACGTTCTTTCCTTTTACCAGCTACAATAATGATATCTTGCAACGCATCATGGTTCTCTCGCAACCACAACATCACCAAACATTATCTACCATTTGTGATACCGCATATTTCCCGACCAAGGTCAACAATCGTTATAATTCACAATCACAATGCAGACTCGAAGCCGCACCAAAGCTAGAGAGAGTCCTGAACCGGCAGCAGCATCTTCAACCGAAAACAGAAGAGAAAACTCGCCTAACTCGAGTGCATCTTCTCCAATGCTAGGCGCTACCCCTCCTAGGACGCTGTCCTCTGACCCCGTGTCGCCTATTACTAGTCCGGATCAAATACCAGAGGAGTATAATGAACCAAATGAATACTATTATGGAGGACGCGTCATACGGCCCGAACTCGAGCGTATGGCAGGTCGTATGGACTTTCCTCCCGGCATACCGTTATCGAACCCAACATTGAAGCCGTCATCGAAATCATCACCGGAATCACCAAAGAAACTCTCACAGAAACCTTCACAGGAGTCCTCACAAAAACCATCACAGAATTCGTATGCCTCAAAGTATAAGGAGTATCAGGAGAAAGAAATTCGGTACCGGGTTGACAATGACTTCTTCAAGACGGTCTTGCGAGAAGAGACAAGTAAGAATGGGGAGAACGCAAAAGAAGCAGCGGCGAGAAAATCGGATGTTGACTGGGACAAACTCTTAGAGTTACCAAGATCAACCCCGGAACAAGAACCACCTACTGAATATTCTCGGGGACAAGATATTAGTCCGGGACAATACTTGTTTAGTGGAATTCCCCTGCCAGATTTCACTGACTCGGAAGAAGACCCGTCTACTGGAGATATTCGGGAAGATTCCACTACCCCAGAACAAGATCCGTATATTGAACGTACCCAGGAAAAATCCACTCCCAATCAGAAATAATACCTGCAGTGTCGAGACAACGCATTTGCCTCGACAGAAGAGGAGTTTAGATGTGAAAAGGGAATTGTATAGATCATTCATTCGTAGATGTGGATGTCTTTCTGTGTCCGTAACATGCATGCTTCTCTTCACTCTGTCTGGGTTTGTGAAACAGATCTCTACGCTGTTTTTGACGCAACTAAACCGGTTTCGAAAGTAGATGTTTATCTTGTGCAGACGTACAAACAATCTCCACTAACGACGGGGTGTTGACTACCAAGATCCAGCTGGACCAAGAAACTTAAATTTACAGCTGACAATACACACCGTGAGGTCGACGCTGCTCTGGGGCAATTCTTGCCAAGTATTAGCATCCGATCATCTGCCTTTAACACATACGGAAGGTGCTCTACCACACTGAATCTGTGCGATTAGATCATACTGTTTGGCTGTCAGCCATTGAATATGCACGCAATACTCTCTTACAAATAATCAAGGCTCACTTCAGCCTTCTGTGATTTTTTCGTGCGCTGCAAGCTGTCCGTAGTGGCTAATGAGCATGGGCAGAATCCTGTGCCAGCACCTACCCCATTCGGTTAGTGCGGGCTTATATGGTCAACGTTGCCTTCCTTCCGCAATCTTCCTAGATGACTGATCCTTCTCAACCAACTTACCAGCCACACTGCTAATCTGATCCGCCATACTACGAAATATAATACAATTGAGTATCGGTTGCTTGTTCATCTCCACCGTTCAGGTCGCAAATGCTACCTCGCTACCCGGAAAACTCGGAAGAATGCTGTTCCACCGCAACCAACCAACCTCTTCGCCTCTCGTTTGCTGCTAGCCACTCCAACTATTCATAATGCGCCCAGTACTAAAAGTATCGCCCTACGGTATATCCGACGAAGGTCAGATGTTACCAAACATGTCCTTGGATTCTAGGCCGGTTCTCTGTTTACTATTGGCTGCATGCGCAGGAGACGCTCTTGGGAGGACGCTCACTCCGTGGGTTAAAGAATCACCTGCAAAATTGTGCCACCATGCGTTTGGCTGAAGGCAAGACGTCTTTACACAAGGAATAAAGATTTTTGCCCGGGTACTATCCAATTTTTCCTTTTTCTCGGTCTACCCAGTCGAAAAATCTCTTCTACGTTCTATTCACCAAAATATCCATTCTGTGATGGGACGTTATGTTTTCAGTGATCATATCACTATTTGCCATCGAGAACGGTGGCTCAAACGAGGCTTTTAACTGCTTCCATCGAAATCTTATAAAGATTTCGTGACTGCCATTGTTCGTTACGCATACATGCCAGGAGTTTTAAGAGAATTACCTTTTCTATATTCTAACGGTGATGGTCGTTGCCTCCGGACCAAGAACTTCATGCATGTTCTATTGTTTGTCTTCGCACAAACCCATGTAATGACTTTCACTTTGTTCATCGTCATTGTATATACCATCAAGCCGTATTCTACCTACTGCAAACAGTGCATCCAACTCCAGACTCGTAGAAATTAGCGAAGGCGTCGCTTTGTAACGCCGCCCTCTAAAGTAAGCTAAGTATGATGACTTGCACATGGAAGATGCACTGATACCAACATAAGAAATAGTAGTACACATTCATTCATAAGCCACGCGAAACTACCTCCTAACACGCATCTCTGAGTTCTAGTGCTGACGATCTTCAGCAAAACTTACCCTCCAAGATCAACACCACTACCTCAAAATCAATAAAGATATTTTACACCTCCTGGAGCCAGATTAGTCACGCCTGTGAAAGGGCTAACCTACGTAGCTCCGGTAAGTCAGCCCAGATCTCAACCACGGGACTTAGGCTCTAACAACTTCCTCAACATGATTAGACGCAACTCCCTCGGGTACTGGTGCTGGGTAAATCCCAGCGGCCAACTAATTGAAGAGCAGCCAAGAGACTCCAGCGACTCTAAGTGGAAATTTCCACGCCCCGACCTCGCTGGAGAAGAGTGGCCTTTTCTTCCCGACTTCCGCCACCCTGAAGAGCAAGCCGAGCACCCTCTCTCCTCGTATCCACCTCCACCACCCACACCGCTGCCTGAAGCTCAATTTCAATTGACAACTAAACTACCAAACAACTCCCACGACACCCGACCATTGCAGTCCCAATCACAGCCAAACATGGCTAAGAGATCTCGCCGACGATACGGCGATTACGATCTAGAAACTTGGCCGACTGAGGACATGCACGAATATGAGTGTCACAAGAGAGACATGCGACAAATGCCGCGCCACATCGGCATCAATCAACGTTATGAACGTGAGCCATATTATGAACCGGAACCGTTGCCAAGCTTTGAGGATATCGATGATGGCTTTGATGAATACCATGACAGCGAAGGAGATGCCGGCTTCAACACTTACGAACGCCCACTGTTCCATACCGAACAAAAACCGAAGGAAAGGTCAAAGTTCCATCCCAGCCTTTCCAACATCCACCAATATCCTCGTAATCCTGTTCCTGTCCGACAATCCCGCCACAACGGACCTCTAGCTCGTAGAGCCGTGTCCCCGTACCGTCAGAACGCACCGAGCCGGCAAGTTCATCAGGCCCGTCGACCTTCTCCGCAGCCAAGGCAGACGCATCGTTCTTACGGCATGGACTTCTCACCTGAAGTGTCGAGGACGAAACACAATGATGCTTACAAGTCATACCAACCATCTTCTGCGGTCCGCCGGCCACCTCAGCTCCTACCGATGAGTTCGAGGAACAGGACTAATGGCGCAGAGTCGATTGATCTCACCAGAGATTCGGATGGTGATGAGTACATTGCTTCTCCATCTTGGAAATCTCAGAGGGCACAAGGTTTTCGGGCGACAAGACAAGATCCAGTACGAAACCTCACATCAACACAACCAAGTCTGAAAAGAAGGGAAGGCGCACCGATAACTTCTACTCGCACGAAACCTCTCAGGATCGGCAATGGAAGCTACGATGCCTACAAGACTCCTGCCGAAGTAACGGAACGATCTCACCCGTTACAACCACAAGCGATAAATGGTCATTTGAAATCAAGTCAAGGCATCCGCCTTCAGTATACAAAGCCAAAGCACCAACGCATCGAGCAGAATGTCCCAAATGATTCGCACGGATACACTGGCTTAAACTATGCACGCATCGCCGAAAAACGAGTTCGGAAGCGCTCGCTGGAGCGTTATTCTTCAGACCCTTCAGACTTCCCAGAACTACCGTCGCAGAATTATCGCATGGAGAACAAGCGACCACGTGTGCACAGTCCAAATCAACATCCAGTGACTGCCCAATTTGACAACAAAAGCACTATCATTGAAAGATTGGTTGAAAAGGAACCAAGGAAGACGAAATTCGACGGATTGCAAATGAAACAGCAACCTGAGATGTCACAGCGTGAAAGGCAGCCGCAACCTCGGCCTCCTCTCTATGAGGATGACAGTGAACTATCACCAACTCCATCCTTGCCCCAGACCAACATTAAACCCACTGGCCCGAGTCATGGCTCCCAAAATGGGCTGCTGTCATCTTCAGACTCCCCGATACCATCTGTGGAGACTCCACCGGCGACTCAAATGCGCAGCACTCTTGATGGTGCTGCTGCCAGCCAAGCGCTTCGTGATGAAGCGCGCGAGCGAAAGAGGAAGGAAGATCAACAAGCTGAAGAGGAGCGTCTCGATGGATTATTCGGAGGCTATCAAGACAATGATCCGATGGACATACAAGATGACGTGGGGGAGCAGGCTACACTGGAAGCGTCTGGACCGGGACAGATGAATGGCAAGCAGACTTCAAGCGTCCAATCATCCCGACGCTATTCTTGTAACACCCAAGCACCGGAATGTCAACCATCGACGTCGAGTTCACATACAGAGACCATGGGTACAGGCCAATTGGTAAGTATGAAGCGAAAGCTGTTGGCGGACTTCGGTGAGAGGGCTAGGCAGAAGAACATGGAATTGGCCTTGTCATCTCCCCAGCAACAGAACGGGCAGTCATCTGAAGATTCTGATCAAGAGGAATCCGATGGTGAAGTTCCCAATGGAAGAGAATGGGATGACGATGCTTTGTCTGAACGGGAACAATCCTCGAAGAAACCGGAAGAAGTTGCCAGATTTCCCAAGATGCCAATCGGAAAAGCCTCGTTGGGGAGTTCCATTCTTCAACACAGAGTTAGCCGTCCGCAACCCCAGCTTAGCGTTGCAGGGCAACACCCGAAGCCTTCGAAACCAAAGACTGCAGCTGCATACACAGACATCACAGCTAAAAAACCCAAGAAGACGCTGGTACAGGCTCTGCAAGATGACCCTGCTTACCAAGAAATGGAAGCAGAAGCGAAAAGGCTCAAGGAAGAACATGCGGCTCTTATGATGAAAGAGAGAGAGCAAAGGGAGAAAATGAAAGAAGAGCGGTTCGAGAGATTGAAGGCCAAGAATGAAATAACAAAGGCGCAGATTGAGGCGAAGAAGTTGGCTTTGGAGAAGCGAGAGTTGGATCGAGCTGCTGCAGCTCTTGCCGCGAAAGACCCCCCAAAGAATACGCCGCCAAAAAATAATAGGGTCCGGAATCGCAAGAAGTCGCGCAAAAACATGGAGTCGACTCTCTCCTACGACTTGGTCCAAGATGGCGACGATGACGATGACGTCCCTCAACCGGGAGAAAGCCTGGATGATTATGACGACTCGGAGATTCCAGTTACTGCCGACGATATGGGGCTGCAGGCTCCCGTTGGTGGCGATCAATCGGAACAAGCTGCGGAACCTACCTTTTCCCAGATTATGGATGAGCTTGCCCCCGTCAATGGTGACGATCCAACCATTCAACCTGTTCAGGATGATGTTATCAACCAAGCCGAGACCACAAGTGGCCATAACGGAGGATCGCAACCTGAGAATGGCACATTAGCCGAAGGTGAAGGGGAACAAACCTCAACCACCCAAGACAGCTCCACGCAACCTGGAGATCTTAACCAACCTAATTCCGAAGATACTTCCAACCAAGAGAAGAATGCAACCGGCATAGAATCAGCGCAAGACAAGCCGACAGGAGTGGAGAATGTGAACTTAGAAAAGCCTTCTACCCAGGCCCCTCCGCCCTCTTCTACCTCTGTTGCAACCGTTCGCAACCAGCAAACGCGCCCAAAACCCTCGATTGAAGTGTTTAGTGCTTCTCCCGCGAGAGCAGATGTCCTTGCAGCAATAAATCGCGCCGCTCCAACGCGCAATGGAGATGACCGTTCTGCAAACCGGAAGCAGGCAAGCGGAAATGATCCGTTACGGGATATACGGAGGAAGGCAGCTTTGAGACGTGATAACTTGGCTCATTCAAAAGCCCTTGGCCAAAACCGTCAAGGCATTTCAAGAGACGAGGACGACGAAGAGGATGTTGTTGAGCAGTCATCCGCTGCCATTGGTGCTGCGTCCAAATCTAAACCTAAAACCACCAAGCCAACAAAAGCTTCCCGGGCCAGGCTCACACTTCTGAATGGGAAGTCGAAGGCATCCGCACACCCACCACATCCAAACCAAGCTGTTACCTCGCACGACGGCTTCATGTCCGGCGAACCCTTGATAGTCGAACCAGTCGCTGCTACTACCCCAGCCTATGTGATCACTACTGACGACAAATCCATCCTTGAATGGCACAGTAAAGGCTTGAAGTGGTCTGAAATCCGCATTCTATGGGCAAACAAGGTGGGCAAAACCCTTTCGGATGGTGCTCTGCGGCACCGCTACAAGCGGATCCAGCAGAGATTCCCCGAGTACGCCCAGGAACTTGAAGATCAGAAGCGGGCATCGGAGCTTGCGAATGCCTCTGTGGCAGTAGAGCAACCAGAGCCCGCCGATGAAGGACAGCAGGTCCGTCCCGGAGGCAAGAAATGGGATCAGGCGTCCATGGAGGCTTATTTAGCCTCAGCCGAAGCACAAAAGAGCTGGCTTACGTCGGAAATTGAAGCTTCTGATTTCGAGCAGGATGACAACGAGAGAAGAGAAGACCAGTGCGCAGTGTCGAGCGTACCAGGTCCGCTTCGACCTCGCCCTCAGCCTGAAGAAGAGCCAGACCATGATACGGTCTGGTATCAGTACCAAGTCCTTCGTGCTACGCTAGATGCGGGCGAGGATGAAGACGCAGCCAGTTGGACAATCTGCGGAGAGGCGATGTACAACAGCCTGCCCGCCGCAAACATAGCTGCAGGACACGAAGCGATGCGCCAACGCGAAGGCATACCGGGCCTCAACTTCACAACGAAGCGCATGGTGTTCGAGGCCGATCTCGACAACCTGCACAACTACACCATCACCTGTTCGGACGGGAAAACGGTCAAGATCTCTGTTATGCGCAGCTTACGCGCGCCGGGACAGGGCCTGCGCCCGCCGCCGAGACAGGGCTGGTTCGGTGCTAGGTTGTATGTTGTCAGGAAGAAAGACTCCATCAGGCAGCCTGAGATGTTTGAAGATGCAAAGCCCCAGGGTGGGCCGTTTGATGTGGGACACCAGGCGCAGGCGGAGGCTGGTATGGAGCGAGAAGGGAGCCAGAGTTCTGGTCTCCATGTCCCGGAATGGCCACCCACGCCACTGGATGCTGAAGAGGTCGACTATCAGCCGCAGGTCGATTACCAGCCTCAGTATGATGACCAGCTGCACTACGACCCCAACGCGCAGTACGACGACCTTTTTGAGAACGGCTTCGACGCAAAGCCGGTGGATGCGCTCTTCAACGGCGAAACACCCATCGAGCAGTCCTTTGAACAGCCCGTCGAACAACCTGTCGAACAACCCATCGAACAGCCGATCGAACAGTCTGCTAAACCAACAACCGTGGCGCCCTTGCGTCCCGCTCCAAAGCCGCAAACCACGTACAACGACTCGGACAGCGAGTCCAGCGATGAGGACGAAGAAGACGACAACCACTTCCCCGCCGCCGCCGCCGCCGTCACCACCACCACCAACAACAACACCGACACCAACGACCCCCACCCAACTCCCCACCCCTTCCCCACACCCGCACCCGCCCCGAGCCCCCTAACCTACGAAATCTGCAACGAGAACCTCGGGCACTACACGGTGCTGGACCTGGCGAACCGCGAAGCCGCATCCTGGGTGCTAGAGCACACGACGGTGCCGGGCTCGCTGCGCATGGACGACATGCTGGCGCGGCAGGAGCTGCAGCGCGAGCTGGGCGAGACGTGTGATCGGCTTGAAGCTGAGGGGGGCGCGTTTCGCTGGGTTGGTGTTGTGGGGGATGCGGGGTTGGGCGTTGAGACGGTCGTGTGGGTTGAGGAGGGGAGGCTGCAGGGGCCGAGGAATGTTTAGCGGGTTGGTGAGGGGGGTGGAGGGTGGAGGGTGAGGGTTTCTTGGCTTTGCGTTTGGGAGGTGGTGCTTGGTGGGTTTGGTGTTGGGGACAGGTACGGAGGTGCGGACTGCGGAGGTGATGACTTGCAAGGCTCTATCTGCGGGTGTGGGGTGCGTGCTTATTTGGGCGGAGATTTGGAGCTTTAGGGAGTAGATTTGTGGAAGCCACAGCACCAAAATGGAGTTACATAGGAAAAATTGGTTAAGTTTTCATTGTGCCTTTCAGTTGGCGGTTGGTCCTTCGCTTGACTTTGGACATCCTGAAGATACTGAAGTGACTGAAAAAGAGCGGATCCGTTGGGTACGCAAGCAATAGGTCTAGGTGAAGTTTTCTATAGCATATGACGGTATGTTGCATGTTGTGATGGTGAAAGGGAATAGGAAATAGAAAATCGTCGAAGATACTATAGAAGGTTTCTTATTTGCTTGGTCAAAGAGCTGTTGCATAGGAGTAGTGAAAGCCACCTTGTCGTTCTTTTCCGTCAGCGTCTTTTCGATACTAGCTAAAGGACTTCAATCATCATTCAACAAATCTATATTCGTAACTCTTTCGCAGTAAACCGAGAACAAAGGATCATATCGTAAATACCGAGCGCACAGATACGGACGAAATCAAGACCTAGAAAGCACTTGCTTTTTGACAGCCTTGAAATGTCATAGTCTGAAATCAAACCATTGATACATACTAATCAAATGTGGAGTTCCTTCTGAGGAAGACGAAGATGAGCAAGTCGAAGAAGGCAGGCAGGAGGGATTGTTCCGCACATACTTGAAGTGGATCCGGGGGCATTTGGATCGATACTGGAAGCAACACGGAGCTAGGTAGCAGCAGACAATGGCGGTGGTAGAGGCTGTCACCTTGTTAGTGTTTGCTAATCGCCATTACCTATAGGCGGGGATATTTATACCTTGGTGGCAAGTCGATGGTGTCCTGGTCAACAAGCACTGAGGTTGCTACACTTGCAGCATATGAGGACCCGTGAACCCGTGTGAATTCTTGCTCATTGGGCACTGGCGAAACACGGTCTCGATGTGTTTATCGGTCTTTTCGAAGACTAAGACAGCCGTGAACGTAGGAGCATTAAGTAGAGGTATTCTCCGGGTAGGGTTCCGGTGAAAGCTGCAGGCGCCCTGAAGCAGGCAAAACCGGGATGAACCTCGCAGTGCGCTGTACACAACATGGCGGACATGGCAGCCGTTTCAGGCTCTATGCAGCCAGACTCGCAGCGCGTGCAATGGCAAAGTGCCACGAGTTGGGCGAAAGCAAAGGGCAAAGATTCAATGGGGGAGGAAGACGGACAGCAGGACACACAAACACACAAGGGCAGGGCGCTACAGTAGGTTACTCCTCGCGTGGAACGCGACGACAAACCTCACACCCACCGGGCTGGTGCACAAAAGCCACTTAAGCCTGTGTTGTTCGGCCTTCACTGTCATGTGCCGCAGCTGTGGAGACCAGACTAGCCGCCAAGCTGACGATGCATGGCCTGTCTCCGCTGACACGACGACGCATCTTTGAGTCGTGAGCTTTCGCACCTTTCGCTACACCGAACAAGCACCTCGCTCGGTGTCGCGCAACGAGCGCGCAAATGCCACCATGGCCGGCGGACTGGAGAATCTCGAGAAGGAGTTGAGCTGCTCGGTTCGTCTGAATCATGCGTCACACCAATTCACCTGTTGACCCGCCCAGATATGTACAGACGTCTTGTACCAGCCGCTCACGCTCCTCGACTGCCTCCACACCTTTTGCGGCGCCTGCCTGAAGGAATGGTTCTCATGGCAGGCTGCCAGTGCCACCAACTCGCACCCTTACACCTGCCCAGCATGCCGTGCCTCGGTGCGCGCCACTCGCCCGGACGCAAGAGTCACCAGCCTGCTCGAGCTGTTCCTCCACGCCAACCCCACCCGTGGCAAGACCGAGCAAGAGATGGATGACATGCGCAAGGTCTATAAGCCCGGAGACAATATACTGCCCAAGGTGCGGCGAAGGCCCGATCCGGACGAGGAGCATGACGCCAGGATTGTCGACGACGTGCTCCAGTTGAGCCTCGAGGAAGCTGGCATTTCCAGCGGTAGGCTGGATTCGCCACGAGACCGCAGGAGGAGGGAACGCAGCCGGGACAGCTCCGACAGGGAAGACAGGCGCCGTAGAGCGCGGGATGCTTCGGCCCTCTCGAGCACTGCACGAGTCGGCGCCAGGTCAGCCAGTCGTGACACGTCTCCAAGGCCGCCCTCACGCCACATTGAACATCAGTCCAGCCTTCGCTCTCTGCTCAGCATATCTGATTTCGACTCGGAGGAGATGGAGACGGAGATTATGCGACAAATTAGAGACGAGGGTTTGTTGGACGGCATTGACCTTGAAAACCTAGACGTCGCGCAAGAAGAAGAGATTAGCGAGAGGATCGCACAAGCCTTCAGACGCCGGCAAAGAGACAGAGAACGCGCAAGAGCCAGACATGACAGATCCCGCAGTGATAGCACTAATTCCGTCACACGCCAGATGTTCGAAGAGGAACGTCCTCATCCGAGGAGACAGCGTTTACGCACCGAAAGTGCTATTCCGCGGCCCGTCTCCCAGAACTCTAGGCCACCGGTCTCCAGGCCGCACCTGTTTGATGTCGTCAACCAGGACACAGACCATCACAGGCGGTCCTCCAGCCAAGGCGGTGGCCGGACAGCCGGTGCTCGCCGACACCATTCTAGAGGGCTGTCCACCGATGGGTCTCATCCTTCTCGGCCGGCAGCCCGGTCAGCTGTAGAGCTTTCAGAACGTCCCCAGACTGCACGGTCAAGTGGCGAAAGGCACCGGCGTCTGACGGCAGCTGACCGCAGGATTACTGATCCGGAGCAGAACCCGCATCACTCGGATACTGCTCTTTTACCAAGGCCGGTGACCCGGTCTAGCGACAACTCCCCCAGGCGAGCTGCATTCACTGCCGCCATTACGGCGAGCCCGCAGCTTGAGACTCCCGAGGCCGCCAGAGCTGCTTATGCGAGACTTCAGGAATCGCCCGAGTACCCGTCAACAGCACGTCACATTCGTGCGTTGAATAATAGCTCACCGCCGCTTGCCCGGCCACTTGAAGCGGTAATTCCAGACTCCCGGCCATCCTCGTCTTCCGCGGCATCCCCACGACCTCCATTGTATGCAGAACCGTTGATATGCTGCAATCGCTGCGGTAAGGAACACATCGAGTATGAGCTGCATTTCAACTGCTCTAAGTGTAAGAACGGTAATTACAACGTCTGCCTGCGCTGCTATCGTGCGGGTGAAGGGTGCCTTCACTTTTATGGTGTCGGCTCAGCCGCTTTAAGAAATTATGAACGACGGGCACCGCCGGAGGGCTACCCTCCCGGATATGAGAAGCCCCACGTCCTTTCTGGCCATTGTTTCGAGAAGCCAAGACGGGACCTGGTGAACTCGGTGACCGCCGACGGCCGTGCCTTGACTGAAGAAGACCCCACTCAGCGGTTGCAGGCCGGCGTCTTCTGCGACATTTGCCTCGCCTTCACCAACAGCTGCTACTGGAAATGCGACACGTGCAACGAAGGCGCCTGGGGCTTCTGCAACAGCTGCGTAAACCAGGGCCGTCACTGCACACACCCCCTCCTCCCGCTGCAGCACGTACCCTCCACTCCCCATGCAAACGGCACCTCGGGCCCGCCGACACCGACAGCGGCCTCCGCCTCCGCCAACGCGAACACTGCCAGCAGCGCGCTGACATCGCTCACGCACGGTCCGGACACGACCACGCTCAGCGGCAAGCTCTTCTACTCGCTCTCGTTCCTCACGCACTGCGACCGCTGCCGCTGCCTCATCCCCCCTAATTTCTCACGCTACCACTGCCAGGCCTGCAACGCCGGCGACTTTGACATTTGTCTGAGCTGCTACCACGGCCTCGTAAGCGGGGGGCGCATCGCGCCGGAGAACGGGCAGCACGGGTGGCGCCGCTGTCCGCGCGGGCACCGCATGGTAGTGATAGGTTTCGAAGACGGAGCGGCCGGCCAGCGCCGCGTCGTCACGCACGACCTGGTCGGCGGGCTGGCGTTCAGAGACGAGGACGTTGCCGCCGCGGCCGCAGACTGCAGCAAACGCCGCGCTGGGGGCGAGGAGGGCAGAGGCAGCCCTGGTGCTGCAGAGGCGACGTCGCCGACCCCCCGCGCGCTGACGCCTGCTTGGACGTGGCATGATGGCGACGGCATGGTGCGCAAGGCGCGCACGTCGCGCGGGTCCTCGGCGGCCGCGAACGCGGGCACCGCGCGCAGCACTGCAGCAGCAGCGGCCGCGGCGGCAGGCGCAGCAGCAGCCTCCGCATCGGTATCGGATGCAGCGGCCGCGGCGTCAGCCAGCACGACCTCCACAACCGCGCCCTCTGCCTCGACCTCTGCCACAGCAACAGCAACAGCAACAGGCACAACATCCTCGTCCTCCTCGTCCACCTCGTCCTCAAAGTCCCCCCGCCCCCCGCCCCAGCAGCGCCTCCTGCCCCCCAACGGCGGCGTCGGCATCCGTGCTATAGCGCTCTGGGGCTATTTCCCACGCGAGGGCGTGCAGGACGAACTCATGTTCCCGCGGGGCGCGGAAGTGCGCGAGGCCGAGGATATTAATGGCGATTGGTTCTGGGGCGTGTATGCTGGGGCGAAGGGCCTGTTTCCGGGGAATTTTGTTAGGGGGGTTGGGGTCGTGAGCTAGGTGGTGGTGTTTGGGTGTTTTGGGAGGGGGTGGGGTTTGTTGGAGGGGGAGGGAAGGGGGTTGTGGTAGGGGTGGGGTAATGATGATGGTGTTGATGATTGTGTGTGTTGCGTGGGAAGGGAAGGGCATGGTTTGGAAGGATTGGACGAAGTTGACGACTTGACGACGATTAATTCAATTAATCAATCAATCAATCAATCGGTTACGTTAGCACGACAGATTCGGCAGGTCAATATTGGAGATGTGGTGGGATGGGATGGCTCATGGGTTATGGGTTATGGGTCATGGGTGGGCAGGAGCAGAGCGGTTCAGTTCAGTTCAGATAGGTTGGGTTTTTGTGTGCTGCTGCGTTGGATGGATGAAAGGAAGACATTGGCAAGGCGTAGTAGTATGTACATGGCATGTATATTAATCACGGAATCGTACCTATGCAGTTGTTACTCGACAAAGCTATTAATTTTATATGCTGACGGATGGTGTAATGGATGATCTATTTCGGAAGCGGATATCAGCGTTTCCGCCACAAAACCCAAATCCCCCGTCAGCGCCCTGCGTGAATACGTACAGCTTCCTCTCTCTCTCTCTCTATTACTTTCGAAAGCTCTCTCACGCGTCTACTACACATATACCACGACGCAAAAGGCCATACTAAAACCACCTCCCACGCACAGAACCAAACAGCTCGACCGTTAACCCTACTATAACCCGCGCCCAGCACAGCACAGCACGGGAAGACGCAGTGTTGCAAGCGAAAATAGCGGCTATAGCACGTACGTAGGTAGTAGGAGTAAGAGTAAGGCCAGCCGGTACCTAGGGCCTGTGGTGGAGGAGCTGCTGTGTGTGTGTGTGTGTGTGTGGGCGTAATTGTAGTTGCTTACTACAAGGTGTAGGTGTTTGTTGGGACGCGGGGGTTTAGTGTTTGGGTTTTTGGGTTATAGCGCGCTGCTGGGGGGACTAGGTAGGTAGGTAAGTGAAAAGGAGTGTGTGTAAGACGTCGGGTATGGGTTTTGGGTTTTGGTTTTGGTGTTGTAACAGGCTGATTGGTGATTGACACCTCTGTCTGATATAGGGATAGCAAGGAAGTAGGCTGGCTGTGCAGCTAATCGATATATATACGGGTCATGGTGACTGGTACGGAGAATGGTTGTCTGAAATGCATGGGCTGTGGTGGGCAGAGATGTGAGGGAGTAGAAGGGAGGAGAGATGCGTAAGCGGCTGTTGTGAAATATATATGTGGGGGATACGATGGCCTTCGTGAGCTGGGCCTGCATATACTGTACTGTGTGTGCCGGAAAGAGAAACAAGCAGTCTGTGTCTACCTGTTCCACTCGCCCAGCAGCAGCAGTGACTTACCCATCCCACCATACCACACATCACACGTCCCCGTCCTTTCGCACTCGCACCCACCACCCACCCACCATCTCACCACACACAACAGACGTCGCATTCCCACTCCGCGCACTCGTGTCCAAGCTTTCATTCAAGTATACAGCAGCTCTACAGCGCCTAGCTACGTCTCGTCTCGTATCGTACAGCAGGTCCGTCCAGATTACCTAGGTTGTATGTGAGTTCTGTGTTGTATCGTCTTTACATGGTGTTCGTCCGGAGGAGCGGAGTAGAGAGGTTTGTTTGATTGTTTGATGTTGGTTTGTTGGTTGTGGAGCCGCGGGTTCTGTGGTGCAGATAGGTCGGTGGGTATGCGAGCGTGTTGGTTCCCGAACGCAGTTCTGGTCGTCTTTTTTTTCGACAGGCGGGACAGGCACAGCTGCGCGCCTCGTCTCGTCGTCTTGCTCCTGCTGCCTGGCAATGCCGCTCCTCCGCACTCAGGCATGTCGCCCAAGAGCCAGGCAGAAACGCAATCGCTCGCTCGCTCGCGCCACGCCGTGCCATTCTCTCGCGTGCGTAGTAACCACGGCCTCGGCCTCCTCTCTCCTCCCTCTTATCCGCCGTGCCTCCACTCTTCCTTCAACCCCCAAGAAAAGTATTCCGCCCAAGCCCGGGCCTAGGCCGGCGCCGCCTTCGTCCGCAACTGCACCCCATGCCAGTTCTTGATCTCGTCCTTCAGGATCTCGTTCACCAGCTTATGCTGCTTGATGACCGTCATGCCGCGGAACCTGGCCGACTCGATCTCAATGCCGTACATGGAGCCGCAGCCGCCCGAGATATCCTGGACCTGGTGGGTTCCGGGGGTCAGCAGTGACTCTTCTCACGCACAATTACCAATTACTCAAGACGACGGCATTGGCTTGGGGCGTAGAACATTGGCTCCGCGTGGGAAGCAACGGAAACAGAAAGAAGGCGCGAGGGATGTGCGCGAAAAGGAAAGACGACGTACATTCAGCCTCACGGGCTCCAGCGCCGCCTTCACTTTATTGAAAACATGCAGCTCGCCCTCGTCGAGGAAATCCGGCGCCTCGACCTCGTCCCTCAGCGCGCGCGAGGAGCCGAAAGCGCGTCTGCCAGCTACGTCCGCAAAGCCGACCGCAGCAGCGGCAGGACGGAAGCGGACTCCAACGGACGATGGCAGCCGCGGCGCGAGGCGGGTGAGTGCTGCTGCCACTGCTGATGCTGCTGCTCTGGAGGGCGCCATGGCGTGCGTGCGTGCGTGCTTGTGTGGGTTGAGCAAGCAATCAATCGGTCAATCAATCAATCAATCAATCAATCAATCGGTTGGCGTGGGTGGGCTGTCGCGATGAATGAATGCATGACGAGAACGCGCGCGCACGGGCCGGCGCAGCCGGGTCGGGGCCGAGCTTGTTGCGTGCGCGGCCAATCAGGGCGCGGGTGATGTGAGACAGTTGCGTGACTCGTGTGGGACAGGCGTGATGGCCGAGCGCGAGTCAGAGTGGTGGGTCGGTAGTGGGTTTTGGTTTCTGCCCCACGGGCAGACGGGCTCTTTCTTCCCCAGCCGTGTCCCCAACCCCAACAACAACAACAACAACCAACGAGTCACGACCAACGACCAACGACGCGACGACCACAACCGACGACGACGGCAGACGACGAAGCTAGCCGCGCCGCGCGCGCGCAACCGCGGGGTCGTCGACTCAGTGGGGTGAGAGTGCGGAGAAAAGCGGCGACGCTCACGCACGCACCTACAGACTCTAGATGAGCAGTTCGGCGGCAAGCCAAGGGCCCCAAAACGTATGTAGCGGCAAAGTCACTGCAAGTCACTCCTCTAATATATCGCGGGCGACGCCCCTCGGCCGGGCCCGCTTGCTGCCGGCTCCTACTCGTAGTAGAGTAGGTCGGGTCATCCAGTCCCCGCGTTCGCTCGTCCCCTCGCCCCTTCCTCCGTGAGCTGCGCAGGCATCTTGGATTAGACACTTCCAGGCCAGAGCTCTGCAGCTAGGATCCGGGGGCGGCTTAGGCCCAGGCCTCGAGGGGCGGGCGCGTGGTGGCATACATACAGTACAGACAGTATCCGCGGCGCGGCGCCTTGCGTGATGCTGGCTGCAATTTACTGCCCCCTCCCTCCCCCCTTCCCACGAGCTTGCTTGCTTGTAATTTGTATGTGCCAAATATCAAACAGGCGCAGAAGTGGAGGGATGGATGGACGGATGGAGGGGGGAGGGTTGCTTATCGCGGACCAATAGCGTCGACGCCCCGCCCAGGGAGATGGAGTTCGAGAACGAGCGCAGAGCTCGCTACTCCTAGCGAGCGACTTGATGGGCTGCCTGGCTGCCTCCTGTTCGTATGGACGTATGTACGTGCGTACGTGCTTACATACGTGCTGTACCTACCCGAGCCGAGATGAGATGATGATTGCTGCGATGCGATGCGATGCGATGCGATGCGAGGGCAGCTAGGAGTAGAAAGGGAAGGGTTGGAAAGGGTGGAAGGCGTGCTTTTGCTCGCGCCATCAGCACCACCGCTCTCCTGGCCTGGCCTGGGTTAATCCGTGCTCTAACCCACTACCCAACCTACTCGTACACTACTCGAGTACAGCGCCATCGCCGCCCGCGGAAATTGTTGGAGCGGCGGCGGCGGCGGCGGCCCCGTCACGCGCCGCTGGGAAGGGCTTAGCGGTAGCGTACCGCGGACCGCGACGGCTAGGTATCTAGGTACTCTATCTATCTAGGTGGCTGGCTGGCGGGCAGTGAACCCTTTGCTCCCGAGATCCAGAGTGAGATATTGATAACAGAGGGAGAGAGATAGCGGCGAGAGACCTAAGACCTAGACGTACTCTAGACGTAGAGTAAGCCAAGGGGACGCCTCTTTCTCTCTCTCTCTCTCTCTTTGCCGCCTCTCGCCTGCGCTGCTTGGTCATGATGGATGATGATGGATGATGGCCGAAGTCGCCGACGCGCCGGTGTCGGCTGTAGTGGTGGTGGTGGTGGTGGTGGTGCGCATCCCTGCGTCCTGGCTGCCTGCCTGCCTGCAGCAGCAAAAAGGGCGAGACGCAGCCAGCGTGCCCGGGGCCTTCGACCTTTGCGCGAGCGAGTGGCCAGGGCCAGGGCCAGAGCCGGCATGAAGGAAGGATGGATGGAGAGGCGGCGCTCTCGCAGACTCACTCGCCCACTCACTCGCGACGGGTGCGCCGCAAGGGTCCAGCCGAGGGCGTTGCGGGCGGGGGATTCGCGGCCTGTGAAGGAGCCTGGGTGCAGATTGATGGTTGATTGATTGATTGATTGCTGCAGAGAGGGTTGCGTGCAGTGCAGTGCCTGTCGTTTTGCGTTGCAGCATGCATGCATGCATGGGCGTACGAGACGAGGTGACCGGACGTGCGTTGCGTGCATGCGTGCTTGCTCTCCACCTTTTCACCACCACCACCTTTGTCCTGCCTTGCCTCGCCCGCCTTGCCTCCTCCTCCTCCTCCACATTCACAAGCTTCCATGGTCGCCTCCATCTCCACCGCCTACCTCCCTAGTACCTACCTTACCTACCTCTCTCCACCGCTTTTGCTGCTAGACTAGGCGTATTGTAGGAGTATCTGCTGCCGCACCCCCCACTCCCACCCCCCCTTTTCCTCTCCTCTGGGCCCGAATTGTGGGGTACATACATACAGCAAGCACATGCACACACACACACACACACACACACAAACGCACACCCCGCAGTCCAACCAGCCAACCAAACACTCCGCCCCAACGCCAACGCCAACGCCACCGCCAAAAGCCAAAGCCAGAGCCAAAGCTCAAACTCAAGCCCAGCCCGCCCTCGCCACCGCCCCAGACCCACCGCTCCAGTCTCCACCACCATTAGGAGTATTGTAGGAGAATAGGAGTGCCCACGGTGCCTACTCCACCACCAGTCCAGTCACGGCCGTCACCACCACCATGACCGGCATTACGCTACGCTGCGGCGCAGCAGCAGCCGTGTGTACAGTGAGTAATTAAGTACACAGCAAGTAAGTCTGCACAGTACGGATACGTACGCGCACAGCAAGGCAAGCAAGCCGCCTTCCTCGCGCGCGCAAACACGCTCGCACGATCCTCGACCGAGCCTTCGCCCCCCTACAATACTACGTAGGTAGCGACGATAGTGCTCCCCGAGCCGAGTGCCCCGCCCCACCAGCAAGCAGCCAGATTAGCCGTTGAGCAGTGGGACAGCGGGCGGACGACTCGCGAGTGAGCAAAAAATAAAAATAGAATGATTGCTTTCAGTTTCGCGAGCGGCGGCGGCGGCGGCGTTGGGCGAGGTGCGTGAACGCCCCCTTGGGGCCCCTTGGCTGTGCTGCTCTGGTGGGGGGAGATCGGCCTGTCTGTGTCTGTCTGTGTGTTCGCATTTGCTGCGCGTGGGCGAGATACCTACCTACCGTGGTAGGTACCTTAGTGATGCAAGCGAGTCTGCTCCTCGCTGTCTTTCTTCCAGCGCCGGAGTGTTGTGCGTGTGTGTATGTTTACTTCTCATCTCTCTTGTCAGAGGCCGCCGGCATACACACACGCTCCAACAGCCTTACTCCGTACATACTCTAGCCGCCGTCCCTTGCACCCCCAGCTCCAGCGCAGGCCAGAAAGTCCGGGATGATTCCAAACCGAGACGCAGCAGCAGCAGCAGCAGCAGCAGCAACAGGCGCGCGCCACAGCGCCATGCAGGGCGACTGCGGCAGGAGCTTTTGCTTGCGTGCATGCGTGCGTGCTTGGCTGTCGTCCCCACTCATTCATCGCCGCTGCTGCTCACTGACTGACTAACCAAAAAGCACGTACGCAGCACGAGCACGAGCAGCTCGTACAAGAGCCAAGGCCAAGCAAAGGCCAAGGCGCGGCACGCTTGTCCGTACGTCGTATGTATGTACGTGGTATGCGTGTGCACATTTTGCCTTTGCCTGCGCGGTTCGTATGTGTGTGTGGAGAGGAAGGAAGCTTGCCGGCTATCACACAGCTCGTACTTGCAACTTGTAACTTGTAACTTGCCATCGCGGTGGGTGTTGCGTGGGATCTGCTCTTTATAGCCCCACACACCGTGGTAAGTACGTACCCAGTAAGTAAATAAGGACATGAAAGGCCGCAACAACGGGCCAAACCAAAGCTAAAGCTAAGGGGGGAGGGAGCACGCGAATCGCCCATCGCCAATCGCCATCGCTGCATCGCATGCTCCAGCGATCGAGAATCTGGGTACTGCGTTGTTAGTAGTGAGTCAGTGAGTGACAGAGAGAGTGTGTGGCAGTGCTGCTCCGCCAGCGATACGTACATCAAGGTGCTTATCCAAGTCGACCATCTATTCGCCTTACTAACTTGCTGCTCGATCGTTAGCCGCGCAGGGCAGGGCATCGCACTGGTGGACCCTGCGGATCACTGACTACGGCCGCCTCCACTGGGACGGTGGATGGGATCCGCGTGCTCCTTGCTCTTCGGGTGTACTGATCCAAAGGCTTGAGTAGTAAAGAGGGAAGGAGGTACTGTATATACGTCCAACTGTGAGGATCTACGACTACGACTCCTCCTTACTACTTGTATACCTGTACGGAGTAGCGAGGCACAAGCACGCAAGCAGCAGCAAGCGCGGCTCAAGCGGCGGCAGCACGCACGCATGCGGAGATCAGCAGGGTCTCGGAGTTTGAACGACGGGATCAGGATGGCCGGGCGAAAGGGTCCAGTCCAGTTCCTAGACAGGTAAGTATATACGCGACAGCGCTCGTATTGTCTGCGGCAAGCAGTGATGAGTACGTGAGTGAGCGCTTGCGTGTGTGCCGTGGTGGTTGCGCCATGCCATGGGATTGCTCGAGCACGTCAGACGCGGATCAGATCAGCCGTCTGAGTGGACAGGGCGGTGGCGAGGCGAGGCTGGGGTTCTGACGGGCTTTCGGGAAGCTAAATCGCTGACGCTGTGGTGCGATGCGATGCGATGCTCTATCCATTGGCATTGCCGTTGCGCGGACGAAGAGAAAGGGTTAGGTAAGAGGGTGCTGGGTGGGAAACAATGGTGAGACAGACACACAAGCAACCAGCAGACAAAAAGCTCAAGAGAGCAAAACAACCCGCGCGGAACCCGGGTGCGTGTCCGAAGAACTCCATAACAGATGGAAGGACGGGATGATGGAACGAACGGATGGGATAATTATGGACCCACCCACTCCATCCCGCACACAGATCCCTAAACCGCACCGCTTGTAAACACCAATGAGCCGACCATGTCGTGATATCCAGGTGGACAACACTCCATCCATCCATCTTGCATCCATCCTTCGCTCACACGCGTAGCCCCCAAAAACCCCACATATCCCCGCATCCCCGACCCGACAAGGCAGTGCCCAAGTATCAGGCCATCCATCCGGCAACCACGCACTCAAACGAACCCGTCAAACCCGCCGTCCTCCGTATTGAGTAATCCGTACACCTACCAAGAGTAGTCACCGCCCACGCACCGCCTTCCGCGCTCGCCATCGCCATCGCCATCGCCGTCGCCCGCCCGCCCGCCCGCCC